AAATCCATGTGAACATTTATCAAAACATGATACAATTTAAATGTAAATGCACATCGTTCTTACGCAATATATGAGGCAGTTTAATACAGCACAAAGGTTAATGTAATTTAACACAAAGCGCTCTGGGCAGGAGCAAATGGACATAATGCTGAAGTAACCGAAGTTTAATCAGACAAAGTGGCTTCACTTTCTGCTTGTTTTGCATGAGGACAAAGCTGCGTATCCACACAAACAAGTGAATCATGATGAAATATCAAAGAGAACCAAGCAATGTGCATCTATATCGATCCAAAGAGACAACAACATGTGTTCGACGACAACCACAAAGGAGATAGCTTCAGAGTCCGCCTCGGGAGGATACAGACATGCACGTGGTGTCCAAAAGCTTCATCAGACGATGCAGGACTACACTGAAGGTACAAGTAAGCATTCATCCAAAGTAAAATCAATCCTTCAATCTCAATCCTTCAAGTCTTTAATATTTAGCAGTACACTGTCCAGTAAACACACACTACACGATTAACACCAGGAATATTCATGACTGAGAACTATCCTGAGACATTATTTACCCACCATGCCATTTTTACACAACTTTAATGATTCATAAGATCTAGAGCAGGGAAGCCTTGATGCTTGCATGCTGTGCGGGAGGTTGCTGTCAGCATGTTTATTTTCAGTGAGCACACACGTAAACACTCATTTACTGCCATGAGAACCCCAAATCTAGAGTAGAGAGGGGGAGAGCACTAGAGAGGAGAAAAGCGCCCATTATACATTCTAACCCACAGATTAGCTGCGAAAAAAACAAACATTTAAAATGAGTCTGAAATCGGTTTCGTCATACACTGTATCCTTTCGGTACAGTGCAAGCCAAGCATGTAACCTTATACGGTTTTGGAAAGACATGAGGGCGAGTCATTTTTGGGTGAACTATCCCTTTAAAGGAGTAGTTCACTTTTAAAAAAAACTTTTGCTGATAATTTACACACCCCATGTCATCCAAGATGTCCATGTTCATCTTTCTTTAGTCGAGAAGAAATTAAGGTTTTTGATAAAAACATTCCAGGATTTTCTCCATATAATGGACTTCAATGGGAACCAAACGGTTCAAGGTCCAAATGAGAGTTTCAGTGCAGCTTCAAAGGGCTTTAAACGACACCAGACGATGAATAAGGGTCTTATCTAGGACCCTTTGAGTCATGACTCAAAAAAAGATTTGTTCCTTTTGATGAACGAGTTCAAACAGGAGAGTCACAAACGCTTATCACAGAACAAAGCAAGGCGAGCATTTGAGCTTATAAAACTTCAACTTTTTTATTTATTTTTTAAATGAGCGATCGTTTCGCTAGATAAGACCCTCATTCATTGTCTGGTGTCGTTTAAAGCCCTTTGAAGCTGCACTGAAACTCTCATTTGGACCTTGAACCGTTTGGTTCCCATTGAAGTCCATTAAATGGAGAAAATCCTGGAATATTTTCATCAAAAACCTTAATTTCTTTTCGACTGAAGAAAGAAAGACATGGACATCTTGGACAACATGGGGGTGAGTAAATTATCACCAAAAGTTTTTTTTTTTTAAAGTGAACTACTACTTTAAGGGCTAAACTTCCCCTTTATCACAGCACACAGTGATTCAGTAATTTGGCAATGAGGAAAAATAGTAATTTGGTTCCTAAATGTTTCTTTGCCATTGACTCCCTCATTCTATCTCTAGCACTTCTGCTCTCTCTGTCCATGTGAGACTCTCCTGTTCAAACTCGTTAATCAAAATGAACGAATCTTTTCCAGAGTCAATTCGTTCATTTTGTTCGTTGAATGAACCAAATGACACGAAAAAAGATTTGTTCATTTTGATGAACGAGTTCGAACAGGAGAGTCACGAACGAACATCACAGAACAGAGCAAGGCGATTTGAGCTTATAAAACTTAAACTTTGTTTTTTTTTTTATATGAGCGATCGTTTCGCTTGATAAGACCCTTATTCATCGTCTGGAATCATTTAAAGCCCTTTGAACAGTTTGCAGTTTGTACTGAAACCGTCTTTTGGACCTTGAACCGTTTGGTTCCCATTGAAGTCCATTATATGGAGAAAAATCGTGGAATGTTTTCATCAAAAACCTTAATTTTCTTTCCGACTGAAGAAAGAAAGACATGGATATCTTGGATGACATGGGGGTGAGTAAAGCTTTTTTAAAAGTGAACTACTCCTTTAATGTGAAAAGCTTTGCACAGAGAAAGAGTACAGAGTTGAAAACAGCTGAAAGTACCAATTAAATGTCCATTACAGGTACCCGTACTGCTCTTTCTCGCCCTTAAAATGAGTGATTTATTTAGGGTGGGCGAACTGCAGATGCGGATAAGGCGGTGGGTCATGCAGGTCTCTGCCAGTGTGATCTCATGTCAACAGCCCTTGCAGATTTATGGTCACAGAAACAGGAGGCTATAGAACAAGCCTGCATAAAAGCTCTCAAGCCAAAATAACATGTCATTTCCTCTATACAACAGAGGTTAATGATTCTCTCTGCCTGCTCCACACGCATGATGATACCAATCACTCCTGCCGTAAGAGATACGTATGTGCCGGGATGACACTGTGTGGTGTTTGAGCGAAAATATGATGTTTATTCTGTAAAATAAATGAATCCTTAACCAATGTATTTCAAAGACATAGTTAAGTTAAAGCTACACTGTGTAACTCTTTTAGTTTATTTTTAGCTAAAAACACTTCTTTCAAAAATATATGTGCTCATTAATGTATATTTACTTCGTTCAAGTAATAAAGTATTCTCGTGAGTGTATAATATGCCTTTGAAAATACATACGGGTGAGGGGATCTAATGTCGGTCGCCATGTTGCCCCTCCATCTTGAAAGTACATTAGCCAAAGAGGGACATACCCGTTAATTCAAGCTTTAGGTTTGAGTTAACACTCATGGACGAGGTCGAACTGGAAGCCATGTTAATCTTGGACTACATTGGCCACCGAAATTGGAATTGAGAGGAACAGAAACTAATATTCGCTGGATGGTCATATACCTTTTCACCACTAGATGGGGGTAAAAATCACACAGTGCATCATCTTCCAAAACGTTTCCGCACATTGCAACATATGCACTATGTTTATATAAAAGTCCCATATCTAACGTCTAAATGACTACCTTCTCGCCTAAAAAAACTCTTAAAGCTACATTCTGTGACACAACAACAGTAGTATTTATAAAACGATGGTGGTTCGGTCATCCGGCACGACACTCGCTGTGAGAGAAATGCGGCAAGCAGAGTGATACAAACGGTGAAAGGGTTCCCGTAGTGCCAAATGAAGATAAATTATTATTTTTGGGTAGAATCATCCCTTTAATGCATGCAGCCCTATTCGAAAAGAAAGAGGATAATAGGAGTTTAGTTCTAAACGCTGGAGGTAAATTAAACTGCTGTGCTTTGTTTCTTGTTAGACATTGTGTGATTGAAAACCAAAGTGTAGCAAAACATGGCACCCATCTCCTGTGGTCCTGTTTCTTGTTTTTTCTTTTTTCTCTCTCTCTCTCATTAAAACCGTCACCAAGCTGCTCCCCTGGGAGTGGTTTAAAAATAACACAAATGGCACAAGCAACACACATCAAATAGCCACTACTCCTTTTAACAAGGTTTGTTGCAGGTTTTCTCTCTCTGCTATTTATATCTAGTCTCGTTTAAGCCCTGGTGCAATAACTAGTTTCACAACATGGAGTTTTCCTTGTTCAAGAAAGCTAAAACAAAGAAAAAATATTTTTTTTCATCTCAAACTAAAAGTTGAGACCAGATTTGACTCAGTCTGAGCCCATAATGACGGAAAGAGCTCAAGGCTAATCGGAAATCCTATAGAGAACTGCATTACAATACAACTGGATGAAATCTAATATGAATCTTCTCATTCAGTACGTGAATTTTAGCATTGCAAAATATGGAACAGGGCCTCTCTTCATAACCATAATTGTTTTGTGGACACAGGCTACGAATATGGATAAAGAGGTGAATCTACATAATGACACTAATCTAAAATCAATTAGTAAATACATCTGGAATTTGTGCAGCAATTTAATTAGCACTGTAATATAAGAAATCTTAGTTAAGGACATCTAACAAATGCAATCACTAGTTGGTGCATTACGTATTGATTTTCCTAGCAGATGATATCTCATTAAAATGGTGTTATAATTCTGTGCAGAAATAACACTGGTGAGGCATCTGAGAACTAAAACAACTGAACTTTTAATAAGCCCAGGCAGCAAATGGGAATTATTAAAAGATTATTCGTAAGGCAGCGCATTTCCAACGTGTTTTCTGGAATGTTTCTTCAAGTTCTGTCTTTCTCAGCTGTCAGAAGCATGCGGACAGATGGTCAAGATCTTCAGTGTTGTGTAAAGCTATAATAGCTGTGTTGTATTCTGGGGATTATATACAATACCATCCATACATCTGGGGTCAGTTAGATTTTTTTTAAAACTTTTGAATTGCCACTTTTATTCAGCAAGGAAACAAATTTTATCAAAAGTGACAGTAAAAGCATTTAACAAATAAACTATGTTTATTTCCACATTTAATAATAATAAGAAATGTTTCCTGAGCATTAAATCAGCATATTAGAAAGGATCGTGTGACACTGAAGACTGGAGTAATAATGCTGAAAATTCAGCTCTGTATCACAGGAATAAATTACATTTTAAAATACATTTTAATTTGTAATACAATTTTACTGTTTTTACTACATTTCTATAAATACTGTACAGCATATACTGTAGGTAAACTGTGTTTTTTCTTAAATAAATGGAGCCTTGGTGAGCAAAAGAGATATCTTATTGAAACAAAACTTTAGAACAGCAGCGTACATGGAAGTTAGACGGGAATTGTGTATTAAAGTAAACAGGGTTGACTCTGATTTCATGTTAAGAAAAGAACAGAGTCTAAGAATCACATTCACATTAATGATTTAACGTGACATGATATGAAACAGATTACACTCACCATCCTTATCAGCTCTCCGAAAAATCTAAAATGAAACACAGAGAGAGAGAAATGCAGTATATTAATACAAATTAAAAATCATTTTAATTCACATTAGCGATTGAATTCACCTAAATTTAAAAATGATTTAGCCAAAAACCTGAAAAAAAACTCTCTAAAGCTCCTCTAAAACTAATATTAAATGTACATACCAAGTAAAAACGATATAAATACTGTTCGTTTTCTCACACAAAGCGCTCGTTTCATATCTCATCAATGTGTACTTACATTTACGAGTTATTAAATCATGTTTAATTTGGACTTCTCTGTGCATGCTCTTTGAGGTGGTGACCATAGACCTCCATTATATGACTGATAGACAAGAACGGTTTAACCTAAAAATATCAAAATTGAAAGTGCTGCGGAAACAAAGACACCTACATCTTGGATGCCCTTGAGGTAAGCTAAAACATGCCAAAAATTAATTTCAAAGTGAACTATGCTTTTAACTCAATTTGGTTGCGATTGCATCGTTATCTACATAGCACAGCTGATTGGTTGCTGTTGCATCAGCGGCCAATGAGCTGCAGCTCAACATTCAAATACTGGTAGTCTGCAGCGTGCTTCAGAAACCCTCCACCTTCCCCAGCTCCACCTGTATTGATCTGCTATATGGGGTTATTTCATGTCTTACATGCTCACAGTATTGTCTGTAAATGTATTGGTAGTAGAAGTCTCGGTATCAATGTAGCAGATCTATTCCCCCAAGGCCAAATACATTAACATTGCCGTATGCATTGCCATGCCAATCTCTATTCTCATACCGATCTCCCAAGAGTTGTCTTGACAGAAATCATGTAACATAAATATTTTGAGATAGCGGCTGAAGAAAAGTAAAGTACTGTGTGTATTAGAAAAAAATTTATAAAAGGCATTAAAAAATGTATTTCTGTAGGGTTTAATGGGTTCAATAGATAAGCTGATACCTTAGCCCTTAACATGGTCCAATGAATCCTTCCATTCCATTTATAAAACCACCAACACAAATGACATTACAACCGTTAAAGGAGTTCGATCACTATTAAAAAAACTTTTGCTGATAATTTATTCACCCCATGTCATCCAAGATGTCCATGTCTTTCTTTCTTCAGTCGAAAAGAAATTAAGGTTTTTGATGAAAACATTCCAGGATTTTTCTCCATATAATGCACATAATTGGGAACCAAATGGTTCAAATGAGAGTTTCAGTGCAGCTTCAAAGGGCTTTAAACGACACCAGACGATAAATAAGGGTCTTATCTAGGACCCTTCGAGACGAGTCATGACTCGAAAAAAGATTTGTTCATTTTGATGAACGAGTTTGAACAGAAGAGTCACAAACGCTTATCAAAGAACAGAGCAAGGCGAGCATTTGTGCTTATAAAACGTAAACTTTGTTATTTATTTTTTAAATGACTGATCGTTTCGCTAGATAAGACCCTTATTCATCGTCTGGTGTCGTTTAAAGCCCTTTGAAGCTGCACTGAAACTCTCATTTTCGACCTTGAACCGTTTGGTTCCCATTGAAGTCCATTATATGGAGAAAATCCTGGAATGTTTTCATCAAAAACCTTAATTTCTTTTCGACTGAAGAAAGAAAGACATGGACATCTTGGATGACATGGGGGTGAGTAAATTATCAGCAAAAGTTTTTTTTTTAAAGTGAACTACTCCTTTAAGTTTCTTTTCATTTTTTTTAATCGAGTTGCTTATATCTATAAGAGCAACCTGATCACACCGTCCAGTCAGATGTGAAATGGACCACTTAAGACTCTCTCGTGACGAAGGAAAAATCACAGTCGATAGAATGTGCTGGGAAGCGTTACTCACTACGAGCTACTTTTACAGCAGTCGATCCATTCAGCTCTTCTCGTTTTCCTAATAAATAAATAAATACATGAAGCATGAATTGGTTGTGATCAGATCTGGATGTTAAAGTGTTCTGGCTGCACATTTGCATGTTTGTGATTGGACACGCATGACACACACACCCAATAATTGAAACACGTATTGACAGCGCACATTTTGATCTGCTTCAATAGAGTGGTCACCTTCTGTTGATGGTCTAAATCACTTCTCAAGTGGGTGAGCCAGCTGCTTCATTCATTCCTGACAGCTAACAGCACTCCAGCTGTCACGATGCTTCACCATCACGAAACTAACTCAAAAGCCACACAGGACAACCACTGAAACATCTGCAGTAACAATGGGGGGTTTTCCTTCTGTTGAACTGGAAGCATATTCTTGGCCAATAAAAGGGGAGAGTGATTGTAGGAACAGGGACATTAGCCATGTTGGATCAATACTGTAATGTATTTTACGAAGCGCTCGAGAGGCACTATTGCTATTTAATCTTCCTAGCTGTTTTATATCTTAAAGCAAAAGTGTCTGCAGCATTAATCGCCAGTAGTGGTTTTCGGAGGTTCATGACCCAAAGGTTGCCGCAGATCTGCTCAACAAAACTATAACCATACAATCATGCATATTTAAATTGAAAAAATTAGGATTGATAGGACGAGAAAGCAATTCACGTGCATCAAGGATAAGCATGGTTTGTGTGGATTTATTTGATTAAAACTAGAGTAAATATTTCCTGCTTGGCTACCTTACATCTGGGAAGAATTAGATATAATTTTTTGGTTGTTTATTAATTTGATTTGATTTTACTTTTTTGAGTATGTCTGTTTTTTGTGTATTGTGAAAATCTTAATAAAAATGATAAAATATTAGTGACCGACCGATATATCGATATTTGCGGTTTTAACGTGTATCGGAATCGGCCGATTCGCGACTGCTGCGTTCGCCGATAGTTTTTCCCGGCACAGAAAAATTTACTTTTTAAGTTGCTTTTAAAATTAAGTACAGTGTGCACTGTGCACTTTATTATGCTGGTTGCTACAATAGTGTAATTATTTCATTCATGCTTAAATATTTATTTTCAACACTGAACGTTTTTTTTTTTTGTTCAACCTCATGTTTTTAATATTTGTTAAAAATTGTTTATCTACTTGTTCTTGTTCTATTAAAATTAAAACTAGAGTAAATATTTCCTGCTTGGCTACCTTACATCTGGGAAGAATTAGATATAATGTTTTGGTTGTTTATTGATTTGATTTGATTTTACTTTTTTGAGTATGTCTGTTTTTGTGATGCTTTTGGTGTGTTGTTCTGTATTGTGAAAATCTCAATAAAAATTATAAAATATAAAATATTAGTGTTCGACCGATATATCGGCCGGCCGATACCTCTACCTAACGTTTTTACTATTTGTTAAATATTGTTTTTTAAAGTTAAATAAATGTTACTTTTGTTAAATCGAGACTTGTAACATTTGTTAACATCATGTCATTTTTATGAAGTAAAATTAGGGAGCAAAATGTATCGGCTCCAAGAAAATCGGCAGCCCGTATCGGTCTTCGGCTAAGGCTGATGGGGGAAAAAAATCGGTAACGGTATCGGCACTAAAACATCCATATTGGTCGATCCCTATAAAATATCATTACAGACTTTAGTGTCACTCACATGATTCTTCAGAAATCATTTTAAAATACTGATTTGGTGATCAAGAAGCATTTCTTATCATCTCATTTGAAAACAATTATGCTGCTTAATATTTTTTATAAGAACATCATTTATTTGAAATAGATGATTTTTTTATAACAGTAAGGTTTTCCTGTCACTTTTGATATTTTAACGTGTCCTTGCTGAATTAAATTAATAATTGATTAACTAAATTCTTACTACCCCCAAACTTTTGAACAGTAGTGTATCATTTTAATAAATCTGCAAATAGTTGGGCCTATTAAGTGCATGGTAGTATTAATAAACTTCCATATTCGATTTTAAAGAAAGAAAAGAAAGATTGTTTATTTTTGTACAGTGTCGGATCCTCGGCAAAATCAGTTGAAAACCACATAACGACAGGATCCAAAGAATTGTTATCACAGAAGAGCATCTCAGATGTCGATTATAATGCACCTTATGTATTAAATATATATTTTTATGTAAGTACATAGTATATAAAGTGTGACCTATCCTCCTTCCTGAACGGTTTGAATACGGTTGTTAAAAACATTTCTACGGTCTGACAATATGAAGTTACCTAATGTAGGTGACCCAGTTTGTTTGTACCTCGCAAGATTTATCTCTGTATAAAAAGGGGACAGCTACAAAAAAAAAAAAAAAACACACAAAAGTGTTCATGTGAACTACAAAGCTACAGGTTGGGAAAAGAGAGATTTACACTTACAGCAGGAGAAAATAGATGAATAGTACAGTTAAATTACATATTCAGACAGATAATCATGGTTAATATGTAATTATTTGAAAACAAAAACATTTGTGAGAAAAATACTCTTTAGTTGTTCATTGGTTTCTCAGCTACAAAACACCTAGAGATTGTATGCCAAAACTAACATGTTATTATCCAGCAGAACAATAATCAAATCAAATTACTGTAATTGGACTAATTAGGCTCTAGTTTATTAGTTTATTACAGTAATCTAATTATTGACCTTATTCTGAATACAATATTCTGATTAAAGTGTTTACATGAACTGGTTTTGAAATATTTTACTTCTAGAACTGGTTTAAAGGGGTTATGAACTGAGAAATCGAATTTTCCTTGAGCTTTTGACATCTAAGAGGTCATCATATTTATTTATTTAATCAGTTCAAAGTTACAGGGACCATGCACATTAATAAACGCTTGCGTAAATGTGCCAGTTTAGCCATCTTGGCTAATTTTCAACTGTAGTCACTGGGCAGATGTAATAACCGATAAAATACATTCAGACTATCAACAATACTTATACATACATTAAAACAATTTACATAGAAGCTCATAAAATACATTCAACAAGAACAACAAATCAAAACATGATTAAGATGATTTAAAACTACAGAATATGGGTACACACTTGATTGACCTTTAACCATGCTTTTAATTTAATCTTAAACAGCCCATATGAAGCAGTGTCCTTAATAGATGTAGGTAAACTGTTCCAAGTGTGAGCTGCTCTCACAGAGAAAGCTGACTGACCAAAGGCAGTTCTTCTCATTTGTATTACACAATCCCCTCTTGTTACAGACCTTGTATGTCTAGTAACAGTAGTTTTTTGTTTTATAAAAGCAGTTAATGGTGGGGGAGCTAAGCCATGTAAAATTTTAAAAACAAGACAAGAGTCTGTGAATTTAATAAGATTATCCCAAGTCATTAGATTGTGTTTTTTTAGACAGTGGCAGTGATGATGGGTATTAGGCTTCCTATCGAGTACCTTAGAAGCTTGATGGTACAGTAACTGCACATGTTTAATGGTTGTGCTGGAGGCTTGTGCCCAGCTAGTCAAACAATAAAAAAAATATGGCATAATCATAGCATTAAAATATATTGTCGCTGCCTTTGTAGTCAGACAATAATATTATACGATTATCCTGTAAGTTTGAGAACAGAAAACGTCCTTGTGAGTCCAATAAAAGCTTTTATTGACACCAGGCTGAGCAAACGTTTTTCAAAGTGGGGAATTATGACGTCAAAGAGGATAAAACACCACCCCCGCAGAAGAAGATCAACACGGCCGGTTTAGCCCCGCCCACCGATTCGCGCATTACACGCATAGCTAAATAACATACAGTAGGCCTATCTCGTGATGACAAACTGGATCGAGCTACCGAGCAATACAGAATATTGTGCAGTGCCTGGTTGTGGAAGAAGACAGTCGATGCATACGCGACGCGAGTGAGTTGAAACTCATTATAATATGCAAAACTGTTATCCACTCACAGCAGTGGGCGTTTACTTCCAAGTCTTCAGTGCGAGACGCCCATAAAAACCGAGCGTTTCTGAGCTAGGCTCAAAACTAGGGTAGAAAATAGCCTATTACTTATTCATTGTGATGTTTTTTTATTGTAAAAACCAAGAGAACGTCATAACTTGACCTCAGACAACAATATAATAAAATTTAAAAAGCCAGTTCATGACCCCTTTAATGGCACACATCATTACGTCACCATGCCACGCCGTCTGACGTTCCCTTTATTATGGTACCATATACAGTTTAGGGTGTTTTAATCTTACGAAAGCTTCAAGTGCAATACGATGAGGGTGGATACACATTCTGAAGCCATGCTCTCTTGTTTGACCACTGCCGTGTGTGTATGTGTCCTGTCACAAAATGCGCTGAAAATAGTACTGCACCTTTAAGATGTGTACATGTCAATAATGCACTTCCATAATGCGATTGAAAAGGACTATTCCACATGTCAATCACAAAAAATCCCTGTCTGCATGGTAGTATTGTCTTAATCGGCTTAATATCCGAGTATTGTTGTCCATCTAAATGGAGATACAGTATGTGTTTAAATGGAGAGAGTGTGACTCAGTGAATGAACTTGTTTATTATGTGGACTCACATTTAGACTTGCTAAGTCGGTTGGATTGATTCTCTGTGCTTTGGATCAAATCCAATTCACTGAACAAATGCCAAGTATGTTTGTATTTTAAAGTTCAAGTCAATAGAGCGATGAAGTCTGTAGCAAATGTCAAGTGCAATCACCATTTGATCACCTATCTGTTCTCACACATGTACGTTAAAGTCACCATGAAATCAAACTTGACAATTCCTGTTTATGTAATATTGCAGTATTTACTATAAATTGAGTTATCCCTCCCTTTCGCAGCGAACTCTCTTTTCTTCTCTGATGACGCGTTTACTTGTGCGAGGGCGGGACAACCTGTCACTCACATGACATCATAGCAAACCACAACTATACAATCCCGACGAGACGCCATTTCATTCGGATATACTGTACGTCACAACAATAGGAAAGAAAGGACTCTCGACCAAACGTCGTCGCTATTAAAGCATAAACGAGAGCGCTAAGTTAATTTAGTGCACACCCAGTGTTCAAAAAACACTAAATTGACTTAATTACTTCCTTAAGCCAGAGGAGGTCTGGGACCTGAGACATGAATACTGTGAAACACACTCAGCTTGTTAGTGCTCCACTTAGTTTTCACCGTCTGGTTTGGGGAAGCCGTGCTGAGAGAATTCAACACACCTTGAATCCATAACTTGTCTAGCCGGTGAATCGAAAGCTTCCTGAAATGGAAACGCTGGTCTTTACAACTGCATGCTGCTTTAGACACTTTTAAAATGAAAAGTAACGGTAAATGATGCTCTGTGGCTCAGTTGTTTACCAATATAGTGTTAAGGCTCGGTCAGGCTGATCCTTGAACAGAGGTGGCAGCAGACGTGTCATTCGGTTGAGATAGATTGAGTTAAGTAATGGAATTCGTTCACAAAGCATAGGGGAAAATCAATTCCCTTACAAGCACCTGCGCTCCATACGAAGTCTCCTCCACGAGAAACCATGTACAAGCGCTCACTATCCATAAAAGACAAATTATCTACAGCACCTCATTATCTCCCTTATTAATTTCCTCCACCTTCACTATTGTATTTATACTAGGGTGCATTGGTGCCTCTGGTCTTTTTCTGAGGTTTTTAATTAGTTTTTGTCCCCTTTACTTTCTAGTCTGGTTACCTGAGACTGTAGGCTATCTGGATCTGGGACTGAACTACTTATCACTCTCTTAAATTTTTTAACTTCTCCCTAAAAAGCAATGTAGAAATCTCAAGAGGTATGACCATCAAATACATATAATTATCTAGCAGCAATGAACAATACTGAGGCAATACTTTGACCTACTAAATCAATACTGCTGAGACCTTGCCACAGCAGCCAACCACACAGCATAACTGCCGGGCTCACAGGAAAAGCGTAATAAATTATTTAGATTCGGGTATGCTTCTCTGAGACGACCTTAAAATCAGAGCAAAAACTGTTGTATAACCTAAAAATGCTTGCTGAAAGCTACAGCTGGATGTATCACCGCTGTTTTGTACCAGAATGTGTGTTCATATTATTTTACAATTAGGTGGATTATTTCATTCCACATACAAAAAGCTCAACAGGATTTCCATACCACTGTGAATGTGTGTGTAGTGCACACTGAGTCACATTAGGGAGATAAGGAGGACTGTCACACCCTGAACCGGGTTTATTTTGCAGTAATGACCATCTGACAGACTATTATCTGACTTATTACGTGGCTACTTAGCAAATAAATAACTACTTGTCTTGTACATCAAATGTTGATTGAGTTACGACTATATTAGATTAGATTCTTAGCGTCCGCTAAGACAAATAGTCCATTACTTCATACATTAACACTTCAACAATAGTCTACCTACATCATCAATTTAAACATTATTATTATATATGAAATTGCTGTACATTAAAATAATTGTTTTTCTAGTTATTTGGGGTTTAGATAGAATTGTAATTGTTTTAAGGTATCTCTCAGTCTCGTCAGATAATTTTCGGTTCATCATTGGTTTCAACGGATGTTTTTGTATTCTTGCGTGGGAACTCTTGGGCTTCAATCAAAGGTTTTATGCTCACAACAAGGCCGATACTAAAATTAAAACATTTTCATCGTCGTCGTAACTTGAGAACGTAAACATTTTTAGTCGCACGATGGCGCCAGGGTACTAAGTGCGCGGAGTGATACGTGAGAGTAGAGTCGGTATTTGCCTTAGTCAAGTTCAACGCGAAATATCTCATTTAGGTTAGCTATTAGCAATACAAAAACTGATTAAACAACCAGAATTAGCACTTCAGAAAAACGTGTAATAATCTAAAATATTACATAACACTGACATGCAAAATGTCAAATTCATAACTGTTCTGCAAAATGGGTGGATTGGATTAAAAAGTTAAATAGATTCAAATTCATAAAGTGTCTTTCTGTAATTGCTTGAGTAGCCTATTAAAGGTTGGCCAGACATTTTTGAACTAATTATTGAATTGTTTAAAACTTGGTTATTGTTAAATAAATTAATTATAGCGATTAAATAAAGTTGAACGAGCGCATGCATTTAATGTTTGTTTATACATACAATGATAAAATATTCACACAAAAAAAAACCTACGTCCAAAATGACAGAGATGCCCTTTCGGGGCTCCGGTGCAAAGAACTGCTCCTGAGCCACCGCCGCCTCCTCCTTCACATATTCCCGAGTAGAGATGCTTTTATTGTCGCTCATCTTGGTGACTATCCAGCGGACGAGCCCGTCAATTCCACCGGGCTGAGAACCGCTGTTTCCGGACTGTGCAGCCGTCGCTGTCTCGCTGTCCTGAGCCCCGGGTTTGGGCTGGTCTTTGCTGTCCTGTGCCCGGAGTTTGGCTTGTTCTTTGTGGAGCAGTTTTTGGACACCGTCCCTGCAGTAGCGCGCTGCTTGTTCACACATCCTTTTGCCGCGGAGCGTTCATGCTGCGCGCTATGGGGGCGATCCCTCCTCCTCTATGACATCAGCGACGGCGGCACACATCCCAAAACTCAGCCCTCCTGTCACACCTAACCAGAGCAGTTCAATAAATGCCATCCATTTAGTCCATATGCAGAAGAATGAGCGAGAAAAAAGCATTATTAGCACTTTAGAGAGTAGCTAGCAATACTATTAAATAGGGAATAGACTGTAATGCCCATTGATCCCAGATAGCTTTTAAATGCTGTTAAAGTCCATTTTGGCTTAGTTTACTCCAGTAACTCTCAGTTTTAGATATTTGCCACTCGAGGAAACATAGGCTACTTTCCTCATGACTATCTTCTTGAAAGACAATGAATACACCGAATTGCACCCTTTTTAAGTCATTCTCCCACAGAAATAACGATATTTCTGCAAGATGTAAACAACACTGGTCCAGAAGCATTTCCTGTTTCAGTTTTTTAACACTACATAAAAGCTGGGACCAACAGAACATATAAAACTGAATCAAAAAGTTAAACAAACAAACATCTTTAAGATGTTTTCTTTAGGCTACATGTGAAATAAAGAAAACAGTTACAAACTGAAACAGGAAGTGTTTCTGGACCAGTGTTGTTTACATCTTGCAAAATGGATGCAGTTAAAGTTAGGGTGGGCAATTTTTTCATAAACACTTTATTATTCTTGTTGAAACTCTCTTAAAGGAATAATTCACTTTAAAATGAAAATTCTGTCATCATTTACTTACCCTCAATGCGTTTCAAACCTGAATTTCTTTCTTCTGCTGAACACGAAGTTATTTTGAAGAATGTCGGTAAGCAGAAAGTTGATGGACCCCATTGACTTCCATAGGAGGACTAAATATCTAATTATCTAAACATAACAAGATGTACATATAATATGTTCTGTGGAAGTCTCAGGACCAAAAAAAAAAAAAAAAAATGTTTGTCCAATCATTGCATTCGGTCAAGTATTGCATTGCATACGTATGTACAGTATTAAAATATTGTTTGTTTAACGTAAAAAATGAAGTAACCTGGTTGCCTTAAAAATTTTAAGTTCATTGAAATTGAAAAATTGAGTTAATACAATGTAGGAGATGGATTTAGTCATCAGAAACTCAAAATATTATTATGTTATCTGAACCTCACATAAAAACAATGAGCTTATGCTGCATTGACGCCACTTCATAATCGTATTTTAGATGCCGCAACCCTACTCAGAGTTGTTCACGTCCTCAGACTCGGATTTATGCGTTTATATGTCAACACTATCAACGACGAAATGAAACCGCAGCAGTCAGGTGGTACAAGTCCGAGCTTTGCAAGGGTATGGGTAGTTCTGCCCTCCGCGAACCTACTCATGTTGTTTACTATGACAGTCTGTTGATGCCTGTTGTTTAATCAACATCCTGAAATATTTGCATCACTTGCCATGATATGCATCACTTCATGGTATCACTTGCCAGCTTGCATTTTTTGGGGTGGGCACTCCTTAGAAAATCCCTCATTACCTTACAGTCTCTATAATGGTCTGAAATGACCTTTGTGAGTTGAAAGAGTGTTAAAAGGCTCCCCGGTCCTGCCCTTTACGAGAGGTGATTAAGTCATTCCAGCTAAAAGGGGCTTTATTTAATTGGCACCAAGTACAACCCCCCTGCAGTTTGTGATCCTATAGTGAGGCATTTAGCCAAACAGAAAAAAAGTGATTGGATGCATTACTTTAATGTAGAGCAACTCAAAGCAACCTGTTACTCCTTCTTCACCACAGAGGGTGCTCAGATAATTACAACACGCAGTAATCTCTTGTCTTTGGACATGATCAGATCAACAACCCTAACAGACAGTGTGTGTGTGTGTGTGGCGGTGACAGACCTCTCTTTACCACACGTAAACAAACTCAGTGGTATTGTGGCAAGTGCAGAGCTGCATAATGTCTCAGCCAGAAGCATTTGTTAAAAGTATATTGTTAATTTGAATATAAAATATTGTATGCTATATATTAAACAGGTAGAAAAATATAAGCTGAATAAAACCATAATAAAGGAAAAGAAAATGTAAAAACACAATATATTCGTATTTTTAATTATTTTAAAATTGTAATATACTATAAAGCTTAGAATTTTATCTCACACACACATTTATTAGCTCAAAAGAGTATTTGGCACATGCTTAAATTATTGATGACACTGCAGTGCTATATTAGTATAATTTACATTTACTATTATAGTTTTTATTCTTATTTTAAATTACCTTTTAGTTTTATATTTTTAGATTTCATTTTAATTTTAGTCTAAGTTTTAGTAACTTTGATGAGCTTTTGAGAAGTTTTTTATTTTTCTATTTATCTTTAATTTAATTTGAATTCAGTTTTAGTTATTTTTGGTAGTTAATACCCATTCATTTTTGTCAATGCGAGTTTATATATATATATATATACAGTATATATATATATATATACACGTATATAGTATTTCAGTTTTTAGTTCAATTAACATTTTAATAGTTTTAGTTAACAATAACAGCACAGATATAATGAGTAACTTATAACGATCAGCCTGTCCCTGCAATCACTCCACTCACCCACTTTCTGTTTTTGAGATTTGAATATGGCCAGATAAGTGAGTTGAAATTATTTCCAAAAATCATGCAGGAAGGCTTGGCTGGGAAAATGAGAGAGGAATCCACATACGAGTATGAAACATATAACACACACACACAAATATATGTATCGGTCATGAACCTGGAGGGAATTTACCTCCCATCATGCCTCAGTAGATAGGACAAGTTAAAGGTGATGTAAGAGCAACAAGTGCACCTCCTGGTGGCCTAAAGAGGAGCACTTGAAGCTCCAGCAGTTCACTTGATACTTGACTGGTGTCATTCAAACAGCAAACCTGAGTGCTACAGAAACGTTTATTTTTCCGAGTCTTTACAATAAATTTGTATTTTGTTTAAAGAAGCATTATACTTCAAACTGAAAGTTGGACCTTCTAAAATTTTAACCACTATCATTAATTATTTTACCCAAAGAATAGCAAACCTCCTTCTTCATGCAGTTTTTTTCTCTGAAGGAAGCTCTGGACAGTACCCTTTCAAGTAGTAAACCCAGAAGACGGCCTGTCCATGGCTCTCCATACGTGGGCAGGAAATTGTCAGCTTTCCGTGACATGGGCCTCTGGAGCTCGGAGGGGGGCCGTCGAATGTAACCTGTATGTGCTGAGTTTTTTGAGCTGAAATAGTCTCTGCACCCTTGACAGTGAAGGCAGGGTTGTCTACCTGAAAGGAGAAGGTGGTGGCCTGTTGAAAGACATTCTTAAAGGAGATAGAGACACTGGAACCTAAACTGATGGTGAGGGGACCCTGAGGTTTAGGTGGGGTGCAGGTGCCAAACAGAGGGAAGACATACTCCCCTCCGACCTCTGAGGAAATGGTGAGCCGGCTTTGGATGTCTCCCACCTGGCAAGGTTCGAAATGAACTGTCACACTGATATCTGTGCCAGTCTGGTTCCCCGCTGCTGCTTTAATGCTCTTTTCCACAGTGAAGTTTGGGTTGTCCATCTGGGTCAGAAAGATGCAAAGAACTTGCGTTGCTAGTGGAAAGACTTCAAAAAAATATCTCAGTGTAGGGTGACCAACTGTCCTGTTTTCATATAACAATATAACCATTTCCTATCCATACAGAGGAGGCATAACCTACTTTAAATATATTGAAATTAATAAGGTATCTTTCAGTAAACTTCGAGTATCATTTGAGTAGGCCCATCTGTTTGCCGGGCCGAGTTTTTGGTAATCAAAATATGGTCACCCTATCTCAGTGGGTTTTCTTTTTGTCCATGAAGTGAAAATAAACGGATTTAAGTGTTGTTCTAGACACCATTGACCTGCATGGTATGGACAAAAAGAAATTATTTTGTCTTATTTTGAAATCTTATTTTGTGTTCCACAGGTTCATACAAGTTTGAAATGACATGAGGGTGAGTAAATCATTTTTGGGTGAACGGTCTCTTTAAATCCTATTTTCATGAAGATAAAATTAGCTAGATAATAATGGGAACCTTACCTTGCAGATATATTCGGTCTTGACACGAGAGAAGTTGGTAAACTTAGCTATGACACTGTGTTTGCTGCCAAGTGGTGCTCTGAAATATAAAGGCTTCTCAAGGGGTGCAGGCAGGGCCTTCAGCTGAAGCTCATAAAAGAAGTGTCCGAGTTCAGCAGCGTACAACACCAGCCGGGCTGTGGACTCTCCCTCACACAGAGGTTGATATTCAAATGTCAATGTAACCTAAGTAATAAAAATCAAAAAACAAGACTTAAAAAGCTATATGTATTTTTTAGCGGCCTCTATCGGTGATGTTTCAGATTGCAACCAATTTTTGCTCGAACACATGAGCGATACTCACGGTATACGGCCACACTGAGACTTTCAACACACCAGAGAAAGCATCACACAACATGCTGGAAACTCATGTAAACTCCCACTGCAACGTTACAGTAATAGGCTACTTTTATCAGCTTGACGTTGAACTAATGCTCGGACCATGACAATGGTGTTATCAAGCAGGCATTTCACTAACTATTCACGTCTCTTTCACAATCAGCAATGTCAACATAGGTGAATGTATAATGATAACGAAAACGGTTAGTGAACTAGACAATTTCAGTGTAACGGTAAGATCGTAGGAAGTAACATTACTGAACGTGTCTGGAAATGTGTATAATAAACAATATGAGAGTAGTGGGATGAGTGACGTTAAACAGTAGATCTAGTACATAAAATAAGTTACATCCTAAAGCACCTTTTTGTTATCCTGGAACAGTCTTTTGTGTTCATTTCAAGTCTCATATATGTAGTAGTTTAACTTGCTATTTCATTACAGTTTACCATTATTTTAGCATATCTGAAAACTAGCAATTTATCACAATAAAAATAGCGGAGGTCTCTCCATAATTCAAACGCACTGCCGATGTTGATCCGATGTTGATCTGATTCACGTTTGGCCTGACGAGCTTCAGCATAAACTTTTTTGTTTTGCTATATTTATGTGGAGTTTGTGTTGGAGTGTGTGTTGGGATAGTCCACCCAAAAATGAAAATCCTGTCACCATTTACGCCTCATGTCGTTCCTAACCTGTATGACTTTCTTTCTTCTGTGAAACACAAATGAAGAGATTTTAAAGTATGTTAGCATCTAAACAGTTTTCAGTCACCATTGACTTCCAAACCAAAAAATACAATGGAATTTGATGGAAACTGAAACTGTTTGGTTATCAACATTCTTTAAAATATCTTCATTTGTGTTTAGTAGAAAAAAGGTTTGGAATTGACAGAATTTTCATTTTTGGGTGGACTATCCCTTTCTGAAAGCATACCTACCTTAGACTGAGCAGGCACAAGAAACTGTGGCGGAAAACTGATGTCTGAATTCTGGCACTCTGCAGAGAACGACACGTCCACAAGAAGAGGGTTCTCCACCACTGTGAACCCTGATGTCATCTGCCTCACCCGGGTTGCCATTTCTATAGTGTCAATCAGTCCCGGAGCCGTCACTTTAAAGTTGAGGTTGTAGAACAGGAACTCGCCGGTTGCCTCGTTCTTGAATGTCACCTGTGCAAGCGAGGAATATGATATTTCGTGGGCCATAAATCTGTTTTATAACCAAAGTAGTCTGTATTAGCGTATGTATGGGTCTATGATGGCACTTGCTTTAGCATTGTACTGGCCCTCTTTATAAGTGAAGAAGGAGAGTTTGTAGTTCTTCGTATCGAGTGCAGGCACATCAATGTATTCCAGGCCCTTCAGGGAAACAATGCCGTCTGAACGATCTGGTTTGATGAGCTCCATCACAGAACGGAACCTACACAGCAGGACAATGATCAAACATAAATTATAAAATGTAGCTAAGTGAAGGAATAGAAGAATTTATGGTCAACAGAAGGTTTTATGATCATTACAAAGCATATCTCAAGAGGCACTGTATTGTGTGACTGTTTTATGGGTATTTTCAGGATTAACAATGAGCATATGTTTATGTGCAATGCATACAAGAAATGTTTAAGATAATATAAAACCTCTGTAGGAGATCTTTACCCCTTTATTTGGAAATCTTTGCAATAAAATTGTATTTAATTAATTGAAAATAAGAAATAAAAGACATTTCGTGATAGTGAAATACTTCGTTGTGATGTTTCGGTGTGGATGAGGTACCTCTGAGGTCTGGGCAGCCAGTTGTGGACCGGTAATATCTGTGTGTGATGGGTTTTGCATTTGATCTCTTCAGTTACTGTGCCTTCAGCCTTTGGTGGCTCAGCTGTGCCATGCAATATGTACAGTAATCCACTTCCATCAGGAAAGGAGAAGAACACAGAGCCCTGCATCAGAAACAAGTCACCATGAAATCAAAATTCTCGATTTTATAGGAAACTGCAATCAATTATTTGTCTGTGCACATTATTATTATTATTATCTTGAATTAATGTGCCCTCATAATCTTTAATCAGAACATCTTCCCCTCCCTCATCATGCAGCAACATTGAGATCACACGAGATCACAGCAATAGCAAACCACAATGATCCAACGATCCAATCAATTCCTGCCAGACAAAATTTTTTCTTGGTTGAGCAGCCGTTTTATAAAATACTGTATACGTCACAAAATTAGACCATCACAACTTTTATTTCATACCGACTTTTAATAAAGCAGAGGAATCGTTGGGGATACAGTAACTCTGCCAGTTGTATACATTTGTTTTAAATCAAATAGTTGACATGTAATACTTTTCAATTCATATTATTTTAATTTATTTTTTTATTATTATAATATTTTTTTTATATTTTTATTTGACTTATTTCTTTTTATTCTATTTTTTTTTTCTCTTTTTCCTCTTTTTTTTATTGGATTGACTAGGGAGATCATGTAAGGGATAAATAATGGACAATATGTTACTGTCTACTGCTTATGATGCTTTATTTTGTATTGTCATTTAAAACCAATAAAAACATTTGGAGTAAATCAAATAGTTGAATAGCTGTTTCGAGTATAATGAATGGAAAGTGTCGAGAGTGTCAAACCTCATGCCTCTCCCCATCTGCAGTCATGACCAGAGGCTTGTATGTGATCTCATAGGTGCTCTGCTGCGGAGGCTCAATGAGGAGAGTGGGCGGCCCACTCCAGTGCTCTCCCTCTATGACACATTTCAGAGTCCAGCGCTGGTTAATGCGGCTGGGCAGAACCAGAGACTGAGTACACTGGCTGCGCACCTGACATACGAAATTCGCCACCTGCTCACACAAAAGAGAAAGTGACACAACAATAGTCCTAGCCTTTCACTCATTAAAGAAAATAGCTCCACAGTCACATTCAGACTAAGCAACTTACCTCTGCTGCGACCTGCGGGACAATGCAGGAGCCAGTGAGGGTGAGTTTTAACGGTTTGCCCCCCTCTACAGCACAGTAGAGATCATCATAGCGCAAATCTTGACTCAGCTCCGTAGGGGCATAGGTCACTTCAAGAGATACTTCCATCCCTGGGGTTATGTAGCCCTCAGCAGGGGAAATTATGAAATTGGGAGCAAAAGCCTTTACATCCCACTTAAATCTGAAGAGAACAAGGAAAAGCTGAAGATGCACAAATACAAATATATATTTCTATTTGAGTTCATTTCATATTTTGTTACTCAGATTTATTCATTTACAGATTCAGCAACACATTTTAGATGCACGCATGAATGTGTACCTCGCACCAATGTCTCCTGTGTTCTGCATGATAATACGACGGGTGGCTTGGCAGCGCTGGACCACAGCTCCAAACTGCAGGTAGTCTGTGTCCAGTCTGACCTCCACCCCCTGGCAGCTGCCCTTCATGACCAGCAGAGGGCGAATGGCACCTAGACACTCCAGATGCAGCTCCTCTGTGAAGGAAGGCATGCGCTGTTCAGGAGAAAAGAGAAGCTCCACCACACAGCGGCCGCCCCCCTCTTTAAGTGTCACCTCCCCCTCTGGACGAACTGATAAGATCTAAAAAAAAAGCACAGTGATTCATTTTAATGTGTGCATGTTTTCATATACACTCAGGTCCACATGTCTGGGACTATTAGAACATTGGTCATGTGACTGATTAGGGCAGATTTAAAGGAGTAGTTCACTTTTGAAAAAACTTTTGCTGATAATTTACTCACCCCCATGTCATCCAAGATGTCTATGTCTTTCTTTCTTCATTCGAAAAGAAATTAAGGTTTTTGATGAAAACGTTCCAGGATTTTTCTCCATTTAATGGACTTCATTGGGAACCAGACGGTTCAAGTTCCGAAAGAAACTCTAAGTACAAACTGCAAACTTGTTCAAAGGGCTTTAAACGATTCCAGACGATGAATAAGGGTCTTATCAAGCCAAACGATCGCTCGTTTTATAAATAAATAACAAAGCTCCTGTTCGAACTCGTTCATCAAAATGAACAAATCTTTTTCTGAGTCATTTGGTTCATTCGCCGAAAGAAACTAACTAATTGATTTGGAAAAAGATTTGTTCATTTTGTTGAATGAGTTCGAACAGGAGAGTCACGAACGTGCATCACAGAACAGAGCAAGGCGAGCGTTTGATCTCATAAAACTTAAACTTTGTTATTTTTAAAAAAAATTAGCGATCGTTTCGCTTGATAAGACCCTTATTCATCGTCTGGAATCGTTTAAAGCCCTTTGAACAGTTTGCAGTTTGTGCTGAAAGTTTCTTTTGGAACTTGAACCGTTTGGTTCCCACTGAAGTGCATTATATGGAGAAAAATCCTGGAATGTTTTCATCAAAAACCTTAATTTCTTTTCGACTGAAGAAAGAAAGACATGGATGACATGGGGGTGAGTAAATTATCAGCAAAAATCTTTTGAAAAGTGAACTAATCCTTTAAGTTTAATTTAAATCTTTCTGACCCCAAACTTTTAAAAAGTAGTGTATAAGAGAGTGCATGTGCACGTGTTACCCTTGAGTCCAGGAGATAGTTATCAGTGGAGTGCCTCCGAAGACAAAAAGTCAGGGAAGAGTGGCTGTTGTTCACCAGAGGGACCAATTTCTGACTTCGCTGCCCAATCTGCAGAGCTCCAAAATTGACCACCTTATGTGCTGAGTCCTCTAAATGAATCTAAGACAAAAAAAAAAAACAGTGAAGAATGAATATCGGTACATCAGGATGCAGAAAAGTAGGATCATTTAAAACTCACCTTCATTTCAGTGCCTTGTCCCAGGATCTCCACTACTTGTTTGGCACACTTATTCATTTCAAAAACCACCTTTTCGTGGTAACGAACTACTTTGCGTGGGTAGAATGAGAAGAGAACTTCTACAGAGCCGCCAGGAGGAAGGACTTGAGGGGTGAAAGTGACTTCCAGGACGGGTGTGTTGGAGAACAAACAGTCTAGACTGAATAAATAATAAATAACACCATATTATAAAAGCAACCCATAATATTTCATTTTACACATTGCATGCAAAACAAAAATAGTTTCTACCTGATTCCTTTTCTCCCTCGGTTGCTAATCACCAGTGTGTGTGTAGCAGGCACCATACCAACACAGTATATGAAATGCATTCCGAAGTGGTGCTTGAGGAAAGAAAATTCCAGCTCTGGAGTCACAGCTGAACCCATCAGGGCACAACAGAATGTCGGTCCATTCTTTATCTACAAACGGAGGACAGAAACACAACAAATTCTAACATGGCAAATAAAACAAATCATGCAAATGAGATGGGGACAAAAAGGTCTACCTTAATGGAAAAAGTCAGATCTTTGAGAACACATTTTCGCTGAGGGCAGAAGGTCACGGTGCAGTAACTGTGTCCACCTACAGCCACCGTGTCCAATGTAGGTTCAACTTGCAGGTGGGGCTGCAGCATTGCAGGCCCAGATAGATCATACTCAACATCTAAACTAAACTTCCCAGGATTAGACACCACAAACGTGCATGTGGATTTATCGTTTAGCTCCACCTATTCAGGGAATGGCTTAATCAAAATTCTTTGGCGAAGACGAGTCTTTCACACGACATACCGCCACACACTAACTTTGCATTCATAACTGATTTCACATAAATTTGTACCTGTTTGAAGTCAACCGGATGGATCTGGTGTGATGAGAGCTCTGTGATGGATCCCTCAGGGCTCTCATATCGCACATTAGCACTCATGCTGTAACACTCTCCCTTCACATTCATGGTCAGCGACTGGAACTTCCTCCGCACCGTCACCACTAGATTAAAAGCCACATGTCCCTCACGAGTGGGAGTGATCCGTATGACCATCGGGATCCTGTCAGAGGCAGATGTTAAGGGGTGTTAAACTTTATAAATGTTATGTCTCAAACTTTATACAAACACAACAACATACTTCTCTTTGGGTGGAACTGTTCCCTCCATAGGCTCGACCACTAAGCTGTCCTGGTAGCCTTCAGAGTGGCATGAGGACTCTTGGACCATGAAATGGAATGGTTGATCATCTCCATTAACCACAAAAACAGTCTGATGAGCTTCAAAACCTGCACATAAAGGCACCTGGTGAAAAGACTGGCATGTGTTACCCATAACTTCAGAGTGAATATCATCAGTAACTAATCTAAATCAGTAGCTGTTATCATTTACAAGAATATCTCAGTATTGATTTTCCAATGTTCCAATGTTGTTTTGGACCCCATTAACATTCATTGCATGGACAAAAACAGTCGAAACATTCTTCAAAATATTCTGTTGTGTTCCGCAGAAGAATATAGGACATTGTTAGGGTTAGTACTGTAAATGATAACAGATTTTTTTATTTTTGGCTGAACTATCCCTAAACATGTCATGTTTTTTTTTTTAACCTCACCTAGTAACAAGCTGCCCAGATTGAGGTGGGCTCGATCAATATAGACTATAGGCTCTTTAGCAGAGCCCACCAGCAGAAAGGGCAAAGACAAGTTGTGTTCAGGAATTAAGAAAGTCCAGAAGGATTCCACTAAATCCAGGTTGAGAACCCGGTACTCAAAAGAGACCTGAAAACAACAGAGAGTAAACTTTGTTATTGATGCATGTGAGCAGCAAAATATGTGCACCGTGATTTGTTAGAATAAACGAAACACCTTCGCTTCTTTTCCCGGCTGAACGGACTTGTTTGGTGTAAGGCAGGTGAAAGGAGATTTGCCTGAGTCATCACATCTCCAGATGAAAGAGTATGGCTTGTTTATGGGATTAATAATACCAAATTCCCTGAGAGAAAATAATTGAATTCATTATTTCTGTATAATATCACTCACTCATTTATTAAATCAGGGACAAGACTGTCAGCATATTATATTATAGAGTACAGTATATACCACCATTCAGGGGTGCATTTCCCATACAATAATGTAACTCACTGTTTAACCTTCATAGTACTTGACTATCAATTGATTAAAATAAATGCTATAATTCATTCATTCATTCATTCAAATAAATGTAATCACACAACTTATCTCTGTGTCCAATTCAAAGCGGGCAGAATACTAGATCAGGGGTGGTGATGGCGCAGTGGATAAGACACATGCCTTTGGTGTGAGAGACCCGGGTACGAATCCACTGTGAGACACCAATGTGTCCCTGAGCAAGACAAGGTGTGCAACCTCTGACATATATAGCAATTGTAAATCGCTTTGGATAAAAGCGTCAGCTAAATGAATAAATGTAAATGTAGATCTAACGAACCCTAACTGACGAAAACAACCGTTAATTTTACCCATCCGATCAAATATTTGCGTTTAACATAAATAACGGCTTCAAGTTTTCAAAATAACCATGGTATAAGCGGGATAATTCATTTGAATTATTTATTCACGTTAACATGCAGTATTTGGCGTAGAGCTGTAGTTCCAACTTAGGTTTGCGATGCTGTTTGCGAATGTTCATTGAAACTATGGTTTGGAGAAACACCAAATCGTTAAACTATGTTGGTAACGACGGAACTTGCGACTATAGTTGGGTAACAATGCTTTTGGGAAATGCACCCCAGTTTGGGAAATTATGCATTAAATTGACAGTAAAGACAAGTATAGATTTGCAAAAGATTTCTATTTCAAATTCTATTTCAACTATTCATCAAAGAATCCTGAAATAACTGTATCATGGTTTCCATTAAAATAATACATATTATATAACAGTTTATGGTTTATTAATCAAACTCGGCACTATCCATTTTATGAAAATGATCCGCTTACCTGCGGACAGAAGTGCCAATACCCACTGAGGTGAACTCAATAACCCTGGTTTTGGGGTCCACAGTGAGTGAGCTGTGAGGCTCAGGGACCCGTCTGTTTCCAGTCAGGTAGTCTGAATCCTTAAGGTGGAAATGACAGTATGGCAGCAAACTGCGTCCACTCACGGCGATGACTGGACTCTGCTCGTCCTTTATATTAGGGATGCTACAATTTAAAAACAGTTTGTAACTGAGCAGTAAATCATGATCAGCTAATTTCAGAGAGTGTTAGGAATTCATTAAATCTGACAGGAAAATAATACACTCTACGTGTCTGTAAATAAAAGAGTCTGACCTGCACATCAAACGGGCCTCAAACTCAGCCACTTCCAGTGGGGAGAATCGAATGTGGAAGGTTTGACTCGCTCCTGGATTGATAACCCCTATACCAGGATCAACACTGAAGGGAGGAAGCTCTGGGTCTCCTAGCAGTAGAGAGGACACACTCTGCAGAGAGCTTGCTGGTCTCTCTGGTGTCCTACTGCCTTGAGCCGAGCGAGAACTCCTACCTGATCCATCAGATATATTACTATTACCTTTAATACAGTTTTTTTCACTTGCATCAACTGAATATGTCAAATAAAATTCACAGTAACATGTAACAAGAGGCATCAGACCACAATTCAAATATTTTTACCTCTATTTTCAAAGCATTTAGTCTTCCCATATGCATCCATTAGAACCTGCCAAGAATACTCCATCTTAACACTGCCTTTGTTCTCCATCTGGAGCCTATAAAACATAACAACACTTATGAAAACATTCATCTGTCCAAATTAATAATAAGCTATAGTGCATGAGTGCATTTCAACTTACTGAAAGACTCTGGTCTGGTACAGCATTGTGTCTTTGAAGCGGATGGGCCCAGTGTCACATTGGTATTTGACATAATCACAAGAGGCACTAACCATGAGCTCCATCTCTCTAGAGGAGTTCTCCACCACAGAGTGAGGAGGCTCAGGGTCTGTCACCGCAACCTGATCACAGAACAGGGATTAGGTTATAAGAATTATATCTTCACTGTAAAGTCAGACCTAATTTAAGACCTTTAAGATAATTAAACATTTATTTCATTGTAATTGTCACTTCATGTCTTGCAATTGTGACTTTTATTTATTAATTGCAATCTCAATTGGAACTTCCTTTTTCATAATTGTGACTATTTCTTATTTTAAACTTTGTCAAAATGTTGGCTTTTAATGAACTTTATCAAATGTGCAGATCAAGTTTTTTTCTAGATGAACTACTGCATTCGCTTAATTATCATTTGTGCTATTGGCATCTCTATAACAGACACAACAAAACCCACCTTCCGTTTGTTTGGCTGTTGTGACGACTTGTCTGCATCCACCCATTTAACAGTTCTGTGACAATCATCCCAGTCTGGAACCTGGTCTACAAGCTCCTGAAAGGTAATACTGCTGAGTTTACATTTTATAGTTTGTGCATTCAGCACAATTGGCTGCTCTGAGCAGAAGGTCACAGTCACGACTTTGGAGCACTCGGCATGCAGGTGGCCAACTTGTGGAGAAAAACTCAGCTCTGGGCCATTGGGGAGCCATTCAAAGCGTAGCACATTGGAGCTGCTTGGGTTTGTCATGGTCAAAGTTTCTTGATAAGTGTGGCCCACGTGACAATCTCCAAAATCCATAAGGTCAGACGGACCTGAGAGGAACAATCAGAAGGGATGATTACTGTATAACATTACATGGGTATTGAAAACAAAAAATATCTATAAAATAAAAAGCACAATTTTTATCTTAAAGGGGTCATGAACTGGCTTTTAAAATTCTATTCAATTGTTGTCTGAGGTCAACTTATGACGTTCGCTTGGTTTTTGCATTCAAAAACATCAAAATTGAATAAGTAATAGGCTATTTTCTACCCTAGTTTTGAGCCTAGCTGAAAAACGCTCGGTTTTTATGGGCGTCTCGCACTGAAGACTTGGAAGTAAACGCCCACTGCTGTGAGTGGATAACAGTTTCGCATATTATAATGAGTTTCAACTCACTCGTCGGTGCACGTCGGCGAAATTGTTTTGAAAACGTCCAATGTTGTAAAATGGAAACCGGAATGATTCGCCCATACATGTTCGACCCAGAGTCCGTATGTTGCACCATTCCTGTCGGATCCAATATAGACGGCACAGCACCGTTCTTTACCCTCAATCGGTCTGCAAATCCAGCCGTGTTTACAAAACAATCCTCAGTGAAATGAAGCGAACAGATGTACAATGTTTTACCCTCATCAGCTGGAACGTCATTAAAAATAAAGTTATCCATGCAGTCCTATTGGAATCCAGAGGAACCTTATGCAGCGACTGTCTTCTTCCACAACCAGGTACTGCACAATATTTTGTAAACGGCATGTTAATTGCTCGGTAGCTCGATCTGGTTTGTCATCACGAGGTGTTATTTAGCTATGCGTGTAATGCACAAATCGGTGGGCGGGGCTAAACCGGCCGCATTGATCTTCTTCTGCGGGGGTGGTGACGTCATAGTTCCCCACTTTGAAAAACGAGTCGTTTGCTGAGCCTGGCGTCATTAAAAGCTTTAATTGGACTAAAAAGGACGTTTTCAGTTCTGAAACTTACAGGATATTCTAATAATATGATGACCTCTTAGATGTCAAAAGGAAAATTTGATTTCTCAGTTCATCGCCCCTGTAATCATGCTTAGGAATGTTTGAAATATTCTAAAATTTAGCAACAATGACAGAATACCCAAAAATTCCTGTCCTGTGCATTACTTACTTTCAATACTGTCCTGCTGAACCTTGCTGCCAATGTTGTCCAGGATGATGATGTCATGGTAACCCTCGCCCACAAGCTGCACCACAGTCTGATCATATTGGTTGTCCTTTAACATTAACTTCATGCTGGCCTCAAACTTCTGAGCCACCTTTGGATGAAAGCCGACTTGGAATTCTGCGTGTTGCCCAGTCATGAGTATCAGAGAGGCTACATGAGCAAGCTGTGCCTCTGATGAGGAACAAAAACGCAGTTATATTTTAATACATTTTTGTTTGCATATCTCATTCTAATGTTCTCTTTGCTTGTCATCTCCAGCGAAATGTTTATACACAAGTCATGGAAGAAATAACATTTTGTTACTTATGGTACAGCACTCCATAAAAATGTAATAATCGTAAAGCTTGAAATGGCTAAATTAAATTTTAAAATATTCTTACACAGCTCTCTAGAATACATGATTCTGATTGGTCAATGGTGCATTGTTTAGTCAACCATGCCTGCTTGACATCAGGGTACTGATTATTCTGTATTTTGTAATGATCCCTTACATAACCTATAAAAAATGATACCCAATTTAATGAAATGGAACAAGGTCCAAAAAAATCTGCTGCTGTTTGTGTTGACACTGACAGTTTCATAGCTGTTATTTGGAAAGCAAGACATAACAGCATTGTGCAGAAATTACAGTGGGAAGAACACATTTCATTCGTGTGTAAGGCTTGCCTTTTCCGGGATTGCTTTCCGTGTGTGAGGAGGCCAGTCTGCATACAGTGCCAGGGGCAGCTTTTAGAGTGAAAACATCCAGGTGACACTGTAGAACAAGGCTAACCTGCGAATACAATGGGAGAATGGATAATTCAAGTTAGATAAATAGCAATTCAGTCATAAACTAATTCTGATCTTACCTGTGCTGGCACATTGCCATTGTTCTTGATCACTAATGGAAGAGTCTGCCCTCGTCCCACCAATAAGCGCTTAAACTGTAGCACTGGCTGACCTCGATTGGTCCTCTGAACGGGTCTCAGAACAGTGATGCTGGGCAAGTTGCCTTCACCCATCAGATCAAACACAAGAGCTTTGGGTCTGTGGGCAGAAGTTTGATTGTGATTCAAAACAGAACGAGTAAAGCTTCAACATACTCTAAACAGTTCAATCTGCACTGAGATGCAGTTACCTTGTGTTCATCTTCAGAACTGCCTCAAACACCGCGTGATATGTGCTCATAGTCAAGGGAGAAAAAGTGACTGTGGCAAAAGCATAAGAGTGGCTGGGGATACACATCTTTGCAGGGGTCAAATCAAAAACCTCTGCATTGTGCGTTGTCGTCTAGAATGATCAAAAACGGGTTAAGCAAAGATACAGTTGAGCAGTAAACATTTTTCAAAACATAAAAATGCTATAAAATTCGTACATATTCTGCAGAATAATGTAAATGGTGGCAGAACCACCCCTCACAAACACACCTTGACTGTTTTGATCGCCAGGCTGAGTTCACAAGACACTTTTCCTGGATTGGTCAGCCGAAACTTGGCTTTGGCCGACTGACCCACCAGTACATTGTTGAAGATAAACTTGTTCTCGTCCTGTACGTAGACACCCATACTGTCCCGGTATTGCTCACACTGCAGCATGCTACTGTTCTTACAGATGCGATGCTCCTCAAAGATAGAAGCTATGTCTGTACTTGCTATTCCTATAAACAGTACAGTGACAAAGACTGATCAAAATCTAAATGAAGATTGTCACCAAAAATTATTTTAAACTATACAACTATACCCCCCCCCCCCCCATTTTTTTAAGCAGCAATATTTTTTTTTCATACTTCATATGTGTTTCTTAATTCATTCACACATTATTCATGAGACACTAAGCCAATAAGCAGAGCTATATCATAAGGCCCACTGAGCCCAGAGGTGGAGCTGCACCACAGGACCCACTGAGCAATGGAGTTGCACCTGCACCATGGGGCCCATTGAGCACAATAGGAAGATATTTGTGGGTAGATTCAATGTAATCCAAATAATGGGTGGCTAATATAAAATAAAAAATTTCAAGACCAGGTAATTCTATAAATTTCATAAATTTTATAAATTTAATAAAATTTAAGAAATTTTATAAATTGAATTAGTTAATTAAAGGGATACTTCACCTCTGGAAAGATGAATGTTTATTTAAAATGGGTCATTTATGTAGAAGAAATGTGAAATTATTTTGGAATTTGGAGCTTTCTAGACTGAGAAAAGCCAGAAAATGTATTTTTGGCTTATGTGGATGAGAGACAACAACTCCCAGAGTGCACTTGCTTCGCTGCCCTAGGAGGCCACGCTTACCAGTAACAGAGTGCAGTAGTTAAACAACAGGTCTAGGCTACTAGTGAGTCTAGTAGTCATGATGAGTCTGCCCGAAAATGTGTTTCGAGATTGCCCAAAATGTCAAGCAGGTGGAGGAAGAACGCTGCACCAAAATGGCCAGCATGTCCAAAATAATTCAGTTAGATTGAAACGAAAGCTGTGAATGTAAACAATGAATGGCGACTGCAGAAAGCAAAAGCTACATCCCGGACATCGACGGCCGGACACGTCCGGGAAAAAGAGGACGGTAACCCCGCCCTACTACTCAGCTTTCTCCACAGAACAAGAGCCTGCTAGCTTAGCTTCCAAAAAAAGATGGCCGACACTATGTGTTCATTCTGTGAGTGAGATCCCTCTATGGGCGGGTTGAGGACATGCAGGACAGACCCTACTACTGACTGTAGTCTTTAGCCTCTGGCCACAAAATCCTCTGATGATGCAAAATGACGATTTTTGTGTCATCTGAGGATTTTTTTCAGACAAAAATACATATATCTCTCATCTCTATATGAGAGGATATGAGGGTGGAAATCACGGTAATTTGAAAATACTACAGGTTTTCTACTAATACAAAGCTTAATGCTAAATCCTGAAGTATCCCTTTAAGATTAAGGTTCCTCTCTTTACTTATCAGGACATTTGGCAGTCCTCTGGGTGATTTATAGTAAATAAAGTGATTAGATTACTCCATCAAAATGTACCATAAAAGAAAGAAAAAAAAAATCAGAGAAGATTCTTCATAGAACTTCAGATCTACTCATTCAAAGTCACAAACCTGGCATACAAACTTCTGTTACTAGCTTGTATGGGATCCCGTCTGGATTGTCAGAGGGGTCTCTGTCAGAGATGTCTATTGCTAGACATTCCTCCCAACTACCTACATGCTCAGCCTTGCAATCCACAGTAACTATTTGTTGGGCTCCAGGAGCCAAAATCCCAAAGCATGGAGACAATGAGAAAACACCACATGTCAAATGTATCTGTAAAAAAAAAAAAAAAAACATGCATTCCATATAAACATAATTTGTAATATATTACATGTAATGTACACGCCATTAAAACAGTAAAAAAAGAAATATCGTTTCTTACCTGTGTTGTCGTGCCAAACTCATTCTGCATAGTGTGTCGTAATTCACTGGCAGAGGATGGTTTTGTAGCATAACTGTCTTTTGATGTTTTCTTACTTCCCAAGCTTAAAAACAAACAGGAACCAGGACATTTAATGTTTAACACAATTTCATTTCATTTAATTATAAACAATAGCCTTACCCTCTCCTCTGTGAAAGAACAGGGGCGTTTTTACACATCCAAATGTGGAAACGCATCTCAAAGTTGCCTTTATTCTCCACAGTGAGAGTCTGTTTTTTACGTGAGCCGTACAGAAGTGGGCCCAAGTTGATTTCATTAGTGGGACTGATCCTATATTTGGAGAAAAGTGCCTGGACTGACACTTTGATTGGTAGAGTATTAATGGTCTCGCCACCATCCAAATTGGGCTCAATAACCTATTCAGAAAATTCAATAAAATATATTAGTTTAGTTTTTGATGTAAAAAATACTGCATGGTAAAGAATATATTAAGATTTAAGACCTGACAGCAAAGGATTGGGCTATCTCTGATGAACATCTCCTTGTTGTGGTGGTAAATAATCTGGACATTGCTGGGTTTATTGTTGGGGCGTAGAGAGCCCTTCGGAGGAGTGATGGAGAATATTGAGTTCAGATCTGGCATTCCTGGCTCTGTGGACACCAGTGTAAATCTGCAAGAGAAAATGATTCACAAAAAAGAAACTTTACAGACATTTGTGATGTTATTACTTTTATTAAAATGGAAACATATGGTTAAATATCTATATAGTAACTTACTGAAAGGCTATGTCATATTTGCCTTTGTTTTCCAACTTAATTGACTTCTTGACCTCTTCTGATACTTTGATTGTTCCAAAATCTAATGAATCACCAGAATCTGCAGCAAATACAAAAAAAACATGAAAAAAGAATAGTTCAATTAAAAATGAAAGTTCATTTACCAACCCTCAAAATTAAGAAATTAATTCTGGTCACTCTTTTCTGTACACATGCAATGAATGTAAACAGACATACATCCATGATGAACCAATGAGCTAAATGTTAGTTAAGTACCTTCTGGAAGGGTTATGTCCAATGCAATATCATAGGCCTCTGCAATAATCTGAATGTTCTCTGAATGTTGAACGACGTCAAGAACGTTCTCCACATCTGACACCTGGTAAAATAAAACATGCCTTATCAGGCAAATGTACACAACCCAATGCATACTAAGTACAACACCAATTACAGTTACACTGACTTTATGTCTCCAGGAAATATTCACATTTATTGCAGCAGTACCTCTAAACAAATGGATCTCTTCAATTTGATGGGGTTCTTAGCTATAAAATGCATGTGAAGGTTGAAGTCAGAATGAGGCATGATGATGCCCTGGTTCTGAGACAAGCTGAATTCCTCCCCAAGCGTCTCCAGGCCCTTCAGCCTCCAAGCAGCTGGCAAAAGGGTGTTATTCCTTAAACGCAAACTGCGGGTTTCTTTTCTGTAGGAAAAGTATGACAATTAATGAGAAGAATATTGTCATGTGAAGCATTTCTGATGAATAACAATTAACAAAAAGTCATTCGTTAGTTAAATAAAAGTGTTTCAAGCAATAATCACATTCCTTGGTAAAGTAAATGTAGTAGACCTGTATGGTGGAGTTTTGTCAAACTGGAGCAGTTTGCGGTCCAGCTCCAATTCAGGCCTGACTCCAACACAGGAGAGACGGAAAACAACAGGCTCTGGGTTCCCCTTGATACAGATCACCATTTTGTCCTCTATATGTTTGGGGGTATTTGGGTATGCCCACACCACTAGTACCTGCCAGGGGAATATTAATGACAATAAACTGACAGCTAATGTTATTGTACAGGTAGTAGTAGTAAGTATGAAGGTGTGCACATTCAAAACCTAATTTGGGTTTCGGGTGATGGACAAAAAAATAAAAAACAAACGAAGAAGGAATAATGTGGCAGCAGCACACTGAAATTAAAGCTCCAAAACACTTTTTTAATAAAGTAATAGACTATTTGGAGCATTTACAGCTCATTTAAAATATTTAAAAATGTTTTACAGCTCAAACAAACACAGATTTTGTGCAATAAGAAATATAAATGTGCATACTTTTCGCTCATTGGGTTCCAGAGTCATATTTGGAGGGTCAAGAAGGAAAGTGGTGGCCTTGGTATCATGTTCGAAGCAAAAATGGATCTCCTCCTTCATTGTAGAATTGTTGTGAATTACAAACTTTTCCATGTTCTCAGGATATTTTCCTTCCTCAAACCTGGGTCAGGATAACATCATTTATACTAATAAATACCTAATATAAATAAACATTTAATATCGACTGTTAAGACAACCAATAATGCAATAGGGTTAGTTTGGCACTTAATGTCAGCACCTGTCCCTGGTCTTTCCACACAGTAGAGGTCCAAACTCATACAGCTTCGACTGGATAATGTAAGTCTTTAGGAGTCCGCTCTCAGGCCGCAGGATCTTTTTGCAGTGTGCAAACACAATCCTATTAAATAAACACATATACACCAATTAAATCCTGTCTAAGTTCAATGATAACTTAATTTCCCTAATGAAATGTCACTCACTTGGGGTCTTTGCTTATAGATGGGTATGCACAAATTCCTCTACAGTGTAGCTGATAACATCGCTTGGTCCCCATCACCTCAAAGCTGAAAGTCTGATCAAATTTTCCAAGAACAGAAGAGTAAAACCCTATCCTTAGGGTAACTGCTCCATTTGGTGGTACAATCCAGCGGAAATGAGTGAGTCTGTAAAAGAACGGAATGGTTCTCAGAATGAAATGGTTCTATTGATTTGTGATTGTACTGTATATGAGCTTAAAGGACCTCTTGTACCCTTTGCTGTATTCTGAGTTGGGTTCTTCAGAAGGTGTACTCTGGCCAGGTTGAGAAGTGTTAGTAATTGCCATGCCTTCCTGCAAACGACAAGTATATTGATTTTAATTTGGTTCAGACAAGACTTTTACTTTGTTCAAATTAAATTTACATTTAATGGGATACTCGTCCGTTTTTTCATATTAAACGAGTTGATGCATACCTCTCTCGTCTCAATCGCTCTGGCGCGTGAGACACTTTGATAGCACTTAACTAGCCCAGTTCATCCATTTTACACGCTTAGAAAAGCGCAACGTTTTATTTTGTGTCACGTCCTAGGTCGGGTTACACTGCTCGTGTAACTGTATTTAAATAGGGAAAACGTGGAGGTGTTTGGTCGCTTCTCTGCTTGGCCCATATTGAATGAACTGGGCTAGTTAAGTGCGATCAAAGTGTCTCGTGCGCCAGAGCGATTGAGACGACAGAGGTATGCATCAACTCGTCTTAGTTAAGGGAATAACAGTTTAATATGAAAAAAACGATGGAGTATCCCTTTAAATGACAAGGCTTTAGATATGAAAAAGAGAGTTTCTTTGAGACTTTAGTACCTGAGCAGCTTCTTTCACGTCGTCACAAGACATGGGCATCAAAAAAGTAAAACAGCTGCTGGAGAGATCTGTGTTGGGCACTGATCTCATCTTAGGGTATGAGACTATGGAGAATATTATTGGTGGTGGGATGGGTGGACCTTCAGGTCCTAACCCTAGCCCATGCAAAACCTGTAAAAACAATTTTAAAAAAACTTCAAGTTCATACACTATGTACGGATACAAACTTTGCACAAAGAAAATAATTCCAACATAACGAGAAATTGAAGTATTTGACCTCTTCATGGGAGGGTAGTTTCATGCTACTGATGATCTCCAAAGCACTCAGTTCCTTCTCTTTTATAAAAAGCCATATGTGTGGGATGGGTTCTGGCACCACCGTCTTTTCCAAGTCTTCAACACCATCAGTTGACACTTGGGTCTGACTAGGAGCTGGTGACTTCATTTCTGCTGGCTTTTCCTTCTCAGCTTTCTCCTTCTCTCGTTCCTTCTTGCTCTTTTTGGCAGAGGGAGGAGGACAATCCATGTCTCTGGTCTCTTGGCCTTCGGAGGCCATGGGCTGTGCTAAAAGACCCTGCGTTCGGTCCCAGAACTGAAGAACGTGTTTGAGTTCTGCCTGGCTCTGTTCGTACAGATGGAATCGGGCCAGTAGTTGTCTGTCACTCTCACTGGACTGTTGACGGAGAACAACAAAACACAGCAAAGGTTTTAAAAGTTTTATTTTGATTGGAAGTCAAATACTTAATACATTTCGTCTACTCATGTTACTAAATTTTACAAGAATAGTCTTTTGAAAGTACCGTAAACATATCGTCAATTCTACTCCCAAACAAACCATTTCTTGTTGTAGGTCCTCAGATGGTGGCAGAGTGTCTTCCTCTAGTGGTCTGGAATCACAGTCTTCACTAGGCGTCATCTCCTCTGCTCTTAAACTCTCAAGCTCCTGTTGTCTTCTCTCTACTTGTTCTTGCTCAAACTTTTCTGATTCTCTAAAATAATACACAATTTGGTCTTATGTGCGGTTTTTGTGTGTGAAGAACACTTTGAATATTTGCTATCATTACTCATTTAGAATGCATTTACTTTTTTTGTAAAACCTGTAATTAAAATTGACTTAAAAAGACTTGTTTTTAGAGTATACACCCTGAATTAAATGTATTTGTTGATGGATTAACATTTAAAGTGAAAAATTGACGGCCTAAAATATTAGTATTATGACTCTAACTTAAAACAGTTAGTACGAATTAAATGCTTTAAAGGTACAGTGCTATAAATATTTTATGTCAAAGGGGTTAAGTGTGACAAAAAAAGTTTTGGAATATAATATTAAGGTAAACAATTTTTCCAGTGTACTTCAAAAACAAAAAAGAAAAATCTTATGTTGAATTAGTGTCAAAACGGTGTAGAGCACCTGAGCTTGAAGGCGCTGTAGCTGTTAAAGAGGTCCATAACATAAATATGGCGACGGTTGTTGAATGCTTTCAGAATGATCTGGAGTGTGTTCCTTAGAGAGCTGCTGTACTGTGTCTCCAATCCGTCAACCACAACACCACGTTGACAGTCGCTAAGCTATGCCATGGGAGCAAGGAAGACAAAATCACTATGTGCTGTCTACATATGCTGTGAATGTGATTGACATAAACTATCATCCTTATATCAGATACCAGGCATAGGGTATACAATAAAATGACCACAAACGTACAGTAGAATCCTCTCACCTGCAGTCTTTCTGACAGGATCTCTACCAACACATCATCAGGCAGCTCTTCATTCTGACTGACACTCAGATGCCTGGGTGCCTGGCCATCTGTCTGTAACAAAAAACACACACATTTTTATTTATATCCATTCATACATGATCCAGTACAGAACAGATCCACTTATTACAGGATATGTTTTACTACACTATCTTACTATATTAATGTAGGGAAAGTACTCTTATCCTCACCAACACTGCAATTATTTTATTTATATATATATATATATATATATATTTTTTTTTTTTTAAACAGTCAAGTCAGTAATATTGTGAAAGATTGTTACAATTTAAAATAACTGATTTCAATGTATATATATATAACAATGTGTATATATATATATGTTAATTAATTGCGATTAATCGCATCCAAAATAAAAGTCTGTGTTTACATAATATATTTGTGTGTGCTGTATATAACTATTTTGTATAAATAAATACCTATGCATGCATGTATATATTTAAGAATTATTTGCGCTTAAATTCTGTATATATATAAAAATACATAATCTATATTCTATAAATATTTTATATATGAATAACACATTTTCTTAAATATATACATGCATGTGTGTGTATTTATATATACAAAATAATTATATACAGCAAACACAGACTTTTATCTTGGACGTGATTAATCGCAATTAATTTTTGCACAGCCCTAATATATATATATAGAGAGAGAGAGAGAGTAATTTATTTTTTTGATGGCAAAGCTCAATATTTAGAGTCACATGATCCTTACAAAATCATGAAAACATTTGTGCTACTTATTTTGTATGTTTTTTTTAAATGCCGATACATTTTTTCAAAATTCTTTGATGAATAGAATTTAATTTTTCATTGATTTTTTTATTTATTCATATAAATATCTTACTATTTACACTGTATATATCGCATACTCTTTTTAGAAAAATGTTTGACCTAAAATGTTTGACCTATTGTTTTTCTTGCTTTAATTATTACTTTTCTAAATCTGTTAAATTTATGCTTTATCATATTGAGTAAAGGATTGTCATATATTCAATTTCATCTAATATACTATATGTGAATAAGTGAAAAGCCCTAAAAATGTGTGTACCACTGAAGCAGCAGGACCATAGCTGTCATTCTTCTGTGAATGCCCTGTGATGTTTGTTTTGTTGCGGGTTGAGGCAGAAGAGGGCTGGACTTTAGGATCACTGGTCTGGCTTCCCTCTGCCGTGTGTTTGGCAACTGCTTCAACACTAAGAACACCAGCACCCTGACCAGGAAGAGCCATCATATCCTCCACTTCCTTCTGAGCATACACCACAGCAACCTTGGTACATAGTTCTCTTGCCCTCAGGGCTGCAGCGCTGTTCCCTGATGACACGGCCTCCTGCACCACCTCATCTACACTGAGATAAGCCGCCCCATAGTGTTTAGCCAGAGTAACTGCTGTCCTTGTTTTACCTGCAACACAGATCCTTACATTTACAGATGCGATCATTTTGTGCTTGGAAAAAAAATACCTTTTTTTTATTATTATTTATCATCTTACCTGACAGGGGAGCGCCATGCACAATGATGGCAATGCCCCGGCGATTTAGGGCAGCCTTGCCCTCAGGTGAAAGATCAATGCCCATGTGACGTGCGATAGCTCTGGACACAGGGTCGTATTCCAGTTCCCCCACTGCAGTTTCAGCACTGATGTTGTCTTTAGTCAAGCCTTTGAGAGGAAGACACATGTATTCTCATTTTTGTGCCTGCAATAATGTACTGTATCATAATACCAATCTCATAAAGAATGCAAATGCATTAAAATCACTATTGGCCTCAGTTGAACCATACCTTTACCACCGGGTGTTTCAACCTCAGCTGTCTCCCCCTTGGCATCTTCAGCAAGACCTTCCCAAGATTCTTAAAAACAGGCGAGATCTATTAGATTCACTTCAAAAATCTGTGATCATGCACTCAGATGTCCGATTTGTGTTAGTCTTATACAAAATTCCACATCAATTATAAATTAAAACCTTATTTCAAAATTTGTAGCTAAAAAGGCAGTCTGACATAACACAAGCAAATATCCTTTGTTTATTACAAACACAGCATATAAAGACACACTTTAACTCATTTTCAAATGTAAACCCATTTTAATTAATAAGGATAGGTCTGACACATGCATTCAAAACTAAACGGGTCTAAAATGTGAACCTGCATCAAAAATGTGCCTTTAAAGGTGCCCCATGTAATTATTTTGATTGTACTAAAGCATAAAATACCATATGTTTGCAGAGACGTAGGAAACATGCTAACCAAGTTCAAATACTTGTTTGTTTTTATTTACTGCTACTAGCTACTGTATTCTACATCTATTAGTCTGTGTGATCCCGCCCACAGCCAATTTACCCAATAGTATTTTGGTATAGTAGTATTTAGGAATAGTATGTCAGTGGGTGGAAAACACAGCGAAGGAAGCCAGCAAATGAAGTGGTTCAGAGATCGCAAATTCTAAAAAAAAAACAAAAAAACTCTGCAATAAAAACATTGCAAGCATATACATTAGCTGATCAACTTATACTGTAAGGCTCGTCGCTTTCCATTGTCAGTTAAGCTTGTTTCGGTTGCATGTCCAAAATCTGTCAATAATTTATATATTATAATATTATAATATAATAATTTAATAATTTACTCTTTAAAGAGTCTAAAGAGGAGGTGGCGGGGGGGAAAACTCTCCAAAACTATTTTGGACTGCAGTACTCAGTTCAACCGCAAGCTGTCAAAATTACATAGCAATTTCTATTATCATACAGACCAGGGGTTTTCAAACTGGAGTCCATGGAAAAAATTAGAAAGTCATTGTGTAAAAATAAATAAATGATTAATAAATAAAAAAAGATTAAACTAAAAAATAAAATGAAAAATATTAAATAAATAAATTTCAACTTCCGATTTCGGAGTCGGTGGCATTTAAAAGACAAAAAAAAAAAAACCCTAATGTAGACCATCTCTGCAGCAGTATGCAGTACCCTGGTTGGTTTGTGAGCTGTGCGCTTTGTAGTAGTCCAACAATTCTGGGGGGAGAGTCTCGCCAGGAGAACGGGGAGGTAGAAGTAACACATTTTGAGCATCATATCCTTTTATCATCCGCAAGATCTGAGGAGCAGAACGGAAAGAAAAGAAGCATATAATGGGATTGTCTAAACAGTGTCCAGGCCTTAAAACAAACACATCTGACTGGGACAAATAAATATAAATATTTAAATCTCATTTATAAATGAAACAATTAATAACATAGCTCAGATTATGTATTCTTGGAAAATTTGATAAAATGTTCATGTTGAAATATTCATATTTCAGTATGTCATCACATTACTTTTAATATAAATATTTAAATCACGACAACTCTCTGAATAGTTTTAGCATGTTATTGAATATGCCAATATTCATTAGAGGAGAACACTATTGGTTGAGTAGAGAACCCCTGATACGATTGTAAAGCGCTTTGGGTGTACAGTAGTACATATGAAAGCGCTATATAAACAACAACAAGTTTATTTATATAGCACAATTCACTCCATCAAAGTACTTCAATGTGCTTTACAAAAAGTAAAAACATCAAGAAAAAATACCAGATACAAAACATGCACAAAAAAGATAATAAGGATTTAATAAAAAATAAATAGACAAATTTAAAACTACACAGTATAGCTAATTTTAAGATCTCAGTCATAAGCTTGTGAGAAAAGAAAAGTTTTCAACTTAGATTTAAAAATCAATACATTCGGGGCACATCTAATATCTTCTGGTAATTTGTTCCAGTCGTGTACAGCAGAGATGCTAAACGCAGCTTCTCCATATTTTGTTTTAACTCTGTGCTCCACTAGCTGACCTGAGTGTATTGATCTAAGAGTCCTGTTAGGTTTATATTTTTCAAACATTTCGGAAATGTACTCAGGGCCTAAACAATTCAGTGCTTTATAGACTAAAAGCATCACTTTAAAGACTATTCTATAGTTAAAATACAAATATAATAAATATAAATTATAATAAAAATAAATAAATATAATAAAAATAAATTAAAATAAATATAAATGCCTCATTCATTAATTCATTCATTCATTTATTTGTCTTATATTTCATGCTGCTGCAGAACAAATATGGACTTGCTACTACTAATAGATACACAGACACTTCTGTGAAGCAAGATATGCTGCTGCATAAATAGACATAAATCCCGTAGCAGACCTAGGCAGCTGTAGGCTTTCAGAGGAAACAAACAAGGCAAACACAGCAATCTCATTGGCTGCAGGATCAGCAGAGGCCAATCAGCTTGTGCCATGCAGTAATAATGTGAATGCATGCATACTGCATGTAAAGACCAATCAACCTGCACCCTCTAGACTGGTTTCATGACTGAACTGGATTTGTTTACAGAAATATTAAGATAAAGATATCTAAAAATATACTATATATCCAGACAAAAATCTCATTTGTAACCAATTAAGCTCACCTCTTCCTCTTCTAGGTACTGCTTGTCGAAGTCCAGAGAGTAAAACTCAATAGGGAAGGGGCAAGGGTTGCGGACAATCACTTCAGCAACCTTTCCTCCACTATAGGGTAGGATGGATCCCATATCTAGTGTTGAGGAGGAAAACTCCAGCTGAGGCTCTTCTCCTTGTCCTTGGGCCAGAAGCAGGATCTTCTGAGTGCTCTGAGCCACTGTTATCACAAGTCTCTGACTGTACGTCCTCTGAAGGGAACACATAAGAAAAGAGGAAGCAATCAAGCTTTTGAATAAAAACATGTCGACTGCAGGCAACACAACAACATATTGGAATTATTCATAACTAACTCAGTAGAGGAGCCTTCATCCTGATTTAAGGAATACAATTCAACATGGTAAACTGATTTGTGTTAAAAAATCATCACTAGGGTTGATAAGAATTTTATGTTTTTGAAAAATGATCACCAAGGCTGCATTTATTTGATCAAAAACACAGTAAAAGTAATGCTGTGAAATATTGATACAATTTAAGACAACTGTTTGTTATTTGAATTGTATTTTTTTTTCCTGTGATTACATTTTCAGACAGGCCTTACTCCAGTCTTCAGTGTCACATGATCCTACAGGAATCCTTCAGAATCATTTCTTGTTGTTATCCATGTTGAAAACAGTTGCTTAATACATTTGTGGAAACGAATAATTGTATAATCATACAGTCGCTAGTGTCTGTGGTTGACTTTACCCCCTCTGCTGGGCTGAATTTGACCTGCACGTTGGTTCTGTCACCAGGATGGAGTGTGCCATCGGAAGGCAATAACTCAAAGACAACTGGAGGAGGCCGCTGTTTCAGCACAGCCTGTCGTCTGAGGTACAGTGGGATGTGCTTGTCAATCTAATCACAAAACAGATAATATGTTATCACTTTATTTAATCACACAACAAAAAAACTTAATATAATGACAAATGGTGATAGGGCTAAGGTAAACCTCAAACTGCAGCCGTATCTAAAACTAGAAGCAGCAAACATGCCATAAAGACCAATGAATCTCAGCCCTACGGCAAACACATTTTAATATCCAGTATATATATATAATTCATTACTGTGACGAGTCTCTCTACTCTTCCTGCTATGGCTGGATCTTCAAGGGAATGATATCCACCTGTTCATCCCTCTATAAAAGTGTAGGCTGGTTAGTGTTGAAGGAGAGCTCTTTCTCCGTGTTACTTTGAGTTGAGCTGGTTTGTTCTTAGGTTAAATTAGTTTTTGTTATTTGGTTTAGTATTTTGTTTTCTCTGGTTGATACACTTATATCCATGCACCTGACAGACATTACAGATGACCATGTTTACTTGTTTTATATATTTTTCTATTTATATTAATAAGTGTTTATTTCTGCAATCTGTCAATCACATTTCATTTGCCACAGCTTTGAGCCGGTCATGACATTCCTTAGGCTATGTTTACACGGAAATGATCTGAAGAGAAAATGCAAAAGTGGCGTTGTGTTATCACTTTTTATTCTGCGTTTACGCAAGACGCAAAAGTGTGTGAAATCCTATGTAGTATGCACTCCAGGCGGCTAGGTGGCAATGTGGAGCACAGCTTCACTGTCTAGCAGACTTTTGCATTTTATCATAGCCCGTCTAACGGAGAGCCTTGGCACTTCCTATTAGCCCCATTGTGCATCATCTTGGTTGCAGTTCCATTAGAATTCCACTGGAGGTGATCGCGGGCGAGTGCAGAATGAATGGGAGTCTATGGGGCTAAACGGCTAAATGTGTCTCTTTCACCTGCTTGTCGTTAAATCAACATAGATTTTATTGTTGATTCCGCAAGTTCAATATAGATTATAGGCCTAAAGTCGAATGAACGAGTACTTATGTCCTTTCGATGTCTTACAGGTTAGGCCGTTGTTGGCCGGAACACGCTAGCATTCTGCTATTGTGCGACGTCATCACAGTTTTGAATGGATTTTTGCAACAGATAAGTGAACTTAAAAATGCAATTTTCAGCTGAGTGTATTATCTTAGCCCTCCCTTTTGAATGTAACTTTCAAATTACTTGACAAAAAATTACATCCTGAGAAAAGTGGATTTCTGGGGTTGAAACCCCATTGACTCCCATTCATTCTGCACTCGACCGCCCCCGCATGGACAGAGACGTGTTACTGCAGCCAGTCCAGAAAACGGAAGTAACCAGCCAGTGCCAATTCTCTTCAATTAGACATTCTCTGATTTTATCCTTTAGACGGGAACCCGACGGTGGAGCGTTTTTAAGATTTTTTAACACTTTTTTGCATTTTTAAGCCCCAAAAACGCCGTCGCCGTTCAAATGAAAGGCACATCCGGTCAAATATTTTTACGTTTTCACCCGCGAGCGTTCTCGTGTATACAGGGCCTTAACCAGCTAATAATGATGGAAATGAACCTCAGACCCAACATGAAATCAAAACTGACTCCTTTTCAATACATGATCATAGTCTTACGGAGAAAAAAATAATCAGTGCATGTTGTTCAAAAGAAGAAAATAAATGACTCTGGCTTTTTGCTTGTAGCGTAAAAGGCTTGTACCTTTTTTGGCCGTTCCTCCTTTCTGATACTCCACTCACAGGGCACTGGCCCGTCATTGTACAGCTGGACCGTGATCACCTGGCACAGGCCACACTGGATGGTGTCGAATTGCAGTGTGTCTGTTGACACTGTGAGGGAGGGCATGGTGACCTCTGCACATAAACACACCTGCACTTGGGGTCCCTTAGTCACCTGTCAAAAAATCAACAAAGGGGCTATAATGTAGTGTGTACTATACAAACAACATGCTAAATTGATCATTTTTATTACAAATATTTTATATTATCAGCATCATGTGTGAGAAATTGAATAAAAAAATGAACAAATTTTAAGATTTTGCTTCCATTTGTAAAATGATAAGTAATATTTCTTATTAATTTTGTCATAACATTCAATTGTCATACAAATGAGTCATTATGATGGTGAATGTTTGCAATCAAAAAGGCATCTCTTCATCCTGTACTTCTTTGCTTGTCTCATATGAAATGTTGCTTTCATCAAACCTGTATGGGCATAACTGCATTGATCTTCCCCAGAATGGTATCACGGGTATCAAACTTCACTTCAAACGTCTCTGTCTCACAAAAGGGCAAATTCAGCACCCTGTCCAATTCTGTACTAAAACCTGTGAGAGGAAAAAAAGAATGAATATTAATTCTGTTTTAGGCTTTGGCGATGCTAACATACTGGAATAATACCACTCAAAGAAAAGGCTCAATTTTAATCAAGCCACTAAACACATCACAAAGATCGACACCTACTCATACATCTGTTTCACTGAAATGGATGATGTCCAGAACAATAATCTCTGGCTATTTTAAATCTATTGTACATTCTGCGGTATGGACCAACCTGTGCCTGCCAGTGTGCTCTTGTCAGCTCTGAAAGATATAGCCACTGGACAAGTGTTGGTTACTTTGGCAATGTGGGTCACGATGCTGCCACTGATGACATACCCAAAGTCCAGTGTGTACTCAGGCAAGATTAACCTAAAGAGAAGGTCTATCAGACACATGCATTGATCGCTTGTAAAAAAAAAAAAATGAAAGGTTTCTACATGAATAAACTTACTTGCACAGCTTCTTGAGCCAGTTGTTAGTGGACCCAGTTGCTCTTAGATCTTGGTGCTGTCTCTGAACAGCCATGGCATTTTCCTTCACGAGGAGCCGTTCTAACTCCATCTGCAGCAGGCCATCATACTACGGCACACGTATAAGGACATTATTTATAGTAATGCACACAAATAGTGGTAATTATAATGCTAAATCTAATGCTGCTCTCACAGGAGTTTAACAGATTACACAAGTAATTCATGGGTAAGCTAGGAAGAGGAATGTACAATTATCACAGACACTCACAGTGGGAATGTAGTCGTTTTCAGGTGGCAACTCCTCCTTTACTGTGACAGGCCTGCTCAACACCCCTTCCTTTAATTTTTCATTCTCCAGCGAGTCTTTTGCCTCCTTTAGCAAAGAACCATATATCTCTGCATCTAGCCCGTGAACAGAAAACACCTTAATAAGGTTTCATAGCCTCTTTCGAAAGCCCTATTCAATTGAGATTTCATTTCAGAACATACTGTGCGCGTGTACACGAATGTATTACTGTGGATGTCTGTAATTTTGTCAATTCGCACAGGACGCACAATATTTGCAGGAATTTCAAAGATGGGTAATGCAAATGCAAAATTCCTTTCACACATAATTGACCTTATTGAACTACACATAATTGACCCCTCCGGCAAAGCGTGGCCACGTCTGGCAAAGAGGCCGCGAGGGCCGGTCTGATAAAATGTATTTATTGGAAGTTCGCCATGGCCCAAGCTAAGGCAAGAAAACATTTTTTTTTTTTCACATTTTCTATAACGGAGCATATATTTGCACTAATTGCCTGTCTTTACAGCAAAACGACGCGCGTCTTGAACCAGCCTCAGTGGCGTAGGTCGTAGGGCGTGAAGTGCCTGAAAGCAGCTTTTTGATGCGCTGAACGCGAGTTCGAAAACGCCTTTTACCGAACTCTCTCTTGTCCCTTTTCCAAACACATATGTAAAGATGTAAAATGTAAAACCTAACATTAAGGTCTCTAGCGTTATATTTTGCCAACGAACTAAAATTGAAACCATGATATGGCGTTGCGCCATTATAATAACTGACATTAGAATAGCATCTAGTTTGTGCTGCGTGATTACTTTGCTCACGCGATCATCATGGTCAGCTGGTGTTTTCTCCTAAATAAAAGCTCAAGGGTTTTTTTCTTGCAAGTGAAGAAATTAGGACAAAAGTATTTTAATTTTCCTATATTATAGTGTAATGTAGGTTAAAATATACTTTTGAAATACTCATTTTCATTTACATAGTACATTTATAGGCTAAATGGATTTTACAGTACGTCATAGGAATAATTATAAATCATTATTACATTATTATAATAATTGTTTGGCATCCTAAAACACCATTGATAATGTAATACAGACTGAGACTCTCATAACTAAAAAGATGTTTGAGCCCTCTTTATTGTCCTGGTACAAATCAATGCTTTATCTTTGTTCAACGAGCAGTTCATGGGTTGAAGCTCTTAATTTTGATCTCTCAGAGAGCACGAGATTGATGCATTTAACCTTAAAATGTCCAAAATTTTCTTGCAGGGGAGCATGCCCCCGAACCCCTCTAGAGGCAAAGAGTCCACCCAACATAGTTTTAGAAATTACTATGAGAAAGAACGACCATTTATGAACTTTACTCCAGCATAGTACAACAAAGTTCCTTTTAAATCAGTAAAACTGTAAATGCTATCGGCTATTAAAATCGTGCCGTGACGAGGGCCGGTGGTCTACGAAATTTCCCGGTAGATTTTTTGGTCCCACTCCGCCCCTGCGGGTAGACCTAAAACCAATCAGAGCGATGAAGGAGATGACGTATGCAGAGCGAGTGTTGTTCTTCACTCTGTTTTTAACAAAAAGGAAACGTTCAAATCGCTTAAAACAGACGCGATAGCTGATTCGAGCGAGTGATGTTCGACGGCGGCATCCATCTTTGTAATGTAGGCTACAAAATCTGCTTCAAAATCCCAGCGCTGTCATCATCGTGTAAAGCCCGCCCGAACGTTTCTGAATGGTGTCGCGATTTCGACGGATTGGAAATGAGCTTGAATGAGCTCTTTGCCAGACTAACTTTCAGAGCAAATCTAAATTTGACAGAAGTTCTCTGTGTTTTCCCCCAAAAAAAGTGGAGTATCCCTTTAAAGAAAAAGCCATTTTCAGTTCAAAATCAAATCATCTTACGAATTGCTATTACAAATTCAACAATAGTGTGACTTAATGTCGTAGTATTGACCTTATGATGTAGAAATATCTCTTGAGCAACAAAGCCTGTCATTTCTTCACTGTTTAGTACAAACTACCTGTGTTTGTAAAACAGAGAATCCGATCAATAGGTAATCAGAGAGCAACACACCACTCCTTCCTCAATAATAGTTGCACTATTTGCTCTGTAACCACAAGACCTCAGTTCCCACTGAGAGCAAAACTGCTTGGTTTCTAAGATAAATAGCACTAAATAGCACTCCTTCTGACTGGCTGCATTGCAGGCAAGAAAATGGGTTTGAACAGTTCTAGCGCAGGGGCTGAGCTAGTTCAAGGTCAAGACCATTACGTCAGTCAGCAAGCTGGCATGGTGCTACTGTGTGATTCCGAGCCAGGACGCAGGGCTGGCCTCCTTTCAATTGTATTTGATGAGAGTGAAAGTTGGACCATATTCAGGAATTTAAAACATCCTGTCAGAAATTCGCAATGTGTCCGAACAATTTTGTGATGCTCTGTTGGCCTCAGAATGGCTAATTCATTTATAAGATTCGATTAATTAGATCACATGAAGACGTGGTGTCTGACTTGGCCAATAACTTAATGGCTATACTCTTAACTCTCACTTAAAGCTCCTTTTCTTGTTTGAGTTGGCATCAATAGGATCTTTTTGCTTGTTTTTTCATCCACTAAGAGAGAGAAAAGTAAGGGAACGCATTCTCATGTGTACACAATGTTTAGCATTATATAAAAGTCTTCATAGTGACTTGTGTTCAATTTAATATGTCTTTCCTTAATTAAAGGAGTAGTTCACTTTTAAAAAAAAAACTTTTGCTGATAATTTACTCACCCCCATGTCATCAAGATGTCCATTTCATTCTTTCTTCAGTCGAAAAGAAATTAAGGTTTTTGATGAAAACATTCCAGCATTTTTCTCCATATAATGGACTTCAATGGGAACCAAACGGTTCAAGGTCCAAAAGACAGTTTCTGTGCAAACTGCAAACTGTTCAAAGGGCTTTAAACGATTCCAGACGATGAATAAGGGTCTTATCAAGCGAAAAATTCGCTCATTTAAAAAAAAAAAAAAGTTTTATAAGCTCAAATGGTCGCCTTGCTCTGTTCTGTGATGCGCCTTCGTGACACTCCTGTTCGAACTCGTTTATCAAAATGAACGAATCTTTTTTCGTGTCATTCAATGAACGAAATGAACGAGTTGACTTGGGAAAAGATTCGTTCATTTTAATGAATGAGTTCGAATAGGAGAGTCACGAACGCGCATCACAAAATAACCCTAACCCTAACAGAGCAAGGCGTCCATTTGAGCTTATAAAACTTAAACTTTGTTATTTATTTTTTAAATGAGCAATCATTTCGCTTGATAAGACCCTTATTCATCGTCTGGAATCGTTTAAATCCCTTTGAACAGTTTGCAGTTTGCACTGAAACTGTCTTTTGGACCTTGAACCGTTTGGTTCCCATTGAAGTCCATTATATGGAGAAAAATGCTGGAATGTTTTCATCAAAAACCTTCATTTCTTTTCGACTGAAGAAAGAATGACTTGGATGTCTTAGATGACTTGGGGGTGAGTTTTTTTTTAAAGTGAATTACTCCTTTATAGCATTAGTTTCTTTTTAAAAAAGAAAATCTTACTGAAACTTTTGAAAGGTAGCGTATGGCTGACAACAACGTACCCAGATTCCTAGGAAGGTCAAGACACAGTCGAGGAAAAATACCCTCTCCTCTTACAGTAATGACTTCAGGTTCATAAAACGCCACTTGCAACTGAAAGGTCTTGTGAAATACTTCTGGAATTCCTGGAAGGTAGTATACACTGAGCCTCATTTCTGCATACGGCTCTAGGTGACCCTTCAGAAGAAACACAACCATGACATATGATGCACTCGGGAAGGAAAGTAATCAGTGTTTTAAAACATGAAGAACATCTCACCTTGCTGGGGATGATGAGAGGCTGACCAGGTAACAGTTGCTCCAGTAAGAGTCCTGGTTCTCCAGTTAGAGAAGAGAAATCAAATCCAACTTTCCCTGTGTTCTTCAAAATGAGTTCAGCTTCAGCCACATGGTCAAACAACTGTGATTATGTGCGGGGAGAGGGGGATTGTGTTGAACAAAACCTTCCATTTATACAGATTGCTGGTGAATTAATCATATTTCTAATATGTCGAACGTGTGAAGTTACCTGTAAACCAAAGTCAATGTCATTTGTGTCCAGTGTATACGAAACAAAAGAAGCCTGACCCTTGAGTGTGATCTCGTAGGTGGGCCCACCTTCCACCTCACACAATGCCAACACATGCGTGTTGATGTCAGCGTGACCAAGAAATGAGAAGGTCACCAGCTTGGTGTCACCAGGCTGTAGTTCCCCATACAGTGAGGAGATATCAAAAACCTATGAAATAGATGAGAATGAAAAAGAGCAGCTTCAAAATGTATATATAAGGGACCAACGCAAGGTTATACAGACCTCTTTCACACTCACACTTGGATGCCCATTGGCTGTGAGATTGATGGGCTTGCTTCCCAGCTGTGTTGAACAGGTCCTATTCTGCTCTTGTCCACTACCATGATGCAATTCATCCTCTTCCAATTGAGGCATGATTACATCAGTCTCCCTGCAAAAATATAAACAATGACAACATTATTAGTGGTTTTCACCAATCATTAGATCTCCATCTCTCTTACTTCACGTTCTTGTTCCGCCTTAAGGGTCAGGCGGAAACTGAATTGAGTCAAGATGGCCATTAATTACAGAAAGCATTAAATAATTTAACAGGTGTAATTTATCAGAAGAAAGGTTAACACAGAAAATCTCAGGCTCTGAGGAAAGGGGAAAGAAATAGACTAGAATAAGTGTTGATGAAATCAATGCGTCGAAATATTTTGCTTTCAGAGATAAAGCAAATCAAAAATCGTGTAAAAACTGAATTTCAGATGGAAGGTTGTATTGAAGCTGAGCAGGCTGTGACAGTGGGTGTCACTATAAATGGAGTCAGCAGGGGGCACTGTTAATCAAAAGATGTAACCTGATTTTTTGTTTATAAACCAGGCGATTACTTGAATGAATAAGCTCCACGGGACCCCTGAAAATAAAAAAAAACTCTAAAATCCATCTGAAAATGTACAACTTTTGTGCTTGAATGGTATTTGTTTTAAAATCTGTACCAGGTTAGAACAAAAATGACAGTGCTGAGAGCGTTTCAGATACCAACGCAGTGAAGGGAAGTCTGGTGCAGGTGTTCTCAAAGGCTGAAGCCTCTCAAGAGACACGTGCTGCCAGAAACGCTAAACAAACGCACAGATAGCGCCTCACTTTTACCTGCCCTCCTCGATATGAGTGCGTACGTGATGGGTGCTCTTGAGCAATCTAATCATTCTGTAGGAGGCTACGCTTCGTTCTCTCATCATCAACTTGGAGAACCAGTGAAGAGCTGAGGTAATACTCAAAGGTCTGCTAACATGATGAGATTCGGGTAAACATCCCCCTTTATATGTATCCTCATAATTCCTGCTTATTATCAGAGAGGCTTCAGGGAGTTGTCAGCCTCTAGTATCACACAGAAGCTGTTCTCAGACCTGTTTGGGTCCATCTTGCCGTCAGCTTCTCTCAGCTCTAACAGCTCCCACTGCGCCTCCCCACTCTCCTTTCTTTTCCCCCCAGCGTTTCCTTCAGTCCCCTGGCTCGTCTCGTTAAAAAACCTACCAGAAAAGAGGGGAAAAAAGTAATCAGTCTTATACACCACGAGAAAATGTCCATCAGTAAGAAATCCACCATGTGCCGGGAGCCCAAATGGATCAACGAAGTGGTGCAATAATAGCGGCTTCGCTCTTGGTTTAATTACTGATAGGCTTTTAATTAGCAGGCTGGACAATGCATGCTAAAACCCCTGCGATAATGATAGGAAAGGTCATAGTCTTATTGGATCATGCACGAGGTGGGAAGCAAATAGTAGTGTGGAAAGTGATTAATCTTCACTGGCTTGCACTGTAGCCCCATGGAGGCTATATCGATTAATCCGACGCAGGACATGGCAGCCACTAAACAACCATTTAAAACTATAAAAACTCAACCCGAAGCAATCGATTTAAAATGAATCGTTGTGTAAACTATTTTATTTTGTAACCAGGAGGCCAGTGTGTGTGTGTAAAGCTGGAAGTGTGTTAAATATATGGACCTATAAGACGAGATGAAAAGCGCACATCGTTGCGATAATTAAATGATTTTAATTAAAACATGCTGTCAAATATAGCAAAAATAGAATTAGAAAAAAATTTAAAACGCAAGATATTAACAATTCACTATGTTTTTCTTTATTATTGGCTTATTTCAAATAATCGAATCATACAACGAAACAACAATGTGAAGAATTGTCCCGCTTGTACAGCTGAATCTGAACAGTGAAGGATAACCGGTAAATTGAATTAATTCAACCTAACGTTACGTATCCTATATATTTGAGATCAATCAGATATGCACTCACCTAAAGGATTATTAGGAACACCTGTTCAATTTCTCAGTGATGCCATTATCTAAATCAACCAATCACATGGCAGCTGCTTCAATGCAACATAAACAGAATGAGAACATGGATCCATCATGCCTTGTTACCACTGTGCAGGCTGGTGGTGGTGGTGTAATGGCGTAAGGGATGTTTTCTTGGCACACTTTAGGCCACTTAGTGCCAATTGGGCATCGTTTAAATGCCACAGCCAACTTGAGCATTGTTTCTGACCATGTCCACCCCTTTATGGCCACCATGTCCCCATCCTCTGATGGCTACTCCCAGCAGGATAATGCACCATGTCACAAAGCTTGAATCATTTCAAATTGGTTTCTTGAACATGACAATGAGTTCACTGTACTAAAATGGCCCCCACAGTCACCAGATCTCAAACCAATAGAGCATCTTTGGGATGTGGTGGAACGGGAGCTTCGTGCCCTGGATGTGCATCCCACAAATCTCCATCAACTGCAAGATGCTATCCTATCAATATGGGCCAACATTTCTAAAGAATCCTTGTTGAATCAATGCCACGTAGAATTAAGGCAGTACTGAAGGCGAAAGCGGATCAAACAGTATTAGTATGCTGTTCCTAATAATCCTTTAGGTGAGTGAATACTGATATACAACATTACAACCGCATCTGTACAAAATAAAGTATAATACACAAGTAATCCTAACCGTTTATCATTTTGGAGAATCGATGGATAATTTGTGGGAATTTGTAGCTCATTCATTTGTTTTCGTGTGATCTGCTTATGCCCCACTGATTGCTAGGTTTAGGAGAGGGCCTTTAGGAGAATCACTTCCATAGAAATCACATGCAAATTGATAGGCTATCATCACCTTGTAAAATAGTTATGTTTTCTCATGAGAAAAAACATTCACACCATTGTTTAAATTCTTTTTTTTTACATGTTTGTGTTAAATGTTTGAATAATTGGTTTGGCGCTTTTTTAAATAAAAGATTATTTTCATTAAAAAAACTGGTTCTAGTCTAAAGACTAAGTCAGTTTCTACAAGGGTTCCACTACAGGGCACTAAATGTTCTGTTTTAAAACACAGAGATCAAATGTTTGACCGCTACTCTAAGTTGCTCCATTTGAACACCTCAGAGACTGTAAATGCTGATGACCCATTATTTAATCACATGCTTCTCCACTATTCACTCACATCAGCAAAGTGTGAGCTGTCAGCTGCATCAGTCTGTCATATATCATCACCCGTTTATTCGGTTATAGCAAGTTATTGCATTTCCTCTCAGGGCTTGGAAGGCTTGACTGGACATCTGTCTTTAACATCTGAGTGCTGAAATAAAGCATCGATTGCTTAATCTTAAGGGGCTTTTCGTTTAATTCCCTCCAATTTATTTATTTTTTTGTTGTTGTTTTTTTGTTGTCAACAAAAAATCAATACTCCTTGAACATTTCTCTCAAGAATCCGCTTATGCAGCCTCTGAATTGCTAAATATCAGCTTAAGTTCCATACAGTCTACCCCTGGCTTGAAATTAAAGAACAGCACAGCCAAATTCATTCTTTGGAAAGGTGTCCCTGTGCTCCTTGCCATTTTATTTAATGCCAAAGGACTACAAATCACATTTTATGGACATAAACTGTACTTCAAACATTCTTCAAAATATCCTTTTTTGTGTTTCCTGAGGGAGAGTAAAAAAATCCCAGATATTTCAATTCTGGCTGTTATTTGATACTCATGTTTGTGTTGTTCCTACCCAATATGGCATTGCTGTCGGTCAACCAGGAAGGCCCAACGGTAGGAAACACAGAGTGGGCTGCAATTGGTCATGGTGAGCTTGAGACGGGATTTTGTGTTGTTGAGGATGCAGCCAAAGTCCAATGTGGTGCTGGAGAACTTGAGATTAGGGAAGTGAACCTCCCCCCTCAGCACCACCTGATCCTGCTGAGGATGGCCATGGTAGCAGAACTCCAGCACGTCCTCAACCACACGGGTGAGACGGTCCTGTCGATACATGGGGTTGAAACGCACCCATATCTCTTTCTGACCTCCGACTGCCAGGACCAGACTCTACAGAAAGAGAAGAACTATTAGACTCGGTCTGAAGGACCAAATCTTCATATGCACTGGTCAAAGTAATGCAAATCTTACCCGCACACTTGCATGCATAGATGTGCAACAATAAGATAAAATAAAACAAATGGCATTTTAAGGTTTTTATTTCACGTTTGGAAGCAATAATTAATGACTCCCACTACAATGCAGTTACACTTGCCATTAGTGGTAAATAAACAGCAACTATACTTAATCTGTTTACCTTTGAGGTTGTGAACAGTTCATCCCCGTCATAATCACACAAACCAAAGGGCTCACGCAGGGTCAGTTCCATAGAGAGGTTCAAGGAGGACACACTCTTTAAAACCAACCTCTGATACAGCGGAACCAGAGACACATCTGGAGCCTAAAAGAGTCAGACAAACTCCATAAATATATATTGGGGGGAACAACAAAATAGAACTGCTCAGTTTGGGGTCAGTATTATTATAATTTTTTTTTAAAGAATTAATACTTTTACCCAGCAAGGACACATTTATCAAATATGACAGTGTTACAGTGTCGTATTTTGGCTGCGTTTTCTGGTTGCAAGCATTCTCATTGAGAATGAGACGTGGTCTGGAAACCACGTGTTAATTTTCTCGTATTTGAGGCGTGGTTTACGAATGCCCAGAGCTGTATAATTGGGTGCTACGAATGTTTATCAAATGCGCCTGTACGTAGCTCATAGCCAATCGGTTCAATGATACCAGATGACGTATGTCGTAAGAATCATTGTAGAATCATGTGATACTTTAGCCTGGCATGCCAGACCTACATCAAGATGTTCCACTTTTTTGCAGCAAAATAATTTTTGCTGCCACTAGGGTGCGTCTAGATTTCTAGGCTAGTGATACTTTAGACTACTAAAAATCAGCTATGAATATTTACAGGAATAATTTTTTCAATTTTAGTATTTAATGACATTTTAAATTGTAATATCTCACAATATAACTTTATTCAGTGTATTTTATAATCAAATTAATGCAGCTTTGGTGGTATTGATTTTTTCAATAACATTTTTATCTTACCAACCACAATCTTTTAAACGGTACTTTATATTTAAAATGGCAATACACAAAATCCATCCAAATGATAATCTTGCAAAGGTACTGAGACAGATTATTTCTGAAACTTTAGTAATATGTGGTGAGGATGTGACATTGAGACCAGTCATTCATTATTAATGCCATTAGACACAATATAACTTGCAAGGACAAATATACAAGTTATTTTTGCATGTTATTGCCAATACTTAAAAGGCAAAATTCACTCTTTTATCTCAGTCTGAGTTTTCCCTCATCATCCACTTTCCTCTTCTCTCATCTCTCTCTCTCTCTTTCTCCCCCATTCCCTACTCGCTCTCTTTAATTGCTTTATTCCTCCAAGCTCTACTAAGGGAGCATTCAGTAAATCTAGCAGCACGGGCTGTCAAAACACAGACGAATGGGACAGAGTTAGATAAAAAGGTATAAATAAATTTGCATTTTTAGTTCTAAGATGCAGACTTACAAGGTGCCTGAAAACAGCTGTCAGAAGATGTGTGTGAAGAAGTTTTTGAAAATATGTATAGCTGAAGCAAAAAATGTGAGAGAACAGAAATCTGACAAGGTGGATGGTGTTGTGTGTGTGTTGAAAGAGAGATAATAAAAGTGAAATAAGGCAGACAGGAAATCATTTTCATTATAATGATGGTTCCTCCTGAGCTCACTGTGCTTATTCAACAGCTTTTTTTTTTTTTTTAAAGAAAAAAAAGAAAAGAGGACTTGATATGCCAGGGCATCAGTGCTGAGCTGTGAGCTGGGGTTCAAATTAATTTGCCATCTCAGCTCACTTACAATCATTTTGCGAATAAGAAGTAAATTTGGAAAGGCTCATTTGAATGAGTTGGACATAACAGCTGCATGGTCTTTACTGTCAATACTTGAGGCAGCAATCTATTTTCAATTTCAATAGACCATAACATTTGTCCATGCATCAATGTTGTCTTAATGCAGTCAAGTGACTTACAAATGGATCGAAATTGATTGATTGGATGAACAGACGACATATATCTCTTCTGTACCATTCAAAAATTAGGCTTAAATCCTTTACAAGGGAGAAGAAGACAATTGACTCAATCGAACCCCCCACTGCAGACACTTTTTGTTCTCTGCTTCATAAAAAGGGAAAGGACATTTGATAAAAGGGTACATGTTCAGCCACTGAGTTACAGCACAGATAATGGACCTCACATTTAACTTACACACACAGAGTAATTAAAGGCATAGTTTACCCAAAAATTATCATTCTATTAGCATTTACTCACACTCATGTCAGTCCAGAACACAAAAAAAGATACTGTGAAGAATTTTGGAAGTGGTATGAAAATACTGTATATATTTTTATGTTCCTTGAAAAAAGAAAGTCATACAGGTCTGGAACGACATGAAGGTGAATAAATGATGACAGAATTTTCATTTATGGGTGAAAAATTAAAATATTTCTTAATATTAAATATCCCTTTAATATTAAAAGACATGGGTTAATGTGGTTGCAGTATTGCAAGGATGAGGAAATGAGAGCCAAAACTCATTTAATATACAAGTTTAAACCTTTAAAACTCTAAATAACACTAGATGTATGCATTTATGACACCAGTTGTGGCACCCCCCCCCCCCCCCCCCAAAAATAACTACATTGAAAACAAAGCAGAAATAACATTAACTATTAACTATTAAATTAATAGTTGAAATAAAGTTATTTATGTTTGTTTGTTTTTTTGCGCACAAAAAGTGTTCTCGTCGCTTGATAAAGTTAAGATTGAGCCACTTGGACTACTTTAGCGATATTTTTAATAATTTTTTGAGGCCGTCAAGTTTCAATCCCTCAAGAAGCCTATGTACTAGTATGGAGGAGTGAACCAGCTCTCAGTTTTCATCAAAAATATCTTAATTCGTGTTCCGAAGATGAACGAAGGTCTTACGGGGTTGGAACAACATGATGGTGAGTAAATACTGACAGGATTTTCATTTTTGGGTGAACTATCCCTTTAATTTTTACACATTGCACCTTTAATGCAATCACATCAGAAGTACCTTTCCTTTCCTTTTTCAAGGGAAAACTAATTAAATTACATTAATTAATAACTTGGTGATGAATTACGCCCCACACTGACTATCATAGCCCTTGATGGTAGAGATTTTTGCGAACCTTTTCCACATAGAAGCTGATTTGTTTGGAGGAGATGTCTACTGCTGGGGAGACGAACTGGCATGTGACGTCTGTAGTAATGATGCACTCCCTCACATACTGACGCCCGACAACAGCATAGCAAACAAGTTTTTCCGTAACCACCTGTAATTCATAAGCAAATTTAAAAAAGACATTTATACATATATCTTTTCGTATTCTCAATTCATGAATGGATGTGAATCATCTTTGAAAGTTTAATTTTGAAGAAACCAAGCTCAGCCTTGCACTAAAACTCATTAATGCAATAAAACAGCTCTCTTTGATGTCTTAGAGCAGGCACACCGACTGATGGCTATGCAATGCAGCAGCCCAGCGTGAGACGCGGCAGGGCTTGCCTATGTTCACTTCTCACCTTCTCTCATCTCTAATTTACCATTAAATCAATAAGGACTCAAGGAGGCATGCATCTCTGTAATGCTCTAGAGAGGAAGTCAATGCACTGCTCCGTGTGTCTCCACTAAAAGAGGATTAAGTGTGGCTTTCAGGACCTTCATCACCATAGTATTCAAACTTTAGCAGGTGTTGGCTAACAAATTTGAAATTGTTGCAAGAAATGTAGTCTAGTAATCAGTTAGAGACGATTAATAGCTGATGCACATAAGAAAAAGTTCTGATATTGGTACCTTGGGGACATCAGAGGAGCCCTCTAGCAGCATGTCAGCTGAGTGGCCAGGAGAAAGTAATAAACGTGCAGGTGATAAGCTGAAGACCGGGCCTCCTTGATCTGAAGTTTGAAGGCTCTTGCTTTTTTTGCTCCTAGACTTGTTAGGTGACAGAATGTCTCTGTTTTGAAACTGTGGAAACCCCTCTGTGGTCCATAATAGTTGGTGAGTGCGACGTCCTCGATTAGTAATTCTGAAGGCATAACGACATGGGCCGGAACTAGAAGACCAGAAGATTCAATCATTTAATTATTGAACATAAATAGTGAATTTTGTGAATAGCTGACTATTGTAAATGGCAGAACTCAAGCACAGACATTGGCATTGTTTTACCTGAAGTGGGTTCCCAAATCCAGGCTAGGAGCCAATGGACGGTCAGTGACTATGGACGTGCCCTTTCCTTTGGCCGACACAGGAATGTTAAAATTTTGGCTGTCCTTGATTTCCAGAAACAGTTCATCCTGGAAGGGCATGGTGTCATTCAGATGGGCTATCAACTTCAATTCCAGACATTCTTTTGGAGGAATTTCCCCTTCACTGTGATCCACACGCCAGTAAGACCGGTTCCTCACCTATATACCCATTATAGCACAAAATCATTGTGTAGTTTTAAACATACGATAGCAAAAAAGGATAATAACACTCTAATAATTCCATACATATGTTTAAATGGCAAATAAATAATAATATTAATAATAATAATTAATAATTTCATACAAATATTTAAATGACAAATTAATCAAACTGTATATATATACATACTGTATGTGTATATATAATGTATGTGTATATATACTGTATGTGTGTGTATATGAAGAGTTCAGATGCAAAAGCCTCCAAGTGCCATTTGAAATTTTCTTCTAGAATGATCATTTTTATCAAGCTTGTATATTTAAGTTCAGTAATTTCACTTAAATGGCAATGATAATTACCTATTAATTGTTATTTAAGTGAAATTACTGAACTTAAATATACAAGTTTGATAAAAATCATCATTAAAGAAGAAAATTTCAAATGGCATTTAGAGGCTTTTGCATCTGAACTCTTCATATATATATATATATAATATATATATAGTATATATTGTGTGTATATATATATATATATATATATATATATATATATATATTGTATATAATATAATAAATACACAACAGTACAAAAAATTGGGGCTAGTAATATTTTCATATATTCTGTTTGAATATTAAAAATATAATTTATCTCTGTGATGCAAGGTTGATTTTCAGCACTGTTACTCCAGTCTACAGTGTCACATGATCCTTTCAAAATCATTCTAATATGCTTATTTGCTGCTCAAGAAACATTTCTTACTATTATCAATATTGAAAAGTTTTTTTTCTGAATTCTTCAGTTCAAAAAACAGCATTTATTTAAAACAGATTTTTTTTGTTTGTACAATGTAAAAGTGTACACCGCCACTTTAGATCAATTTTTATTTTAATATCCTTGATAAATAAAATTATTTTTTTATTTTTACTTTCTTTCCAAAACAAATCTTACCCCAATGATTTAAACGGTAGTGTTAATTATTTTGCAACTTTGGTCTTTCAGTTACAATTGTGACCAAGTGAAACAGTTTCTAAAGAGAAAAGTTTAAAAGTTTATTTTACTGGCCAATCCAATGAGTAAAATAAAAATGCTCACCTAGCTAGGAGTACTTTGGGAAATCAAATGGGTTAATATACAGTAGTGACAACCTAAAGTATCCTTCATACAATATACTGTACAGTCCAAGTCACACGAGAAAAACAAAACCACAAGCAAAAAACAACGGTAAACTCCCTTATGTGTATGGACTGATTCTTCTGTCTTATATAATGTCCACTAGGAAATGATCCCACAGTGGGTATGTTTTCTAGTGGGTAATGAGAAATATTAATGATCATTCCCTCCCGGTTGGCTCCAACACAAGTAACTGCCACTCAAAAGCCAACCATTAAGCAACATCTTATCTCAGTCTTGTAATTGAACAAGGTTTTAAATGAGCAGCTAGTGATAACATGTAAACATACAGTGTGTGTGTGTGTGTGTATGACTTGTGCTGCCAGCAGGATTCTCTTTATCTGAAGGGAGTAGGATCTATCCTTTATACTATCGTCACAAGACTGGCGATAATATAAGGAATTGGAATTTTATAATGAGTACTGAATAGATAATAGAAGAACACTGTTTGTGCTTTAACTGACCGAAGAGTCTTACATCCGGCTAATATGTACTTCTACTGCGTTAATACTATGCAAATATACAGTATGCCAAAAGAATAGTATGTTTGAATACATAGTAACTATTCGAAAAACAGTAGGTGAACAGTACCCATATGACCTACTACTTCGATGGGCACTTAACTATCCCATGAGGCCACGGGAGAGGATTTATGAATGGCAGTGAAGCGACTCAACTGTAGTCCACATGACGTAGATCAATATTTATACTATATAGAACATACTTTTTTAAGGTAAATTCTAATTACAATGTACTGTCTCAGACCATATGCTTTTACAACGAGGTATTGGGATGTAGGATACGCACGAGCAGTTTTTTCCTCTTTCAAACCCCCATATGTTAAGCGCCTCCTCTCTCTGTCCTACTTTTTCTCCCTACTTTCATAATTTCCTTTTATTTCCTCATAACGAGAAATAAACCGATGTGAAAAAGTGCAAGCTTGTCTTTGCATGCACAAGTGCAACCCACCAGCTGCTTAATTTGTACCACTGCTTTCCATAACTGTTGGCGGAGGATTCAAATCAATTTTCATAATGCGGCCAAATGATTGATGTCCTGCACATTAACTTTTAATTGGGATTTTCTGACTGAGTAAAGAGAACGGGTGTTGGTGTGTTAAGGGATTGTGATTAATAGCGTTTTATTTATCTTAAGATTGTGGCTCATCCTGATGGCTGAGTATGGCTTTTGGCACATTTATCATCATTTCCATTATGCTCTCCTTTTACAAGGGAAAAACTAAGTGAACAGACTGTAGAGAGGAAATTGAAGTATTTCCCATTTCAGTGTGCACAATCTAAGACTCGTTAAGATCATCAGAATGTACATTATCCCACTTAATACATGGCTGCAATTTAGTAGTTTGACTTGGTCACAACTGTCCAATCAGAATCAAGCATTCATGCAGGTCATGCAGGACCTATAGACGAATCCGGCGAAACTACCGGAAGTAAGCGGGGCGCCATTACTGAGCTGTTGCTGGGTAGCGTTGCGCCATTGCCTCCTATTGTTTTAGTTGCAACTTGCGTCCACTGGAATAAACAGCCCGCGATTTACGACTGTCACTAACGTTACAACGTTAGCCCTTGTATAATGTCGAGTGGGTAAACAGTTTCCGTTATAAATTGTTTCAATGGTGGCAGTAAAATTTCAATTTTGAAGAGAAAACACTGAATACCCCGGGTGGACTGCCCCTGTCTGGTGCCGTACGGTTTACAGATTTCCTGGGCGAGTACAAGACGTGGACATTCGCGTATAATAACAATTATTTAATGACATAAGTAAAAAAAATATAATAAATATGTGATATAGTGATCAGCAAAATCTCCTCTCTTGCTATTTTTTCTATTAAATTAACATGCTATGGTCATTAAATGGCTTTCCTGAGCTAAATGTAACGTTATGTGACATAATTGTTCTCCCGCTGTTATATTGACCTCTTTCCATGGTTTAAAAACACTAATTGGTCGATATTATGTATACTTTCTAGCTGTAACGTTACCTTACCCTTGCCTGTTGCAATGTGAAAATGAGATAAATAATGGACACAAATGAAAAACATGAATTTGTTTATTTGATTTCATTCATTTATTTATTTATTGTTGCCAAATGGACAGATCTTTTTATAGTTTCCTCGTTAGCAAACGTTAGCCTAGCTAGCTTGCCAAGCTATTTTCATAAATAACGTTAATCTGTAAGATCGTTTGTACCTTCATCTGTGACTGGAGGCCACTGCAGTCACAGATCAAACCAACAAGTCATTCTGCCTGGCTGTAGCTGTCATCGAGGGTGAGTTCGCGTTATCACCGAGGTTTGTTTACATACCGGTGCATATGTCTATATGCCTGTGTACCAGCTCAGTAATGGCGTCGCCACAAGATGGCAGCCTACACAGACCGCTCGTCGGATTCGTCTATATATTTGTGTGCGGCAAAGTGTGTTCGAGGCCAATCAGGGGGAGCCACACTCATATCTCATATTCACTCAACTGTGAGCCATAACGGAGCCTCTGAGGTAGTAAACTGGGGTTTCGGTAACACTTTATATCAGGGTCCATTTGAAAGACGTTGTAATATTCATAATTGTTGCATAACCATGATCCTGTAGAATGCAATAGTATTTGTTTGAATTTACAAAAGAAGGCTTATGCTTCAACACAGTCATCACCAGCTGCCCTTGGAGGAAGAAAATGACACATTCAGTATTCAGCAAGGAGGAAACGCCTTTGAGCAGGTAGAGGTTAGAGAGAGGCCCCTATCATTTGAACTGGGCCGGACCAAAGAAGGTCAGCAGGGAGACATAGATCACTCCGTAAGTCTTCATATGAAAGAGAAGCGGCAAAGCAAGTGGAAGAAAGATAAAGGAGGGGAAGACAGAGAGACGAGCCGGTCGATAGGGAGCTAGATCGAGGTTGGGGCGATTTCCCCTTGAGAGAGGAATCAAGTAAAGAACAAGCCAGCTGGAATTTCAATAATCAGATCAGACCTGCATTAGAAGGTTTAACACCATTGATTGCTATAAACTTCATCGTGCTGTAGAGCTTCACACAATGGAAGCAAAAGTCAGTCTCAGGAGAGACATATCTTTCCGAAAAAATCACAATACTTGTTTATCAGAAACTACATGAACAGATGGACGCATAAAAGCGAAAGACTGCGTTGCGAGTATTTTCAATTCACGACGCACTCCTGTCAGCATCTGCCTGGCACTCAGCCACGCTATCGAGCGCCTGTAATGAAATTCAGGATCGACTAAAGCTGGAAAATGTTTAGTAAAAACTCTGGGCTTAGAAAAGTCCTCAGCCTTGGAGGAGAAGACAGGATCAGTTTACCAATGAGTGTCGACACAATCCAGGATGCCCTGAATGAGTTTGTCTGTATACGGTACAGTATGTGTCCAAGTCTCTTGGTGTATGTGTGTGTGTGTGGTTCATTCCATGGATTAATTAAACATAGCCTAATGCTAAATTTATCAGTGCTGAGAATCAAGGAGCTTATTTAACATAAAGAGTAACCAAAACGAAAAATGGAAATTAGGAATTATAAAAGGCATATGAGGGTATTAAGCTAACTCTAACTCAAATCTAATCTAATCTAAAAGAGCATTCACAAGGCATGACCATGATATTAGACCCAGAGTAAGAAAACAGTAGAATAGAACTGACATTGCAAGGGTACAGGGAAACACTACCAAAGCTTTTTATCCCTTCTCTAGCATTTGAACCCACCATTTGAGCAAAGAATCTGGCTGGGATTGGGGAGTCGTTTGACAGCTGCAAAGTCCTTGCGACATCAGTCAGCACGGGAATGCAGCCAAAGTTCAGCTTGGCAGCAGTGACAGAGACGGAAGGTCCCTGGCCAACACAGGACAGGAGGAGCTCCTATGGAGAAAAGGATTTTTAGCTAATATATTTTTTTAAATGTCATTTTTGTGATGTCTCACTGAAAGAACGAAAACCGAAAACTGTGACAGAAACCGCTTTGATAACGGATCTATTAACAGCAAAGATAAACTCTGACAAAGAGAAAAAGCAGTGTACACGCGAAATGAACCATTTTAATGTAAACAGCATCTGATGATTGATGATAGCGTTAGTACAGAAAAAGGGAGGCTGTTTAGCACTGCATCTCACGTAATATCTGAAGAGAGGAACAATCTCTTATGTGAAAATGCGGCAAGGCTTCTGATTCTAAAGAGCCTTTGACACATTCTGGAACTAAAATACAAAATACACCTTTTGTTCTATACTGTTGTAATGTACAAATGTGCTGGTATTAAGCGAAATCAGTTCATTATGAGATATATTGTGCATTAATAATTGACACATGCGTATTTTTTCTGTTTTACTGAATGAGCACTGTGCCACTGTTCGTCCGACTGTTACTGTGATAATTTTATTCGAAATGGTTTTAATTTACTGTATTTTATTTTTATCATAATTTTTATTTTTCATTATTTCTTATTTTTATTCTAAACTGTTTTAATTATTCTGATTTCTTTTGATTATTTTAATTTCTTCTATGTAAAGCACTTTGAACTGCTATTGTGTCTGAAATGTGCTATATAAATAAACTTGCCTTGCCTTGCCTTTAATTAAAACGATATCTTAAAAATTGTTGGAGAAACCAGCTGAACAGTCTAATTACAGTAACTTTTTGCTTTCACATACATGTCATTTATGTATTTGGAAAACGCTTTATCCAAAGCGACAAACTCTGTATTGTTATTATTGTTACTGTGTATTGTTAAGTTATACATTTTATCATGCATTCCCTGGTAATCAAACCATTGACTTTAGTTCAATGGAGTACAGTTTGTATTTTTTAAAGCAGCACTATGCAGTTTTTTTTTTTACCTTAACTGAATAGCTTCGGAGTTATTGCAATGGTTATATGACTATTTTCGGAGCGTCTCGCGTGATATCAGGTCTCGCAATGTAACGAATTGCTTTACGGCAAGAAAGATCTGCTAAAATGAGCATCAAACTGATATAACCCGGGCCGTATACATGTGGTGTTCGAGGCGTATACAATACAGACTGCCGACAGTTCAACAGGGTGCAGCTCTTAAAGGGGCCACACCTTATTTACACTCGTTACAGCTTCCATCCTACTGAACAGATACCGGTATACAGGGGGAGGGGAACAGGCCGTGAGTGCAGAGACATCTCTGCGTGAGTGCTATTTACAACAGTACAAGTACTCCACAGCGACTCTAGGGGTCTCAGTAGGGCTGGGCGATAAAACGATAACGATAATTATCGCGATATAATTTTCCTCGATAAAACGATATCAAGAGGTCGATAAACGTTCGATAATGTTTATGCGTCAAAAAAGCGGAACGAAACTCATTTAAACCGCGCGCGCCACACGGAGCATTTATCCGCTCGGCTCAAAGTCCAGTCTGTCCAAACGGCAGTGCATTGAGCGGAGCTCGAGCTCACGCAGACGCGCCTCTGATCGTTTTGCTCACGAGATCCAGTGAGAAGCACTTGAGTTCAGCGAAGAACACAAATGTCAAGTTTAAAACAGTTTAAAGGCAGATGAAACACCGCTGACAAAAAGGAGAAACACTGCGTGCAACGATACAGTCAGAATCTGAATTGATACTGAATCCATTTAGCCTACCATGGATTTACTGTAAGGTTAGCCTGGTAATATTAACTGCACCATGAAATGTGGGATATACATACTGAATTGTATAATATTATTAATGTTGACAATGTATTATGACTAATGGAATATAAGTACAGTATTTAATAATGTATATTTAGCTGTTAGGCTGTTGTTTTTCATACAAAAAATACAGAAACCATAAAGTTATGCCATGATAGTGAGGAGTTAAGTTATAGGCTATACCTGGTTTTATCTGTGGTTATCATGATCTAAATGGATGATACTGAATGACCAATGGTTAATTTGAATACAACTCAAACAGTCAGAATATTACTTTTTACCAAATAAAAATGTGGTCGTTGCATAAGAAAAAAAAAACAGAAAAAAAAACAGATGTTACGGTTTTTGTTAATGAACATAAATTTAAAGAGTAGTTTAAAAACACAATTAACACTCTGGTTTATACTACTTTCACTTAGTTGCAAAAATCTGCCTTTAAACTTGAAAAAAATAAATATTTGACATATATCGTGATAATTATCGATATCGACTGAAATAAAAAAAATTATCGTGATAATTTTTTTTGGCCATATCGCCCAGCCCTAGGTCTCAGTTTGACAAAAACGGAAATCCTGCAAAGTGCTGCTTAACATTTTTCAAATGACATAAATGCAGTCTTGGGGAGCATAAAAGACTTTCAAAAACATTTAAAAAAATCTTACCTACCCCAAACTTTTGAGTGCTAGTGTAAAATGTGCACTTGTCATACATATGCTGTACATATACTCACCAACGGTGGGTCTTGACGGCCAAGTATAGCAATGTGAGCTGTTTCCTGTAGGCTGCCCACTGTCTTGGCCTGAAGAACTACTGGAATCTTTTCTGTGCTATAAGGCTGAATGACCCCTCGTGCGTGAGGACTGGAATAAAGAAGAGCAGGGTCTTCCTCATGCGGCTGCAAACAGAAACGTGTGTCATATGCTTGAAAATCAAAATACATATCTCTAATGTCTGATCTAGAAAACTGGAAAGGGCTGCAATAGAAAACACAATAAATTTTACTTGATTGGGAGGAATCACCTGAGGCAGAAGTCCATAGCACGCAGGAAGGTGAGTGTCATTAATGAGCTCAAATGATTGCTCATAGGGATGACCCAGGAAACAGTGATGGAACTGAAGATCTGGGTTCTTGAGGACCACATCAGGCACAACACATCTTCCGGAACAATCAGAGATAAGTTTTGTGGATGGATAACAGCAAGACCACTTTATTTCCCAAATGAAAGTGTATTACCTAGCTTTGATTGGGAGAGCTAAAACCTCCTCTCCAACTCCTTGGACATCCAGCACTAAAGCCAGATTGTAGTCTTGCACCGTGTTGGAGCAAAAGGTTAACTGAAAAACAAACACACATACAGTACACAACCGGTCAAACATTTGGAGTCAGTGACTTTTTGAATAAAGTCTCTTATGCTAAACAAACAAGTCTGCATTTATTTGATCAAAAATACAGTAAATCATAAAGTATATTTTTATTTATAAATGTAATTTATTTCTGAGATGGCAAAGCTAAATTTTCAGCAGCCATTACTCCAGTCTTCAGTGTTAACGTGTTCCTTCAGAAACCATTTATATATCATGATTTGGTGCTTACTTTCTTTTTATTATCAATATAGAATGTAGAATGCTGATTAGAATGTAAATTTATTTCATTTATTTCAATTAAAATTTGTATGTTACAATGTAAACTACTCTATTGGTTTAGTCAATGTCAATGTAAAGAACAATCTTACTGACCCAAAACGTCTGAACGGCAGTTTACTGTATATTCTTCAAAAGATTTTATAAAACAACCCCACTTAAATATATCATTGTTTAAATCCCTATTATAAAAGCTTTGAACAGATTTAACAGCTGCTTGTCTAAATATAGCGCTCACGTAATTCCAAACTGTTCAGATTGCAGTGCTTTAAGTGCTCTGAAACCTCACATATGGGATCACAGACAACTGTCACCACGAAATGCAACCGCCTAAGAACGGCAAAGTACTCTCCAGGTGCTTTTCTTTTATTATTCTAACATGTCTGGGAGGGAGGGAGGCTTCCAGCCAGCTGTGTGATGCATCTGGAAATATTCTCCCCATTCCACTAATACGACTAATCGCAACCCCCTAATATGTATTCTTGTGCTGAGGTCTCATTAGAGCCACATTCTTGTCACAGACTGGGAGAGACACATTTGCACACTGACAGGAGACACCAACATCCACAGGAAGCACAAAGACAGGTGGACACATCCAACAGATTAGCCCTCCAAAGTGCTGACAGCTCCCATTGATGGGAAAAGACCAGCACATGACAGGTACGCAAGGTACCTGGCAACCAAAGGAGCATGGCCGAGAAAATCACAGCCCTATAGAGAGAGACTGTTCTCATTTATCACCTTTTCCAATATATTCCACCTCCCGTTTTTCTATTAATGGAATACAACAGCCCTTTTTTTTTTAAAGTCCAAGCTGTCTGAGGTTTAATAGGGATAAAAGGTCTGCTCTGAAAGGACATTTAAGGCTGCACTTAGTTTTAAAGACCAAAGTTTCTCGTCTCTTGAGAGACTGTTGATGTTTGTGGCACGGACAGGTCATAGGCAACATCTTGACAGGTCACTTCTGCATTTGCATAGGGAAATTGATTCAAATCGATTTGAGGTATTCAACGAGATAATAGGTTGATGGCTCGGCTTGGAATCAGAAAGAGCAAACATACCTGGATATCAATCTCAGCCATAGCACGAACTGTGCCTGTGCTGGGTGATAAGATAAACTCTTTCGGTCTTCTTTTGGTTTCGTCTCCCAGTCCCCATTCACTTCTGTTCAGATGAGTAACCTGGTCCATGCTGGTACTGCTCGCCAACCCTGTGCCATCTCCGGGGATCCGCAGTCCAAAGCTCATGGGCACCACTGAAGTGTTGCTAAGGCGACATGTCAGCGTTTGCGGGAACCCTTGGGTCAGTGATGGAAGATTTCTCATTACACAACTAATATGCTAAACAAAGATTAACACTAACATTGATCTTGATTGATGAAGTGGAGAGTGCAAGTTCATTTACCAAAGGACACCTCCCCAAAGTTGAGCTCTGGGACACTGAAGTGGAATGTAGGCCCAATTAAACACCCCCTGAAAGAGAGAAAAAAAAAGAAAAACTCAACAAGAATAAAGGCCCATCGCACCACAGTAATTATACAAAACTAAAAGGCTATTGAGGTGAAGTCCAGTATAAAAAGGAATGGGTGGTTTTGTTTTTAGATGACAAGACAGAGTGGTAGTTGTGGAATGTATACATTCAGCACTTTCAATAATCCATCTTAATCAAAGGGGAAGTGGCTTCTGCTAGTTTGAAAGCTTTCAGCAGAGCTCGGCTTCACTCGTTTAATTAAGGTTCAGCCTGTACAGGTTCATTTAATCAGCCATAAGCTAATGATTAAAACAACAAAGAGTGAAGGAGAAACATTGATGTTTTTTTTTTTTTACTAATGGTCATAAGAGGGGATTGATTAAAGGGAAGGATGTACAATTCGGGTCAATTTTCTGCTCTAAAATCAAACCCGGGTTGAGGTCAATCAATACTAGGGTTGCATCCAAATTTGCAGACCTCCCTACCATATAGTATAGTATTGTACATAAAAATAGTAAGTCCGAATTCACAGTAAACATAAAACAGTAGGCAAATAGTACCCGAAGGACATACCCGATGGACACTTTACTATCCTATGAGGCCACGGAAGTGAGGCCAGTGAAGCTCATGCAGGTATAATGACAACGCAATGTAGTATGTCCACACAGATTCATGCTATATATAGACCTTATGCACAAGAGAAACGTGGGCGCCGTCATCTTTAGAATATTGTCTTTGAACTTCCGGTTTTGCGTCGCTCTGTATATTTCTATGGCATCGCTGTCGAGGAGTAATTAGCTGGTGAAGTGGATTTATTTATTGTAGAGTTAACAAAAGTTATCATGAGCATTGTGATGTTGATCATAAGCATTGTAAAGCAAATGTCTTAACAAATGTTGACCGGAATTTTTTTACGAGCAGTTCATTCATACCTATGAAAATACAGACCGGAAGTCAAAAGACAATGAGCGCAACGCTGAAAAGGGGCGGGGCTACATAAGGTCTATAGAGCATACCTTTTACAATCACAAAATAATTACTTGTTCAAAAGAAGTACCTACTCAAAGCATAATAAAGAATGTGGCTATATATGTATAAATAAAATTGTAAAAAAATAAATATACTATGACCTTTTATTAGTATGTTGCCTACCAGGGTGGAATGTGTATGAATGAGAAAGGCAATCTATCATGTCACGGTTGGGTGAATGTTTTAAAACTGCCATTAGTACATAATGATGGAAAGCAATGAGGACTGGCTGGAAACATGTACTAGTGTTGGGGAAAATGAGCAATTCAAGACAAAAGAGGTTCATTTTCTGTAACAGATACCAAGCAAGACGTTTACATTTTTCATATGTTTAGATGATATTTAATTTGATATGGGGATAAATAGTGTCTAGCATGAGAGAAAACAAGAGTTGCTTCTGATACGAAAATGATTAAATGCCTTAAAAACAACGTTGCATTCAAACATCATAATATGTACAGCTAAACCTAAAATGTAAAATGTTTAAATGCAATATGAAATGATTTTCCTTAACACATACAGAACATAATTGAAAATTGAAAATAAATAAAGGGTTATTCTATAATAAAGGTTTCATCTGTGAGGTTTACCTGAATGTGACAATGACTGGCTCAGGGTTTCCCATCACACTAAAGTGTAACTCTTCAGAGAAAATAGCCAGTTTGTCAGAGGAGAAGTGGACCTCCAGTGTTTTGGAGACTCCGGGTGGGATCATGCCTTCAGAGGGGTTGAAGGAAAAGCAAAGCCCGAGCGCTGTACTGGGTTGCACTAGTTTATATGCACCATTTATCAGTCCCTTGTTGCTTAGAATCAGCTAAGAATAAGAGAAAACAGACAGAGAGAAGAAACACAAAAGAAGCTGTGTGAGTCCACAGACTGAACGTCCAAATTGTTTCATTCTTTCACCGGTGGGATCAGTTTACGTCGTTTAATCATACACTTGGATACCACCTCAAAAAGAAGCCCATCGGGACAAATCAGACTCAAACAAACAATCCAAAACTTTCAGGACAATTATATTATTGGGATCATGCAAAAGCTCAAATAACAAAAGGAATTGGAAAGCCACAATGTTTGCATAATTCAGCGTGGAGTGTATTCAAACTGAGCCAAACATTGGTCTATTTCAAGACTCAGTAATAATAAGGGGCTTTTATTATTCAATTAAAACTGCTGTCGAGTCCATGCTACATTTGGCAGATTGTGAGCAACATCCTGATTAAATTTGATGCGAGATCCTGCTTGTTATGGCTTCACAGTAATCAATTCTGTGAAGGGTTCTTTTGGTACATCAATAGTTTCTTCCCACCACTACTACATGCTTTAGTCTGTGTAATGATTTGGAGGAGGTAACGCTAAGTGGTTTTGTCTTTTAGTTTAAGAAGGGGACAATAACACTTACAAAATGCAATGTTTGCAGCACTCTAATATAAAAGTATTCAATCCCCTTCAGGGATTGAAACTTGCCGGCCACGAAAAGTTATTAAAGACATCGTTAAAATAGTCCAAGTGACTACAGTGGCTCAATCTTAAGTTTATCAAACGACGAGAACATGTTTTGTGCGAGAGAAAAAAAAAGAATTTATTTCAACAATTCATGTCCTTCTCTTTGGCCTCGAGTCAGGTTACTAGTTTAACAGCGTATGATCTGTTGTACGTCACACGCATCACACATGACCAGTGTCAGCCAATAGTGAGCCTACGTGTGACGTAGCTCTAAGCAGTTACACTAGTTTAACTGACTAGAGGCCCAAAGAGAAGGAAGTGAATAGTAAAGTCGTTATTTATGTTTGTTTTTGCGCACAAAATGTGTTCTCGTCGTTTGATAAAGTTAACATTTGAGCCACTGTAGTCACTTGCACTATTTTAACGATGTCTTTAATAACTTTTCGAGGCTGGCAAGTTTCAATCCCTCAAGATGCCTATGGACTAGTATGGAGGAGTGATCCAGCTCTCAGATTTCATCAAAAATATCTTAATTCGTGTTCTGAAGATGAACGAAGGTCTTATGTGAGTAAATACTGACAGAATTTTCATTTTTGGGTGAACTATCCCTTTAAGCTCAATTTGTTTTTACCATTGAGATTAAAATGAGTTTTCTACAATTGTACCTTATAGCTTTGTTTGGAGCCAATAACAATATTTCCCATGTCTAGAAAGTCAAAGCTGAACTGCAGTTTTGGGCCTACGCCCTCTCCTTGTATGCAGAGTGGCAACCGAGATTCACGACCTGTGTAAGTACAAAGCATTCAAATAAAAAAACCAAAAAAGCATAATGAAACAGGCTGTTAAATTTCACTGGCTACAATATCAACAGTCTGTCTTTCTAGGTCACTACTAATCCAAGCAACCAGAATATTGTCAGACCTTACTCAAACATGCAAATAAATGCAAACCTGATCATCCTGCAGATGGGCCTAAGCACAACATGCAAATGTACCAATGCAATGTTAGAAAACAATGCAAGTGTGCATGAGCAGCATAGCTGTGACAGTAGAAAGTGATTGTTTTTAACACAACATCTGTTATCATGGTGTAAGTACCAGTGATTTCACAGTAAATAGTCTGCTGGTAGATCCTGGCTTCCTGTGGTTTAAAGATGATGTTCACCTCTGCAGTGCTGTTGGGCCAGATTTCTCCCTTCTGTAAAACAACAGAAAGTCAATAGAGAGAAAATCAATTTTGATTAATTTCCACAGATATTGTTTGTCATGCAAGCATAATGCAAAGTCACAAGTGTGAAAAAGAAGTTTTTAAATATATTTTTAGAATTTAAAATGACTCTTTTTCTATTAAAGAATATTTAAAAATGTAATGTATTCCTGAATAATTAAAGCCATCTAATATGCTTTTTATTATCAAAGTCAAAAATAGTTGTACTGCCTAATATTTTTGTGAAAACCATGACACAAGCTAAATGTATTGCTTGGATTATATATATTTGTTATAAGCCTTTACTGAAACTTTTGAACAATTGAATGCACCATTGCATAATAAAAGCATTCATTGCTTTAAGAAAAAATTCTTACTGGCCAAACTTTTAAATGATAGTGTATATGAAACTAGATAATAAAATACATCAATGTCATATTATTTACCAGTAATTCATGATGTGAAAGAAAATACCAAAATATGTTTGCATGCTACACTACTCCCTGAAGCAGTGACACATAGAAAGTGGTGAAAGCCTAACAATCAGAGCTGGTAACACACACTTCACAGGTATGATCCCAGCAGGTTATGCATCAATAGACTTGGGAGATACCAAGGTCTCTTATCACCACTGCGCTCTTCAGCAAGTCACTTACAATTAGGGTGCTCAAGGGTTAGCCACAACTGCATTAGATAAAAATGTTTGTTAAATTACTAATGAACAAACAGCATGTTGTGTCACAAGGCAGTGCCTGTGCGATCAAGCTACTGCATGTAAACAGATGCTCACATCCTAGCAGAGGTGATACCGATCTGTTTTGTTTTGTCTCTGTCTTTTCTTGCCTAAGCCTGTATAAACCAGGTTTGAAAAATCTGCATTTGCATTAACATTTAAGGTGAGAGTAAAATCCGAGCAGAAATGAATGGGAATCATGCTGCATCTTCTTCTGTCTTACACATAAAATGAGCATTAGATGAAGGAAAATGTGAGGTGCAGAGAGAAACTGAATCATTGCAGTATGCCTCTATGTGCCTTTAAGAGGGTGAAAGTCACAGCAAGGTGACAGAATTAACACAAAACACTGTTGGATGTCTTTTAAAGGGTATGCGATTAGTCATTTGGAAAAAGCAAAGTGCTGAGCTGGACTTCCTATAGACGCAGATCGTGTTATAATTGACTGGCACTGTTGCATGCATTCTGCATCAACTGCAGACATGCAATAACGTACAACTAAAAGACAATCACTAGGTGCATAACCAATGCAAAATTTAGGGATTGCATGCACAAAGTGTTATAAGTAAATCACATTTAACTCTCACCCACATAACAAATCCTCATGTATAATTAAAAACAAGCTCAGTATCTTTTAATTTGCTTGGCTGAGTGGAGTGATGTCTAAGTTTGGTATCCACCATATGTTTAGGCATATGGTTATACGGTACAAGGACATCCTAGGTTTCAGATTTAATTGCTGGTTATGCAATATTGCATCGGGGTAAACTGAAATCTAAAATGAAGCTTGTCATGTGTCTAGTTGTAACACACCAGGGGTCTCATGATAATGTCCTGGTCATCCAGAGACAAAAGCTGCTGTTGAGTTTGCACAAGCCCCTCCTGGAGGGTATGGGAAAACTGCGAAAGAGAAGCTCGCAAAGAAGGATCAGTGTTTTCTGTCAGAAACTGCTCCATGTCATCATCAACTTCTTGGTCCAGCTCTGAAGAAAGCCTACAAAAGAAGAAAGAACACAACAGAGAATAAGAGAACAATGGATTGACACATTCATAATGTTAAAAGAAAGAAACTTCCGGCATTATTCATTTAGCACTGAAAATGAGTTTCACGTGTCTCTCGGTTTGAAAAACAAATAAAATGCACCTCAGATGCCGTCAACATTATTTTTTCATTAAGACGTGAGAATGTCACCTCACTTGAATTTAGGATAAAATGTAAAGATTTTATCTTTCCAAAAGTATAGTTAGAAAAACTTAAATTATAAAGCTAATAGAGGTCAAACCTTAATTTGTCCCGTTCCTCTGCCTCCTCAGTGGCAAAGTTCTTCCACTGGTAATGCACAATGGAATCACTCCTGTTCATTATTGCCACTTTCTGGTTGGTAGCTAAAGAGATGTAGGTTTTCTCCAGCATCACAAAGTTCTTGTCCAATCCGACATTTATATCTGTGGAATCTCCATAGAGGGTGATTTGGATGTCTTCTCCTAAAAAAAAAAAAAGTCATAAGGTTGACTGACGTATCAAAGTAAAAGGTTTGTATGAAGACAGTCTACTGTTAACAAAAGAATAACAATATAAACCAAAGAATGTGATTTTTTTTCTACACGAGTATTGGTGGGTCATTCTCATGAAACCGTCCATTCATTTGTGCCAACCCTGTTGCATTTAAAATGTTGTAGGGTTGAATGCAATGAAGTTGAGAGCAAAATTGGCAAATAACAAGCGTACCTAGCAAATATTGTGGGACATAAAATTATTTAAAATTCAAATATATAAAAACATGATTTTATTCAACTTAATAAGGCCAATAAAAAAATTGACTTTTTTCATAAAATTTTAGGTCTACATTAACAATGAAAGCATGTATAATTTATGGGGGGGGGAAACTGCATAATTTTTTGCATTACAGACTAAACAGTGTTAAATCTACAAAATAGTGTGCTTAAATTCAGTATTTTGCTTTGTTAAATGAGTAGTAAAGAATGAGGGCACAAATGGGGCATCAACGGCACGAATTTAGAAATAGAATCGTCCCCATCAATTCCCTAGCGAGCATAAAAGATTTATAATTAGGCATTTGTATGACTGGAGTGTGATCTTTTTTAGTCACCATGGTGGTGGCGCTACATGTAAACAAATAGAGGTCTGTATTCTGCGTTTGTTACCATGGTGCTGCAATGATTGTGAACCTGGTCCGTCAGGACAAGAGTTCCCCAATGAAATGTGGGTCACATGACTTCACCAAAAACCAATCAGAAGCGAACAAAACAAAAGTAAAATTCAAAACAAAAGCTCAAATCAGAAGTGCAGCTGGCTTACATATATTTACCTGCATTTTGATTTGTTTTACTAGTTTGGCTACATTCAAAGCAGGAGCTTCATGCTTAATGGACTATCACAGCCCAGCCTTGTCCATAATGTCAGCGCACTTACTCATGCACCCACACGAAGTTGAAAAAAGTATTCAAAGAAAATATAAAACAGCAATTGTTTTCACTATAAAATGATATATCCCAAGTTAACATTGATTTTGCACTATAAATCTTCTGCTCTGGATGTACTGAATTGCATTTGGAATATGTAATATGATTGCGCTGACTGACAAACACAATGCTGGGGAGGAGGGGCGCAAATATATGAGACAATTCCTCAAGACCAAGTGAACAAATCGACAGCAAAGAAATCCATCAGAGGTAAACTGATGGATAATGTCGAGAAACGAATTTTAGCTGTTACATTTATTGGCTGTTTCAGCAAGCTTCAAAGCCCAAACATCACGAGTGCATGCACTTTTCACGTAACATATTGCATGTATGAACATGCATCACACATGTTTTTGTATGTACGTATATGTACGTTTGCAACTCTTGCACACATTCTAGAGAGAATACTTTTATTTTTCTCAGCATGTGTCTCTCTCTGATGACTCTTGGACACAAACAGACAGGTCACCAGAGGCATTTTAGATTGTTAAGACATTCCCCAATCTCCCTCATCTCATCCCATCGAGACCTATATGGTATCAGGTGTACTGGATATAATTAACCCCTGCCCTGTTTGTCTTTTTTGTACACTGAGGTCTTCAAAGTCCACTGTCTTTAATGCAAAATAATTCAGTACACTGCCTAATGAGGCTGCTAAGAAGACAATATGTTATTATAAAAAGCATATGTTAATAAATAAGGAAAACAAATCAATACTATAATGGTTATTGGGTGATAATAGTAATTCTTTGCTTTGATTATCAGTATTGGTTGATATTGGATATAAACTTCAGTCAAAATTGTGATGTTCTTTTACTTTATTTTTACATTTAGATGACCTTTCCCATCATCTAAAGCTCACTTATTTATTTTTTTTAAAAAACACTAATAATTTAATAACAATGTTAAATGTATTCTTCAAATTTCACATAACTGATTTTAGTTTTTACATTTATTTAGAGAAAGTAGTCATAATTCTTATATATGGCCATTTAGCATTTTAGATAGATTTTAAAGAGATAGTTCACCCACACACACAAAAAAATTCACAATGCAATAATTTCCCAAATATAGGGCACATGCAAATGCAAATAGTTGAGTTCTTGAGGTTAACCCAGAAAATAAAACAAAATAAAAACAGTGTCTAGAAAGGTCAAAGAAAAAAAAAACATAATACTATGCTTTAAACAAATGTTTATCTGTGCTGTACAGTAGGGACTAAAGAGTGTGAGAAAGAGTAGACCGGAGCCTGGAGAATTTTCTCTGTAGGGGCTGATCCAGATATGCAAGCATGTCTCCAAGTAGAAGGACTGCTGTTACTCAGCGCACATTTTAAACAAGCAAATGTAATTGCCGCACATCTGATGTACTTGGAGCAGAAGAATTTGCATTTATGTTTAAGCTACAACATCCTTGGAAGCAGAGGAAAGAAGCTGTATGGGGGTGTGGGGACTAGGCTTTATGAAAGGAAAAGACAGAGAGGGAAAACGATAACAGACTGACTGAGAGAATAACAATATTGGTAGAAGAAATGAAACTGGCATAATAACATCCTGAAGATGATATAGCAGAAGGCAGGTCCTGTACCTTCGATATTTCTTCGCTCTTAGTCTTACTCTTTCATCCTTTTTACTCTCTCCACTGATTAATTTGCCGTAGATATCACTTTTCACAAATGAGCCAGAGACATTTAACCTCTGTCTCTATGCATGAAGCTTTAAGAGAGAGAAAAAGAGCAAAGGAAATTGTGTCTTTGATGGGACACTGCATCTGCCAGCAGGCTGACGGATAGTGGGATCTCTTCAGTAGGGAGGGGAGGGGAGGGGAGAAGAATGGGAAATGAGGAAAGCTTTCATTGAGCTGGAGATTGTGTGTGTGAGATGTCTTCATCAGCTCACTCTTAAGTGCACTCTAAAAAGCCTGCTAAGATAGGGGGTGTTCTACTTCTTGATGAGGAAAGTGGTCTGCTTATATCATAGAGTTTAATATAGATACACATTTGGCCCTCCTAAATCTGAGATGACACAAACATACAATAAGGGCTTTTTTTTTTTTTAATCTGGCTTAATTGGAGCATTTGTTTCCGAACCTGGTGCGTTTTGTACCTTATGAACATATATGAACATGGCAATCATGCTCAAATCAAAAACCGAACTATGGAGTGATTCGCTTGTGGTGAGAAAAGCAATCCAACCCAATAGACCAACAAACCAAGCTGTATCACAATGTATAATAGCAGTGTTTCTTGTCTCTATATGAATTGTTTCAACCTGCAAAGACGAAGTGAGATGCCTGATTGAAATTTGGTCGAACAAACATATAGATGGGAACTGTCCAAAACACTAAAAAATAAAATGATCAATGTGCGGAATCTAAGAACATAAAAAGTGTCCACTCTAATGCCTGGTTCAGATTACACGATTTTAGCCCGATTTTGGCACGATCTGTTTGACGTAGGGTGTCGTGGAGATTCGTAAACGACAACGGGCGTCGGGACGCAAGATTCGATCGTATCATCATTGTGGGCGACAACCTATGTCGTGTCTGCGATGCTTCACGACATCACGAGAAAAAGACTAGCATGTTTAATTTTTTTTAACGGTCGTCCACGACGGTTCCGTCACATGTATGAGGTTGACCAATAGGAGCACAGAAGCTTTTCCGTACACAACTTTCAAAAATGGCGAAACGAAAGATAGACGATGGTGCTAACGTTAAAAACTAAAAGTAAAAATATATAAGAAAACAATATTTTACCTCAAGTTCTCTTTGGAGGATTGACAATCCAGGAATCCATTGTTTGTTTACATTCGTTTCCCGGAAGTCACTCGCTACTAGTTTCGCATTCTCGATGACATCACGCGCGAGTTAAAGACGGCATGCGATGACTGGTCAGGAAGCAACGTCTAGTCTGACATGTGTCTTGTCCACGACACGACAAGATTTTAGGAGTCAAAATCGCGTAATCTGACACAGTGACTATCGTAACAGTAAAAAAAAATCGTGTAATCTGAACCAGGCGTAACTCGCAAGAGACTCGCAAGTGAAAGCAAACCGATCCCAGAAGAAATTGCAATTTTAATCCTTGTTTTGAAACAAAGCAAATATCTACAGGTCTGAAAACACCCTAAGAAACAGAGTTCTTTTTGAAAGTCTTGTACAAAAATTAACCTGTCAAACCTTAATTAGACTTACACTGAACAAAAACGCCAGCGATCCTTTGGCATTTCTAAGGAAGCAGTTCATTTATTTTATTCTTACAGCACAATGCACTTTAGCAATTCATTCAATAAACAGCAGTAATTATCTTGTTTATTTTCATGACATGTTTTGTATGCATTGTGTTATGCTGTCCGAGCAGAAGACAGACTATTGAATAGGGGAGGGAAAGAGAGAGATTGATATACTGTAGACAGAATGGAAAACATGACCTGTGACCCATGCAACGAAGCTGATGTGTTTGTTTTGCTTTGGTGCTCCATGTTTTCATTCGCGAATATAATACCGTTTTTTCCATTAGCCTCGATGTTGCCATTTAAACAGACCTCAATGCGTACAGCTCCCACTGTATCTCTTGTCTCTGAATGCCACGATAATGAGATTTTGTTTCTATATGAACGCCGTTAATAGCAAACAAGCCATGGGTGATGCGTCGCACTGCCATTTGTAACGGGAAATATAAGAAATGAGATACACACTTTACCCTATCGTATATGAAACAAACTATTTGTCATGCTGAAGTTCCATGCATGCTTTCCCTATTTACAGGCAGAAATGATAGGAGGGATATCCTTTGAAGAAACCCAAGTGTCCCTTGAAAGGAAATGGCTTTCACTGAATAAGAAACAGTCACACTGAGTGTGTACCAGTCGGAAGGATTCCCTCTTCCCCACTGCTGCACTGCTACCCGGGGCTTTTTGGCTCCTTATACATATTTTAGAGTCAATGGGCAAACTCTGCAGCCTAGATAAGGCAGATGATACGAAGCAACACAGCTGGGAGGTATTTGAAAATCTAGGACAGTTAAGTAAGAGGAGATAGAAGAGATATTGTCTCTACTTACTTCCAGCTATTGGTAATTAAACACATTATGGTTTCAGAGAGACTACATGGACATCGATATCTCTTTAGCTTTGTAGGACATTATAAATGGAAAGACAGAACAGTGCAGTTGAAAACAGCCCCAGATTGCAACTTAGATCTTTATATTAAACATGTCGGCTGGTTGTCAATAAGTAACATGGAGATTAAACTTTAGATCTGAGCTCATCATGAGTAAAGGAAATTGTTTGGTGACTGACTGAAAAACTATAACCTTGAGGTCAAAGATTTAAATAAAAAATGGTAAATGGACTGCATTTATTTAGCACTTTCACAGACCCAATGGCCACCACATTACCTCACATTCACCCATTCATACGCCGATGGTGGTGTCAGCCATGCAAGACTAATTAATTAATTAAATAAAACTAATAATCATTTTTTGATTCCTTCATCCAGAGCTCTCTTTAGTCGAAGAGAATTATAAACAAATTCCAGGGACATTCCCTGAAGCTCTACAACACAAAGTCAATATCATCTACCGACTAGCGAAAACTACTGTAGCACCAAAGGGCACAAGATACTGAACACTATATGTGCGTAAAAGACGAGGATGGTCGATGAGGATGATCTTGTAATGCTGACACTATTTCAAGGAGATATCCAACATCGAATTCCTACATTCTCTGGTTCCTGAAGGCATCCCAAATGTTGTTACAACTGAAGAAGTTGCCAAAGCCAACTTGATAGCATGAGAGCCCAGGCTTTACCGATCTGCCAGTGGATTTTTGGAAGTTGAAGAAGCTGCATGTCATGTCACCACGATTGAATATCTAGCAATGTCGGCCATATACCAACCAACTGGACCACAATAATTAATTGTCACAGTAATCAAACATCAAGAAAACAGAATATTTGGAAACCAATCCTTCTGATGGCAACATCCTGGTTAGTGGCAAGCCCTGATGAAGACAACCAGCTTTAAGTACCTAGGATTGCGCCTGCAACTTGACTGTGATATCAATAATGAAGTGCATGGGAGTGTGAACTGGATTCACAGGAAAGTCATCACTGGCGTTCTATGTGATAAATGCATACCAATCCGTCTCAAGTCGTACAGCAGAACGTACATTTGCGCTGTATTGAGTCGAATGCTGGTAAGCCACTCTCTCCCATTAAAGAGATGCGCCGCTGGATTACTGGTGTGTCTCTCCTTAACCACTGCTGTAATGATACAATTACAGCAATTACAGAGAACATGCAGCAAATCTTCAATGGTATTGGCACGTTCGACACCGCCAACCACTTCATAATAATAATACATTTATTTTACATGGTGCCTTTCAGAAAACTCAAGGTATCTTTTTACAATAGAGTACAAATAAACATGACATAGAAACAATACAAATAAATTGAGATGGATAACATTATAGATAGTGGTATATAAACATAGAAATCAGATCATAGAGTCAGGGGTCAGGTTAAGGTGGGTTTTGAAATCGTGTAATGATGAAAGGTTGCGGAAGTGTTGGGGAATTCCAGAGAGTTGGACCAGTATCGGAGAATCTAAGTTTAGGTATGGATTAGATCAGAAATATAGGGGGGGCAAGACCATGGAGTGCTTTGAATGTGATGAGGAATATCTTGTATTTAATACGAAAGCGTACCGGTAGGAAACAAGGTGGATGGGAAATGGCCACGTTGACGGCCAAAGCAAAGATGGCAGGATAGAATCAAAGCAGATAAAGATCACCAAATTATACACAAACGGGGCACTTTACTGTGCAAAATGCAATATCTGAGAGCAGATTCCACACTTGTGGAAAACACACTAGAGGAAGAAGAATAAATAATAAATCTCATGGTAAGCCTATTATAAGTGTTTATATTTTAAACCTGACAGGATGGTTTTCATGGGAAATTGCATACATACATCACTCGCCCATGCGTGTGTCTTGTCATATCTGTAAATGGAGAAAAGGTGGTCTGTCTATTTTGACGCATATATGGTGTGGGAATGGCCTAGGTTAGTTGTCACAACGTGTGAGAAAGGTTTACATAGAGCACGCTTAATCTCGAACCTCTGGGGAAGTTGAAAAGAGGATAGTCTACTGGAAAAAAAGAGGACATGACAGAGCTCGTAATAAAACGTGAATCAACATTGGCAAAAACTGAGGGATTTTAAATGTTGAAATAGTAATGCGGAGATAACTTTTTTAATGTCTCATCAGGTGAGTTAAGGTATTTTATACTGTTTTTATTTCATGGTTGTTGTAGCGCTTTGCTGGAATTTAATTTCAAGGTAGTACCGTGTGAATTAATGGGTAGAGCTACAGTAACGTCTTCAGCTACTCAGCTTGAGATCCTTCCCATCTAAACTGCTTAGATCTCTTAAGCCTTGTAGGCTAGTGAATGTTTTATGAGCAGTAGAATACACATATATATCTGCTGTCACGAAGAGCCTAAGCACAACCAAAACAATGTTCTTCCACAAAACACCTGCAGTTTTTTGGCTAAAGGGCCAAAAGTTACATGGTGTATTTTTAAGTAAAATTAACAAAATAAATAGGAACATACTTTGTGTTTTTTTTCACTGAACTGACATAAGCACAGCTACAGTGATGCAATGAACAAATCCTACAACCTACACACAAGATCCTCTATAGCACATTAGCAACCACAAAACCATCAACAACAGAAACTCTTTTACAATGCCCAAAATATCTTAAGAATTAACACTATCAGGTTTGGCTTGTACTGAAAAGAAAAATGACTCTTAAACTTCAGCCCTATGAAATACATCGCACAGAGAGACCACCTTTAGAGACTTAAGAGAGGTCTCTGTGCTTATCAGAGATAAAACTGGGACTGCAGGGAGATGTTTCTGCCAACCCCAGAACCAAACCAATGAAGACATGCTCCAAAGCAGCTTCACGTTAAACATAAATGAGGAGGAGACAGGAAAAGGCGCTAAATTAAAAATGATACTCCCCTGATAGGCGCAAAGTGGTATTTTTAGATCAGAATGCATATTAAAAAGTTAATGCCGATGGCCTTCAGCAGACCTGTGTGTTTATTCATCGAGACAGGCAGAGCACCTGCACAAACCACACACACATATAACTAAACCACATGCTAAACTACATGTTGAAATACACAAGCACATTCAAACAGACAATAATTCATGCACACACTAGTATGTCGGTTTAAACACACCCTCTTAGCCATGCACATGATCTTTAATTAATAATTTCTTAGCACCATCTTGTCTATAAATACTGCATATCCACCTACTGTACAGCTGATTCAGGTAAAACAGTGCTTCAGCATTAAGATGTAATCAAATGAATCCTAACAACAAATCAACTATTGGATGTTGAGTTAGATTACAAAATGACAATTTTTAGAGGTGTGTTATAAGATTAACCAGGCACCCGCACCATTTCAGGCTAAAAAAATACTGTTTCTATGATTTATTAATATAGCAATTTCCCTAAAAGCACCTTTGAAAGAACAAAGACAAAATATTCAAGCTCAAATAGAACAAAAATAACTGATGCGTTTTAATCATAATAACCTCAGGGTAATCAACACCTAAATAATAATATATTCAATTTCACAAAACCGTGAGGAAAGTCATGGAAATATATTGCCTAAAAAAAAAAACAATGCAATTGGGCTAGTCAATGAGTCAATGTGATGTTTTTCAGCCTAAATTTACTTTAAAATGGCATCTACATTATTTTCTGAGCAGTAAATGTGTGGGTGGTGAAAAGAGCAAAGAATATTAAAGCTCTTCTTCAGTAGAGAATAATTAGAAAATATAAAGATGAACAGACATTAACGATGAAGGCTAAGATTAAGATCATTTACACCTGCTGAGTAGGACGCAAGCGGGTGCATGTGGAAATCAGTAGTGACATATAGCAGTGTGTTGCAGAGGAGGAGCTTGTAGGAAGAGCAAATTGTGGTGAAGTAATTAACAGTAAGTACCTGAATGGTAATGCAGCAGCAAAACCTGCCTGTGATCCCCAGTGGTTTTTGGCAAGAACTCAACGGTAACTTGCATGCTTTGACCAACATCAAGAGTACCTACAGATGGTTCTACAGAAAATGGGCTGTGGGGAATATATAGATGCAATCATAAAAAGAAAGTGTCGGTCATAAATCAATAAATTAAATCATTTACACACCACAATGTCACTCCTCTTTCACCTGCGTGTGCTGAGCTGGAATTTAGCTTCACAATTTCCTATGTTCCGCACAAGCAGAGTCCTCTGGGACAGGCACTTGACTGGGCAAACTTGGAAATGCAGACTATCTGGGAAGTCCAAGATGGCACGGGGACCAATTGCACGGATGGGTACTTCAAACTTCTCACGTTCAGTCACACAGAGGAGTCTGTGAATGTAATCCTACAATTACAAGCATCTGAAAGTCAGTGGCGACATATAGACGAAGATAAAGCCTTGAAGAAGACAAGGATTTAAAAAACAACTAAATACAATATGGTACTATACATCTGGTACATATGGTTTCTTTAATCAATCCTAATTTAAATAAACCCTAGAATTTAGGAATTATTACATTGAGGAGTTATAATCCATAATAATTACATGCAAAAAAGACCCTCTGTCCTTCTCTGACGGCTCAATTTGAAATGACTTTATTTGAATGACAGTATTAAGAAATAGATTAGCCAAAATAGATTAGCAGGTCACATTGGAGACTGCAAATGAGCCACTAATGGGCCGATGAGTGGCTGTGGGGGAAACACTAAGCCTCCATTGCCCCGTGCTTACCAAAGTACTCTCTCAGATTTCTCAAAGATAAGTTAAACATTAAAATAAAACTTGACATTGAAGTTTATTTCCCACATTGGGTTGCATTTCTTTGGTCCGTTCATTGATTTACAAGCAAACGTGCCCATTAGTACACTTCCAAGTGTCAGTTGCAGATGTTTGGTATACATTTTACCTTGTTCTCTTGTGGAGTAAATAAAATGGTGAATGTAGATGCCATTCCTGGGGCCACTTTCTTACTAGCATCTAATGGGCTGACCACTTTAAAATACAGTGAGTCTTCTTCGATCACCTTTACCAGTCGAGGAACCTGCAATAGTCAGGAACATGTCCATGTCAAGCCAGTGATCATTACAAATGAAAATGAACAAGATCATCATCTACACGTATAAAGACAAATACACCTAAATGTACTAAACATTGTTATTTAAAAAAAATATATATTTAGTGTATGTTATATAACACACTGTATGGTCAATTCAGATGCATGAAAGTCACCTTGTCACTGTTCCGCAGCTCTAAAGGCACCTTGTAAGTCTTAAATGCTGAGTAGTTTTGGAACACAATCTCAGACGGGTACGGCTGGAACATGGCCTGGTCCAAATCTAATGAGGAAAACTATAAAAAGCAAATCAAGTTAAAATCAAACTCTTAGAAGATATCTAATTCAATTTTAAATGTAGGATATGGCTCCCTTACAACTTTAATGTGAAATAAGCTCATTTAAAACAATGGGGTGTTAAGGGAGAAAAACAATATTCTTTATATTTCTTGTTTTCGTTATTGAGAAAATTTTCATTACATCTGTCACATCTAGTTTATCTCACATTCTATTGAGTGTCACAATGCAGCAATTCCCACACATATCTTAACTATACCACATGGGTGAAAGTATGCCCTAATATGTATGAATAATAAAACAACAATCAACTAAGCATTTACACTTGCAACAGTTACATTTGCAGAAACCACATACATTCTGCTCATAATGAGCCAAAAATGCTAAATAATAAGCCTAATAATGAGGGACGGTAAAGATCCATTTCCAAAAGCAAAAACATAAAACAATGATGAAAATTATTAAATACAAAAAAAAAAGAATGTAAAAAAATTGTTAAATTTATATTCATTAATTTTATAATGTGTTTATTAAATAAATTCATTCATTCTTTTACGATATAATACTGCTTTTATTTGATTTTTGCAATAGTTACTAATTACTATTTTTCATAGTGTGATTTTTAGTGAATTGTATTAAAAACAGTCAGGGTTTTAATACAGGCATTATAATAATTATTTATTATAATAATATTATATAATATTTATTATAATAATAAATAATAATTAAAAAAATATTGTTCTTGTTTTTAAATTCATAGATAATAACAAGTGAGAACTCAAAGGCATTTTTGACCACCGAACTAGGAAATGTCCTTACTTTACCGTATAAAGGTACTGTAAACAATTGCCATAGACCTTATTCACAGCAGCGCCATCTTTGATTTTTAACTGGAATGAATGTGGGTTGTACTGCCAGTGAGCTTTAGTGGGTTGTACTGCCATTTAATGTGCTTTTTTAATTGTTCTGCTGATGAAACAATGCAAAAATGTCTTTCCAAGAAATTTCAGTAGAAAAAAAAAACTGAAATTGAAAACACGGTAAGTCTTTCCCTCACAGCCTCGCTTTCAAACCTGTCATGATGCTGCTCTGAAGGTCTATTGCTATACAAATTAAAAGCCTCTAGTATCTCCCCAGAGAGAAACTATAATAATGATGTCCTTAATCAACTTTGAAAATGTTGCTACTTAGATACTTGGAACCAGTGATGTAGAGGAGCAAACTAGTTAATTAAGTGCTGGAGCTGAGCATATTAGAATGATGGTATTTTACCTTGTGATGTGTGGCCTCACTCATGTCCAAGAGTTCCAGAATACGGGGCGGGTGCACCTCGTAAGTGTTTGATAATCGCTCCTCTGTAGTCTGGCACATTTCTCGAGCATATACTGATGGAATCAGCTGGAAAGACATTTCAGACTGTCATGAGTGCATTTATATATTTTATATATGCATATACATATATACCCTATATATTTATTTACATAGGAATTTTTACATTTGATATATTTTCCTATGTTCTTTCCATAAATTATATCTATGTAAAGCTGTGTGTTTGTTTGTGTTTTATATTGCAATACATTGACAATCAGACACTCTTTAATCACACATACACTGATAAAGTCTAAGTGACAAACAAAGATAAAAGAGAGACATTACAGTAAGTACAATCCCAAAAAGTGATTACACATACATGGTACAGCAGATATACATTCACCGGGTGCTTTATTGGGTCTGTCTTTTCGACTGCTCATTAACGCAAATATTTAATTAGCCAATCACGTCAGCAACTCAATGCATTTAGACATGTAGACATGGTCAAGATAATCTGCTGAAGTTCAAACTGTGCATCAGAAAGTTGATTTAAATGACCTTGAATGTGGCGGGCTGGAATGAACGAGTATTTCAGAAACTGCAGATCTACTAGGATTTTCACGCACAACCATCTCGAGGGTTTACAGAGAATGGGCCGAAAAAGAGAAAATATCCAGTGATCGGTAGTTCTGTGGGCAAAAATGCCTAGTTGATGCCAGAGATCAGAAGAGAATGACTGGTTTGAGCTGAAAAAAAGGCAAAAGACAACAGAGGTCTGCAGAAGAGCGTCTCTAAACTCAACAACTTATCGAACCTTGAAGCAGATGGGTTACAGCAGCAGAAGTACACACCGGGTGCCAAACCTGTCAGATGAACAGGAAACTGAGGCTACAATTTGCACGCGCTCACCAAAATTGGATCGTAGAAGATTGGAAATTCAGATGGTAGAGTCAGAATTTGGTGTAATCAACATGAAAGCATAAATCCATCCTGCCGTATCAACGGTTCAGGCTGCTTGTGGTGTAATGGTGAGGATATTGGCGCACATTGGGACCCTTAATACCAATTGAGCATTGTTTAAACGCAACAGCCTACCTGAGTATTATAGCTGACCATGTCAACCCCTTCTGATGACTTGTCACAAAGCTCAAGTCATCTCAAACTATTTTTTTTTTTTGAACATGACAATGAGTCCACTTTGCTTTGGGATGTGGAACAGGGAGATTCACATTATGGATGTGCAGCCGATCAGACAATTCTGGAGCAACTGTGTGATGCTTTCATGTCAATATGGACCAAAATCTCTGAGGAATTTTTCTAGCACCTTGTTGAATCTATACAAAAAAGGCAAAAGGGGGGGTCCAACTCAATACTAGCAAGGTGGATCTAATAAAGTGGCCAGTGACAATGAACAGGTTTTTACAGATTCTTCCATTTTTGTGTTTGTCAACAATTATCCACTTTTAATCAACCAACTCATCAAAAAAAGGAACATCAAAATGTTATATCAAAAATGTTGAGTAGGATGTGGTTCACTTTTAATAACTAGTTTTGTTACATAAAACATATAGCCTTTAAGGTGTCCTAGTAAAAGTATCAGAAGTCTAGTATGTTGTAAGTTTTGTGAGTAACGTTAGTTTAAAAGCAGTAATAGTAGCTTAGTTACTGATAGTAAGTTAGTGCTCGTTTGGAGGCAGAGATTTAATTGCTTTACAAACAAAGTGAAAAAAAGAAAAGTATTGAGATATATTAAAGTGCTCACCTTTACTGAATTGGTCTCCCGTTTCACCAGCTTGGGATTTCGGGGAGCCACTACTTTTGTTTTAAATCCCGCTGGCATCTTCTCGCGTGAACTGCGCAGGTTTGACTGAGATGCTTGGACATTCGAGACTGGCATTTTGAAACAAACGCAAGTTACTCGCGCTTTATGTAGAAACTTGAAATAAGATGTTAATGGCAGAAATATCTGGTTTCTTTCGTGATTGTCGATAACAAGCGAAACATACGAGAAATGTTTAACCGAGAAGCAGATGACTAGACTCCATTCGTACGTTAGGTCGATTGTTTGATAAAGTTGTGTTTATCGTTTATAAAACGTCCAGGACGTTTAAAGTTTTATTTTGGTAAAATAACAACATAACGTCATTACAAACTAAGTGTTTAAATAATAGTAATAAAAAAGAAATTAATTTAAAATCCCAGCTAATTTCTTGTGAAGGCTCTTCCGCCAGCCCAACGTCACACTTCTCAACTATGAGCTTGGTGGTTACCATAGCGGCGGCGGCGGGGTACTGGACGTTCTCAGTAAACAGTTCTCTGATTGGTGCGCGTGTGCAAAGAAAGAAGCACTGGGATTCGCTGTGAGTTTGGGGCCCAACCAGTTGCTGAGGATATCTGTACCATGCCATATGGTACCATGGAAACTTCAAAACCACAAACAAAGTGTTCCTTTCCCTTGTGCTCGTATTTTGATTAAAATCTGAAAGAACTGCAAAGTGTAGACTGTATGAGATAGCATAATGGAATGTCAAAGAACAATGACAAAGAAAATATCACTGAACAACATTTTATTTTACACTTTACATTCATATTGAGGTGCTCAGGAGTAGCTACACCACATTAAGAATGAAAACTGCCTAAAATCATGGAATCTTTTTTTAAGAAACTTGCAAATTAAGTAATCCAGCATCCTTTAGACCTTCACCGGAAATACCGCCATGCATAGAGCCCATAGCATGCCTAATGCATGACTGAACAAGCAAAGAATTGAATACATTTCTTTATTTTTTACATGAATGTTCTTTATTTTATATGTATTTTAATTTTGACTGAAGCTACGCTTTTTAAACCACATACTCTGTTATTTAAAACATATCCAAAAAGTGGTTTAAAGCATCACATATTCTGGAAGGGCAACAATTCAAGAATTATTCACTGAAAAACCCAAATTGGTCGATAGCTAATTTGACTGATCAATGTCCCCTCAATACAAAACCAATACACTTATCTGAAGAAGGCATAATAAAACATCAAAAGCTTCTTCTAAACTCTAAAGAACCATTTGTTAACCCAAGTAGAACCAGTGATGAACTTGGAATGTTATAGGTTCTTACATCATTGCCAATAGAACCTTTTATTTATTTGTATGTGCAGATGAGGCTGTGGTAAAGTCTTGCTGTTATTTTTTATTATTTTTTTACATGCATAATCTCTGCTTGTGACAAAATGCACTTTAACCGTTACCCTGGACACTTGAGTTAAACTACAAAGAAGCACATTAGTTACCCTGCTGTGATGCACCACAACACGGCTGTGCTGGTCCTGGCAGGTTGACAGTTCTCAAGACTCTTTAACTGCGGGTCAGTGAGCGGCCCATTCTGACAGAAAATTGGATTAGTACAACGGGCACGGTTTAAGAAACGACTTTTAAGAGCGACTCCTCTTTCGTCACGTCAACCCTCGAGACCGTCGTGTGTTTGACCTCTCGCTCAGGTTGTTCTGTATTATTGCTCGCCTCGTCCCAACAATATCCTGCTTAGTAACCAGCCGCTGCGGACATGTCAACATCCAGCGAATGCAGGTAAGGAGAAACACGAATGAACGCCACACCTGCCAAATAAATCTCCTACATCATATCAGAATGCTTTTATGAAATCTTAGTGAGAAGAAAAATATGTTATTACATTCGTGAGAAGACGCCATGACAACTGTCGCTTTAAATTTCTATCCCTTATCAAACAAGACTTCATATCATAGATCAACCTGAATTAAATGGCACATCATTTTAAATAAACCTGTATGATTTACATTCAGGCAGTCTCTGTCCTGACTGTTTGGACGGCGATAGCTTTATTTACCCATATTTCTTCCACTATGCGCCTTCTAATTCTACTGTGGAAAAATAAATCATTTGTTGTCGATTTGATGCTTGAATGAAATTCAACATTTCAAATAACATAAGCTATCTATAAAATCAGCTAGGCTACTTGTACTTGTGATTATGGTTACGTAACCAGAATCCTCCTATTCAGCTTTAGTGGATGCGCTCAGAATAATACGCAGCTCTTAAAGAGACAGGCTGCACTATTAAACCTGAAAAAACAGCAATGAACACAGTCCAAAAATGAGGACATGGCTGTTCAGTTGGCAAGCCTTTAAAAAAAAAAAGAAAAAAGAAAGGCAGACCTGTAAAATAAGAGGCCTATTGTGCATTCTCACTGAGCATTGTCACGTAGCCTGTGTTTGAAGCTCAGCTCTCTGAATGGAAAGTGCTGATCCCGCAACGCCCTGCAGCACCACGGACAGCGCATGCTTACAGCTCGGCCATTGAGCTCTTCCTATGGTTCCTACTCAATATGATTCTTGTTACCTCGTGCCCAACAGCTATGAAAGGCTTTCTGATCATAAATGTTGGCAGTCCAACTATGCAAGCAATTTAGTTAGGATGGGCCTACTGTTTGTCTTTTTTTCTTTCCAGTTTTAAAAGACTATAAAATAATTCAGATTATAGTGAAAGTATAGTTAAATAATGACAGACACTTTTTTGAGAACCAGGAAGCATTCTGTGGTTGCTTCCTTTGGTAACTTGCATTGTCATTTCGAGTAACTGCATAAAGACAGAAAGTGAATTTAACTGTCTACTGAAAAGCGTAAGTAATTTCTTTTTTTATTATTAGAATGCGAGTTACAAACATACAAGCACCACAGTTCGTAAACAAATATTATACCGCAAAAAAAAAAAAAAAATAAACATCAGAATAAAAACTAATTGAAAAAAAAATAAATAGAATAAAAAAGTCAATCAAAATAATAATACATTTTAAATAGACAGACTTACAAACTTCATTATCTATAAAAAGAGATACATTTTCATAATTTTCACTTGAACATTTTTCAGTTACTGACATAGCTTTCTTATTTTTAACCCATTTAAGAGACTCAAAATATATATCAGTTTCAATTTGAAAAAAAAAAAAATTAAAACATGGCTTTTAACACAAAAGCCATGACACAAACTTCTCTCTCTCTACAATCGAAATATGTAATAATCTGTTTCCCTTCAATTGTTATTGTACTATATGTTTTAAATGACAAGTAACTTTCAACATTTTTCCAAAATGTAATGTAGAATGATATTTCTTGGTTCTCAAGTTATCAAATGCTTGGAGTGAGATTAAATGCGGTTAGGGGAGGAGCCCCAATGGAGCCCCGCCCTCAAATTTTATCCATTGTTCACAATTAACCAGAAATATACTCTTTAATATTATATTTTAAAATTACAAATACAAAAATGTGAATGCTAAATTATATTTTTGTTTTTCCCTAACATCTTTGAAAAATGCAATGATTAATGTAGCCTATGTTTTGACAGGATATAAAATATTACACAGAGCACTCTGCTTTAATAGATTAGTTTCAGATAACGTAAACTGAGCCAAAGCTTCTGGCCTGGTTGCAAAGCAGTTTTGGGCTATAATGCCTTCTCCTCCATCACGTGTTCACGCGATGTTGTTGGTAATGGTTACGGTGGCCCGAGAATGTTCCGTCAACTTCCGCGTGTTTGCGCATTTATGTTTCCTAGTAACGAACGAGATCATAGACAGTAAAAAAGGTCCAGAGATACGCATAGATATTATATATGATGTCTATGGAGATGCGTGCTGACGGCAGGAAACTTCACTTTATGAGCTTGCGCCTCGTATTGAACATTATATAGGTTAAAGCTTGCAGGACAACTTGGTTGTCGTGAGAAATACACGCGCGAGACTTGAAAACCCTGTTATTTGGCCTATGCTCTTTATATTTTGCGACAAATAAACATACCATGGCATGCTTTGATAGTTAAGTATCCAGCTAAAAAACATGGTGAGCACATAGACCATTTTGATTTGCATAATAATAGTTAGGCCTACCTCAGAAATGGACTTACTCTCAACTGACCGTCCATTAGCTTTCTATGGTAAGAAACATGACTATTTAGAAGAGATAACAAATGACAGGGATAATAATATAATAAAATAAATACAACATAAAAAACAAAACCTTATTTTACTGTAGTGTATAGGTACTTCCGAATGCTGCTGTCAGCTGATTTGTCCTCACTCTCAAAGCAACTTGACTGGGTCATTGCACTTCCCACACCTTCATATTTCATAACCAAGTTATGTTGCATAGGCAGGTTAGTCAGATGTTTTCCAACAGTGTGGCATTTTATTGTGACACCAGCCCCACCAAAAAAATATTAAGCAACAAAACAATCTTTTGTGTCCATCTAGCTACAGCTATGAGGAGTACAAAGAAACATCAGACTGGCTGCTTGCTAACACAGACATCAGGCCCAAAGTGGCAATTATCTGTGGTTCAGGACTCGGTGGATTGGCTGACCTGCTGGAGAACAAGAATGTGTTTCCTTACGACAAAATCCCGCGCTTTCCCCACAGCACAGGTAGGAGACAGATTGCTAAATTCACATGTATCATCCATAACCCATTCAGAGAGTATTGTTTCGTATTCTATTAATCGAGTATTAAAAAATATATAAAAGACAGTGCATTAACAAACATTAAAAATACACACTCGCATGTCTCTTCAGTGCAAGGACATAAAGGTCAGCTTGTGTTCGGAGAGCTGAATGGGAAGCAGTGTGTTTGCATGCAAGGCCGTTTCCATTTCTACGAGGGCTATAACGTTGCCACGGTAAGTATCATTTTTAAAATCTTAAAAGTATGAGCATTAAACAAAACCAAGCACATGCTGGATAGAAAATCAATCACACATTGTTAGTTGATAATTAAAAGAATCCTCAAATAAGTCAAGAATCATCTCAGTTTTTCTTTTCCTTTAGCAATAATATACCACAACACTAACACAGGGGTTATTCTGTACTTAACCATTGACTTCTCTGTGCTGATATCAGCAATTTAAGTATAACAGAGAATAGTTAACATTTGACAACTGACCCAATCGCCTCCTATAAACTTTTACAACACACAGCATCTGTGATCAAGTTAAAAAAAAAAAAAAAACTCAGAAAGACACAAACAGTGCTTACTCTTTCTTGCAGGAGCCAAATGAAATACTGCATGGCATTATGATTTATGATTCTTCAGTATGAGTGATTAAAATAGTTGTACGTATTCTTGCCTGGGGTTGTAAAAATAGCAGTCATATCTTTGTTTCTTATTTCTTAATTCAATGCACATGAGGAAATCAATTAAAATGTAGTTTTAGTCTAGTAGTGAATATATTTCTTTTAAAATGGACAATTTAGACAAAGCTGGGGGAGGGGGAAATACAGTTAAACTACTATATAGTTTTGATAACTGCATATTAACCATATACATCAATTCAGATTTCAGTCTTTAATTTCCTGTTTCATAAAGATGAGAACAGTTTGTCAAAGCAGCTCTAAATCTCATGGGTTTCTCCTTCTGTTTTAGGTCACCTATCCAGTAAGAGTGTTTTTCCTTCTCGGGATTGAGACCCTGATTGTGACCAATGCTGCTGGAGGGCTCAATTCTGAATTTGAAGTGGGTGACATCATGCTCATCAAAGATCATATCAATATGCCTGGATTTGCCGGGCAAAATCCCCTGTGTGGACGCAATGAGGAAAGGTGAATTGCTATTTAGTATATTGAGATATGTTTTATTTAAATAGATTTGGCTAATTAAAGGGATAGTTCACTTTGAAATTCATTTTTGGTATGTTTTATCTTACCTCAAGGGCATCCAAGATGTAGGCGTCTTTGTTTCCACAGTAGTTTCAATTTTGATATTTTTAGGTCAAACCGTTCCTGTCAGTCATATAATGGAGGTCTATGGTCACCACCTCAAAGAGCATGCACAGAGAAGTCCAAATTAAACATGATTGAATGACTCGTAAATGTAATTGATGGCCTAAGATACGAAACGAGCGGTTTGTGTGAGAAAACAAACAGTATTTATATCGTTTTACCATTATAAGACTGACAGACAACTAAAAATGACTGACCTAAAAATATCAAAATTGAAAATACTGCGGAAACAAAGACACCTACATCTTGGATGCCCTTGAGGTAAGCTAAAACATACCAAAAATTAATTTCAAACTTTAACACCAATATCTTTTTTATTTCGTCTTTGTTTTTAACAGTTCAGCTTTGGTTTTGCTATTGACTTCGCAATGAAATCTTACTTGCATTTCTCTAAGGATTTATGCAACCAGTGCAATGATCACTGACATTTGTGTTACGTCCCTGTAGATTTGGAGTGCGCTTTCCCTGCATGTCCGATGCTTATGATAGAGGCTTGAAACAGTTGGCCAGGAAAACTGCCCAAGAACTGGGCTGTGCCTCTTTTCTTCGGGAGGGTGTTTACTGCATGTTGGCTGGACCGTCCTATGAGACAATTGCAGAATGCAAGGTTTTAAAACAGCTTGGGGCGGATGCTGTGGGTACGTATCACTTTTATAGAAAATGTCATTAGTGGGCAAGACTTAGAGCATGTATTAATCGCTTGAGGATGAAAACCATAACCATATCATCATTTCAAGCCAGGACCGTTTTAGAGGGACAGAGCAGGGACCTATTATTATATTGTTTTTCACAAAAAATACTTATTTACGGAGCCCTGAACATGATATGCGGACAAAAATATATAGGGGCCATGAATTAAGAATTCATTCCCATGATTTCTTAATTCGTTCTCTCTTATTATAAATTGTATAATGATATTATATAAATTCATAAATTATTATAAATGATAAATTACTTCAAAATGAATAATACTTATACATATTGTAGTTTTTACTTTATATTCTATATATAAAATATATATTGTATAAAATAATAATATTATTTTTCTTTATATTCCTCCTCTGCTGCAAATTATTCACATTAATGTTTGACCTTAAACTCATTTTTAAATGAAAATAGAAAGTTACTGGTCACTAAGAAGTCCTTTGAAAGAAATTGACATTTTTTTATTCAGCAAGGATGTGTTAAATTGGTCAAAAGTGACAGCAAAGACATTTATAATGTTATAAAACATTTCTATTTAAAATTAATACTGTTATTTTGAATTTCCTTATTCCAAATATGCATCACGGTTTCCATAAAAATATTAAGCAGCACAACTTTTTTCAACATTGATAATAATAATAATAATAAATGTTGCTGATAAATGCAGCCTTGGTGACTGTTTTGTTTGTCTGTAATTAGGTATGAGTACCGTTCCAGAGGTGGTGATCGCTCGGCACTGTGGGATGCGCGTGTTTGGACTCTCCCTAATTACCAACAAGGTAGTGACTGACTACGACAGCGATGAAAGGGCTAATCATGAGGAGGTCCTGGAAACCACCCGTATGCGAACCCAAGTCCTGCAGAAGATAGTCAGCAATTTAGTGACAAACATGTAGCACAACCAGCAACTACATTTACTGTAGTACAGAAATCGTGGGACTATTCTTGAAATACTTCCACACAGATTTGCACTAGAATGTAGAATGACATACAGTAACCTCCTTGATACTTCTCATGTATTGGTGACACTTTACAATAAGGTCCATTAGTTAACAGTAGTTAATGTATTAAATAACAATGAACAATTAGTTAATCTTTATTAATATTAGTTAATAAAAACCTAGCCGTTCATTGTTTGTTCATGTTAGTTCACAGTGCATTGACTAATGTTAACAAATACAACCTTTGTTTTTAATAATGTATTAGTAAATGTTGATGTTAACTAAGATTAATAAATGTGGTAATGTTCATTGTTACTGAACCTTATTGTAAAGTGTTACCCATGTATTTTACTCAGGATTCGGGTAACTTTACGAACTTTGCAGTGCCTCAAGACTTTCTAAGTGGAGTCTTTCTAAACTTTCTAAGTTTAGGCTAGGTTCATTTTGTTTACTTTTGACCTATCATATCACATCGGTATTAATAATGACACGTATACTGTGATGCATTAACATTCTTCCTTAAATGAGGGCTAAGAACAACTGAAATTAGCTGTGTTACATAACTATTAGTATTCCTGTTACTAGGTCTTGAAAAAAGAGTTAACGAACAAACATACATGAAAAGGGACAAACATAGACTAACACTCTAATACAGTGATGCAATCATTTTCAACTGTATAAAGGGAATTTGGACTAAATGAGAAGGGTAGTTATTCAGTACAATCAGTTAAAATATAAATTGATATATTAAATAAGCAGATGTTTATCTTTTTAGGTTTTTTTTTACTTTGTACTTGATTTTGACTCAAATTTAACAATAAAAAATTAATTATTATATAAACGCTGTGTGGTGGTGATTTTATTTTTAAAATCTATTGTGTTCTGTCCATCCATTTTCCAATTTTCAGTTCCTTTGCTTTCAGGGACGTGCACAGACGAGTGAAAAAAAGGGCACTTCTTACCTTTACCTTTTTTTTTAACAAAAAAGTATTTTAACACAACTCTGACTTTTTAAAAACTATATTTAAAAAGTTAATTAATTTTGATCTTCCTCAAACTCACGCAATTGTTTCATTTTCAAAAGATGTCTACAAAATAATCAGTTCACACAAAAACCATGGTGTCCTTAGTATTGATAGGTTTACAGAGCAGCAAAGGAAACCATGCCTCAATGTGCATGTTTTCTATGCTGATACAGTAGTTTCAATCAAGTATACACCTGATGGTGACATGGACTTTCACATTTGAGGGAGGACTGTATCATCATCGTCATCAAATTATAAAACCTTCAAAATCCACATATGGAGTTTGTTTTAAACCGACTAGCCCCCATTTGTTTGCATCTGTAGATTTCTTCTAATTCACCAATTTAGATTTCTAAATTTCAGGGGGAAAGACTCTTAATGTAAGTCATTAACTTTAATAAGAAGAATTTTAGACATAAAAAGTCATAAAAACGTCAGGATTTTCCATAAAAGGTCATCAATTACATTTAGCTACATCTTAAATTGATATGCTCATTCATTCAATAACGCGATATAATTTTTCTCGATTAAACGATATCAAGTTGGAGTCAGTATCGTCAATACTCGATATCAATCGAGTTCGATAAATGTCAAAATGTTCGATAATGTTTATGTGCCAAAAGCGGAACGAAACTTATTTGAACCGCGCGCGCCTCACGGACTGTTTATCGGCTCAAAATCCAAACGGCAGCAGCGCGAGCTCACAAGGGCTGAACTCCTGATCCGATATTTAGATACACTATTCAATAAATATATTTGTTTGACAGGGAAACTGTGCGCAAACAGTAATATATATTAGTTTTCAAACAAAAAAAACACCCCAAAAAAGGGCACTTTCTCTCCAGGAACAAAAAAGGGCATGTGCTCAAGCCCGCCATTTTGATGTCTATATAAACATTTTAATAATCAGAGACCAAAACTGAGTCTTTTGCCACACCATACTAAACACTAACCGATTTTATCTTGGGGATGGTATGAATCATTGGTTTCCTGCAATGCATGTGTACAGAGAAAGAGATAAAAATTTGCTTGTATACATGCAAAAAGCATGCAGTATAATTAAAGGAAGAGGAATCCCTCTTAACCCCCTCATGTCACTACATTATTGATAAATCTGGCCAACCCAACTCTGAAGTAGCGATGAAATAAAACATTTACAACATCAAGCTTACAGCAAGTCTGTCACCGAGCAAAAACCTTATAGCAAAATTGCACATAATGTAAAGTGAGATATTCACAAGGGAGTAAGACTGTCACGTCCGTAATGTTTTGAAATCATTCGCAACCACACACAATTGAACGTGAAACTTCATGTTTTAGATTGCAGGTGTGATGGCATCAGCTTGAATGTGAACTTCTGCACACATCAGATTTTTGGAGGAAACACACTTTTCATCTGTCAGACGATGCCGACAGAACGCCAGATCAGTCTGTTATTCAGATGCTATAAAAGACTTTCACAAAATATTTATGGAAAGCCAGTTGTGCTGACTCTGCCCAGAAACATCACAGTCCCTGTGAGCCATTAGTGAAGGGGTAACTCTTATGTAATTAGTGACGGGCCATTTGCTGAAATATTCAGGGCTTGATGCCCATGTTGTGCAGCAGTGACTGTACTTCCACTCACTGGAGGAAAGGAGGAAGTCAGAAAATGATCTGTTTTGATCTTGCGTGTTTTTTTGTTCTGCTCTCTTTGACATATTATCTCATTTGAAATTCCTGTTTTTCCTCTGTAGATATCTTCCTCTGAAATGCAGCTTTGAGCTAAGCATTCTTCATTTCAGTGTCTTCACAAAATTTTAGATAGCACTACACTGTAAAATATTGTCATAATTTGAACAACAAAAAAAGCTTATTACCTTAATCTGCGCTTTTAAAAGTTTTGCGGTCAGACTTTCTTAATACTTCATTAATAAAGAAATTAATACTTTAAGTAGGAAACTCAACTTGTAGTTGCATGTATTGTCAATGGAGGGACAGAAGCCTCAGATTTCATTTAAAATATCTTCAAGTCTTATGGGTTAGGAACGACATGAGGGTGAGAATATTGTAATTTTGGGAAAAATTAACTCTTTAATGATTATCATGTATCTCATATAGTGATGTTAAAGGGATAGTTCACTTTGAAATACATTTTTGGTATGTTTGAGCTTACCTCAAGGGCATCCAAGATGTAGGCGTCTTTGTTTCCGCAGTAGTTTCAATTTTGATATTTTTAGGTCAAACCGTTCTTGTCTGTCAGTCATATAATGCAGGTCTATGGTCACCACCTCAAAGAGCATGCACAGAGAAGTCCAAATTAAACATGATTTAATGACTCGTATATGTAAGTACACATTGATGGCTTAAGACACGAAACGAGCGGTTTGTGTGAGAAAACGAACAGTATTTATTCGTTTTTACCTCTTGTAACCACAGCCACAAAGCACGCGCACCCTCAGATCACTTGGACGTGGCTGTGGTTACAAGAGGTAAAAACGATATAAATACTGTTTGTTTTCTCACACAAACCGCTCGTTTCGTATCTTAGGCCATCAATGTGTACTTACATTTACGAGTCATTAAATCATGTTTAATTTGGACTTCTCTGTGTATGCTCTTTGAGGTGGTGACCATAGACCTCCATTATATGACTGATAGACAAGAACGGTTTCACCTAAAAATATAAAAGTAGAAAATGTCCTATGTAAACGCGTTCTGCATTGATTTTCCCCAGGTATTAGTTGTTGTTTTTTCTTGAAAATCGTATTTGAATGTGGGGCAATAATTCCCATGGGCTTAAATTTAATCCACAAACTAAAACTAAGGCGGTCGCGGAGGAATAATGAACACAACAACGTTTAACTAAGAGGAAACTGGACACAGAATAGGGAAAATCAGGGCTTAATTTCATGGAGAAATTAATGATCCTCACAAACAAATCTTTTATATCTTGGACATAACAGACCTTGAAACCAGAATCCTGATATTTCACTCTCTGCCATGCAAACATCCCTCCAACATGTCTACATTCGCTCCCAAGATTTTTCTTTTTCATTTCACTTTAATCAGAGTGCTGCGATCCTGCGCTTGACGGAGAGCTACACTTTACAGTATATCTCGCCATCTCTCTCAAATCATGTTTGCAGCAAGCGACACAGGAAGAGTGAGAGAACACTCAGGGGACACGTCGCCATTAACCATCTGTACACATCCTTGGAACAGTGAAATTCACTGAGGAAGAGGGACCATATTGAAAAGAGAGATCTCATTTATTCTTTAGCAGGGCACAGTTCAGCGAGAGACACAGCAGGGAAGTCATTCTGAACACTGTTCAAAGGTCAGCCTTTCTCACATCCACAATCACGACATCTCTCTTGGTAAAATGATAATCCTGTCTCATTAATGGGGATTTAATGGGACGATTCTGGGATTTAAAGTCACATTTAAATCTGAAAATAAATAGAAAAAATTGGTGAAAAAAAAAAGTGTGCCAAGAAAACCATTACACCACCACCACCACCAGCCTGCACAGTGGCAACAAGGCATGATGGATCCACGTTCTCATGTGATGGTCTGGTGTTCTTGTTTTCATTGAAGTTTCTTATCTTTTTTTACACAAACACTTGTGGAATTCATTTTACTTTTCTATTTAAATTTTATTTAAATGTTTTATGCTGACAATATCATTAATAATGAATGTTTGTATTTAAATGTAATGAAAGGCAAGGCATACAAAAGTCAGCATGAAATCAAAATGGAATATTGCAGATTTATCTGTGCACATCATGTCCCTCATCATCTTCAATCAAAATCGTATTTACTGGTGTGAGGGCGGGACAAGCTGTCACTCACATGACATCACTGCAATAGCAAACCAAAGCCATCCAATCAATTCCCAAAAAACAAAGTCAAGTCCCTCCCTACGTTTTTTGAAAAGCCGTTTCACTTGGATATACGTCACAATAGGGAAGAAAACACTGCCATTTCGTGTCAACTTTAACGTATTAAATTCTATTTCAATTTATTAAAAATCCCAAAGCCTTTTCCCTTGTGGTCTCGGACTTTTGGACCTTACTGTATACGAAGGAAGTTGATCAATCACACTGTAAAGGTGCATCTGGGGATATACAGGGGAAATAGACTTAGACATCTCTGCTGAATAAAGACTTTCCACACCCCTAAACTCAGCCGTCAGCAGCCAGATCACAGGAGTACAGCCAAGAACTGTGTGACAAGGCAAGAAGATGGTATTGACTGACTATTCCTCAATGATCATATTAGTTCACTGTCCCTTTCAGAGCATATTGATTGACATTTTTGCCTTGTAGATCATATTAGATCCCCAGCCCTTCCATAACCTCTATGAAAAGTTGTGTCATAAGAGTACAACAGCCTCTGACTATGAAGGATTACATAAAAAAAATATTCTGTACACAAATTTGTACAATGGATTTGTTATTCACAATGCGTTGCTGTCATACTAGGCGACGTATTCAAATACGCATTCAAATTTCAGTTTCATTTCTCAGTAGTAAAAGAACAAAGTATTTTAAACTAAAAAATATTAAATTCACCCCTTTTTAATGTTGTTAGACCCTTGAGCTTGGAGCTTGTCCTATCCATATACACCCACCCATACAACAAACAATATATTTTCAGATATTTAAAAAAATATATATACAATACCATTCAAACGTTTGGGGTCAGTAAGATTTTTCATGGAAAAAGAAGAAAAGAAAAAAGGTATTATATATTGGATAAAAAAATGCAGTAACATAGTAAAATATTATTACAATTTAAATGATATATATTCCTGTGATGG